CTTTTACCCTCCTCTGTTTCCTCTTCCTTCTTTTCCAGGATTCTATCGTCTTTGAGAGGTCATACTTATTATTATCTCTCCTACGAGAATATAAGCTCTTTAAGAAGTATGATTTTTCTTTGTTCATCACTGTGTTGGAGAGAGCTTAAAATAGTATTTGAGAGGCAGATGTTTAGGCTATCAGTTAAGACACCCACATCCTATACTGGAGTTCCTGGGTTCAAAGCTTGCCTGTGACTTCTGAGTCCAGCTTCCTGCTAATGCAGATCTGGGAGGCAGTGTTTTTTATGGCTCAAGTTCTTGGGTTCCTGTCACCTACATAGGAGACTTGGATTGAACTCTCAGCTCCCTGCTTCTGTTGTTGGTATATGGAGGGAGTAACCGATAGAAGCACACACACACTCTTTCGACCTCTCAAATAAATGAACAAAAACAGAATTAAAAATAGCACCTGACACCCAGTTGTCACTCAGTATATATATATATATATATATATATAGGCAGAGTGGACAGTGAGAGAGAGAGACAGAGAGACAGGTCTTCCTTTGCCGTTGGTTCACCCTCCAATGGCCGCCGCGGCTGGCGCCCTGCTGCCGGCGCACCGCACTGATTTGATGGCAGGAGCTAGGTACTTATCCTGGTCTCCCATGGGGTGCAGGGCCCAAGGACTTGGGCCATCCTCCACTGCACTCCCTGGCCACAGCAGAGAGTTGGCCTGGAAGAGGGGCAACCGGGACAGAATCCGGCGCCCCGACCGGGACTAGAACCCGGTGTGCCGGCACCACAAGGCGGAGGATTAGTCTAGTGAGCCGCGCCGCCAGCCACTCAGTATATATTGATTGTGAAGTTGTTTTAAGTCATTGAAGATTCTAGCAGAGCCACTTGATCTGATGCATCTTGGTTTCTTGTGCACGTACTTATATCTAGTTCATTTTAAATGTTTTTATGTAGCAAAATGAGGAGGAAAAATGATTTTGTTTTTCTCTTCTCTCAACCAAGTACAAGGCTAGTAGGTCATATGGCTGACACCCTGAGTCCATTAAACTTAGATCACAAAAACGTCAAAATTTGGGTGAAGACATACTCATAAGCTGGAAAAGTCATAGGATGAGCATACATCAATATGTGTGTATATGCACTGTGAACTTGTGTGTGCATTCGCATGTATGCATGAGAATGAAAATCTGCTATATGCTTAAGTTTTGCTACCCTGTGGGCACCAATAAACCCACATTATCATTAACACCTTCTAGCCACCATCTTGCCATATGATTTTACAATCAGCCATTATGCTCTCCAAGGCCCTCAGTCACTCTATCATCTTTCCCCCATTCTATATGAGTATACATGGATTTCAAAATTTTCTTTGCATCCAAGGTTTTTTTGATACTGTACTTTTATCTCTTCTGTCCTGAGTTGTCTTTTCATTATTTTTACTAAACCCTTCCTCCCTCCCGGAACACATGTCACCTGCTGTTTCTTGCTGCTTTTGGTGGACCTACAAACCGAAACCCCTCAGTGGTTATTTTCCCTGAACTGAGAAACTAACTAAATGCACTTGTTAGAATTGTGCACAAATGAAAAACAATAGCGCTGGGGCAATGGCAGGCTGTCCACAGACCGAGGAGGGCATTGTCACTACAGTGGAAGCCCCATTACCTAGCACGGACTCCAGCTCACGGTAAATGCTCAGTTATAATGTTAGGTGAATAAAAGAATCAACTTCGAACTTCCAGGTGAGTTGGGGGTGAGGAGTGGGCTATTGTACTTCAGTTGGTCTAAGATGCCAAATGGAGCCACCAGGGGTGCAACGTTGGGGTAACCAGTGCCTTTGGTCCCCCTGCTGTGTGTCCCCCTGAGCCCTTCTCCACCACTGGTTACCACGCTGTCTACTCACACCGTTCACACTCCTTTTGTAGGGCTAGTGTGGGAAGGCACAGGGATTTGCTGTGGGTGATCATCCATGCTGGATGATCTACACGTGCGGTTTCACGCAGTCCTCAATCCTCTCTTCCCTGTTTCGCAGAGGAAGGGCTGAGACACGGGATATTAAGTGATTCACACAACCTGGGAAGGGAAGGCGCCTAGACGGGTGCCAGGCACCCATCAGGTGCTTGAGAAAAGTCTGATGAAAGAGTGACCGGAGGCTGGCCGGTCACTTAGCTCCTGCCTTGTTGCCCGCCACCTTCTGTGGCCCACCATGGGGGGCGGTGTTCTGGACAACAGGAAGAGTGTGGGGCTCTTGTTGGCTCCTGGAGGATGACAGATGTGAGACAGAGATTAGAGACCCCACAAGCAGGGCCCCTGAGTCCAGCCCAGGAAACCCGGGGCCCTGGCTGAGCAGATGAACACGATGGTAAATGTCGGGATGCTGGGGCACTTGGGTCCCAACCAAAGCAAATACATTTGTTCCCTGGGCAATTCCTGCTGAGGCCTTCCCCGTCCTGACCTTGACTGCCCCGGGCCAGCTGGCCCAAAGGTCTCCGTGCAAGAGCAAGTGCAGGTGCCTGCCTCTCTGAAGCCCAGTCAGCAGGCACAAATCTGATGGGAGCCAAGATGATAACTTTCCGTGAAAGGGCCTCTGTGTTCTCATTCTGCTCCCAGAACAAAACCCACCCCGGGGGGTGGGCATTTGTAATGCACTTTAGGCTATTCTTCTAGAGCAGCCGGGCACAGGGGGGAAGGTAAGAACACAAACAAAGAGGCAGAACCACAGGATGGGGTGGATCTGCTGCTGCTGGTCGTAAAATGACCTTGCCCCATCACATGCATTCTGCAAGCTCCAGTTATTCCTTCTCTACGATGCTGGCACCTCAGGGGATTGATGTGCATTTCACACCAAAGGAAGAAGGTCTCTCATGTTCCCCCGAAGCACTCTGCCCCGGCTTCCTTTTCCCATCATGCCTTGCAACCTCTGTTGATGCCCACGCCTCGTGATTTTACTGCACTGCTCCCTGGGCCCAGCATTCTGCCTCCAGGCTTAGTGAAATCCCTTCCCCTCTTTTCTCAAGGCTCTGCTACAACACATCCACTCCCACTCTGGCTCTCTGATCCCCGTCAGTCTCATCATCCACCCTTCTGCTCTGTCACAGAGAATTCAGTTTAGCATCAACTCGCAGGTGGCAGTCCCCAAGCTGGGCGATAGCAACACAGTCAGTGGTCCCTGCCCTCCCACAGCTTCTGGGAGACATGCGGCTCAACAGGCATCGCCCACATGGAGGAAGCGCCAGTGCCAGATCCAGGCAGGGGGCTCAGTAAGACCTTTCACTGTGGGAGCCACTCAGGCTAGCCAAAGGACAAGGTGGGGGAGAGGGGTGCTACATGAGAAAGGGACCAGCAGCTGTGTCCAGACAGAGGGGTGTTTTCACCTCCATCGTCACAGCACCTGGCAGACCACAGAGGAATGATGTGTCTGTAGATCGGTCTCCCTTCCTGTGCTGTGAGCTCCAAGGGGCCCATAAGATAGCCTGGTCATTTCTGCCACTGCAGCTTAGAGTCCGGTGCCCGGCATGGAGTGAGGAAGTGTCCACTAAAGGTTGTGCGGGATTCATGAATGCACAATAAATACATGAGCAGTCAGTGCCTGACTCCATGCGGCCAGCAGGATGCAGGAGGCCAGAGGAGACTGGGGTAAGACAGGTGGCCATGGCAGGGAAACTGAAGCAGGGGCTGTGCCTCAAGGTCAGGAGGTGCCTGGTGCAGGGAGAAGAACTGACATAACTAGCAAAACGCTCAGACACAATTTCTCAAACTAGGCTCCTTGATTATGAACAACTCAGCCAACACACTTTTACTAGGGATAAATGCCAGTTCCTCACCCAGGTTCAGAAATGTCCATCTAAAGTCCAGAAGAAAAGAGATCGGGCTGAAAGTAGGAGGAGTGGAAAAAGAACACACAGTTCTCCTCGCTGGCTGGCGAGTGGGGCATGCACCACAGTGAGGTTTTACTGGGGGTGTGGTCCCCACAACCAGCTCCGCTCTGCAGGGCCCAGGCACAGGAGCACACACTGCTCTCCAGGGAGAGGACCGTGAGGACGAGGAAGGGCAGGTCAGGGTCTGGGGCTTTTCCACCTGGCACCAGGACGGCCACGATGAGGTCCTGGGGAGAGGATGTGCGTGTTCCCAAGAGCAGCAACAGCCTTGCGGTTGGTTCTGTGCTGAAGGAATAGAATTTCCCAACCTACAGATCTGAACCGCGGACGGCCTGCCAGCACTGGGCTGAGAGGATTGCGCCCCCAAGAGGGAACTAAGCTAAATTACCTCGAGCAACAAAGAGCACTGGGCTTGGAGTCCGTAAAAGCCAGGCTTCTCCCACCTCTGCCCGTGTGGCATCTGTAATAGCACCTGCCCTGCCCTTCTCTCTGCGGGTGCTGGGCGGTGCCCTGACGTAAAGAGTTGTGTAAATTGCCAAGTCCTTCAGAAATTATAAGGGCCCCTCTATTGTTTCCCTTAAAGATCCCTTTTATGAACCACACTCCCGGGGCTCTGGCTGGCCAAGCCGAGCAGCCATCACCCCTGGCCTGACCCTCCCAGGTCCTCCTCCCACAAAGCAGCTTCCAGACCTTGGCTGGATCATTCTTCAGTGGTTCCTAAGACAGGAGGTGGAGAAACTGAGTCCAGAGATGTTTGCACAGAGCAGGGACTCTCAGAACAGCCCACCTGTCTTGGTCTCAGCTCCCTGTCTTTAGCAAAGTCCATTAGGGCACCGTCCACTTGGGTTGAGCTGGATTCTAGAGGAATCTCATCCACCGCTCAACACATAAGCTTCAAAACCCTGTGTCCTCCTAGGCTGGGTTTCCCCTATGTAAGCGGCCGTGTTGGCCTCCCTCTTAGGAGCCCCCAGTTTCCTCCCGACAGCGCCCTGGAGTACAGGCTGTGGAGCAAGGTCGTACTGTGCCTTTGGAAGCCGGTCAGCCTCATCCTGGCCGTGGGACTCAAGTCGCTTCACTTCTCCATGCCTCGGTTTATTAACTGGGCTGTATGAAATGTGCTTACCCTAGGATCCTGTGTGAGAACTAAGAGAGAGACGACCGGGAGCTTGCTCAGCACAGACGTGCACAGTGAGTCCTTCAGCAGCCTCCTGGGGTCTGCGCAGGGGACGCTATGGTAACCAAGGGTTTTCCCGCAGCTGGGCGAGTATGGGAGGAGAGAATCTAAGGAAGAATACGGGCTCGCTGGGCCAGAAGGGGCGGTGGAGCCGCCACCAAGCAGGCAATAGTTCCAGGGAGGAGTGGGGAAGGTCCAGGCCCCTCCCGAGTCATGGGAGTCCAGGTCCTGGCGATACCTCTCATATGATGGGGTGGAGTTTCCAGGGATGGGGGGCGCTCCTTGAGTCCTGGGCTTTCCAGGCCTGGCCTCCCACCCCCGCCGAGGGTGGGAAGCCCCGGATTCCGGGGCCTGGGGCCGGCGCCCTGGCCTGACACGCCCCGCCCCGGCCCGCAGGTGCACCTGCTCAGCGCTGGTCCATGCAGGTGCCGGCTGAGGTGTGTGCGGAGGTGGGCGACGCGGCCGTACTGCCCTGCACCTTCACGCACCCGCACCGCCACTACGACGGGCCGCTGACAGCCATCTGGCGCGTGGGCGAGCCCTACGCGGGTCCGCAGGTGTTCCGCTGCACGGCGGCGCGGGGCAGCGAGCTCTGCCAGACAGCGCTGAGCCTCCACGGCCGCTTCCGGCTGCTGGGCAACCCGCGCCGCAATGACCTGTCGCTGCGGGTCGAGCGCCTCGCCCTGGCCGATGACGGCCGCTACTTCTGCCGCGTGGAGTTCGCCGGCGACGTCCACGACCGCTTCGAGAGCCGCCATGGCGTCCGGCTGCGCGTGAGTGGTAAGGCTCTGCGCCTGAGGCCCTGCTCCCCGCGCCAGAGGGCTGGGGGTGGGGGGGGGTCCCAAACCCCGGGGGGTGATTAAGGGCCACCTCTGAATTTTGGTAAAAACGCAGCAAGGGCTGGAGCCCAGGAATAGACATTGTAAGGAGCTCACCAAGGCTTTGCACAGTAGCCTGCAGATGAAGCGGAGAGGAAAACAAAGGGACAAATTCCTAAATGTGGCAGGAGCTGCAAAGAGTGTGTGCCACCTGCCCTGAAGGACCCCTGCAGCCCCGCCCCCGGGGGGGCAATGGAGCCCTCCAAGCGGCCAGCACTATGCGAGACCCCTAGATATACGAGTGCCTGAACCAGGGTCCCCGACTCCGGAGCCCTGGTTGCCCACAAGGGCTTAGGCAACTCATACTAGGAAGCCAGGGCATAAGTCCACGCCCCCCCCCCCCCCCCCCCCCCCCGTACTCGTTTGCCGAGCTCAGCAACGCCATAAGGTAGGTGCTACTGCAATCCCCATGTTACACGTGGAGAGACTGAAGCCCAGACTGATGGAATGGCTTGCCCAAGGCCATGCCTGTACTGGGCCCCAGGCCCAAGCACCCAGTCCTTCTTCTCCCAGCCGCCCCCTCCCCCCAGCCCAGCGAGCTCGGGCAAAGGGCGCTCGGTGACCTCCGCCCGCCTTCCCCGCAGCCGCGCCGCACATCATCAACATCTCGGTGCTGCCCGGCCCCACGCACGCCTTCCGCGCGCTCTGCACCGCCGAAGGGGAGCCGCCTCCCGTGCTCTCCTGGTCGGGCCCGGCCCTGGGCAACGGCTCCCTCTCCGTGCCGGGCCAAGGCCACGGCCACCAGGTGACCGCCGAGCTGCCCGCGCTGACCCACGACGGCCGCTACACTTGTGCCGCCGCCAACAGCCTAGGTCACGCCGAGGCCAGCGTCTACTTGTTCCGCTTTCGCGGCGGCGCGGGCGGGACCCCGGCCATCGCCCTCCTGCTCGGCGCGCTCGGCTTCAAGGCGCTGCTGCTGCTCGGCTTCCTGGCTGCCGGCGCCGCCCGCCGGCGCCAAGGTGGGTGCGTCCCGGGCCCGGGTGGGCGCCAGGCAGGGGCGGGGCTGACCGGCTGGACGTCCCCAGTGCACCTGCCCTCCTGTCGCTTTCCTCTGGTGGCATCAAACCTAGTAGGTGGAAGCCAACCTGAGCTCCGTTGTCCAGTACGGAAGCTGAGGCCCGGAGAGGCCACGCCACTTGCCTTTTGGCCTGGAGCCCTAGAGAGAGCGCCGCAAGACAGAGCCAGCCCTGCCCACCGCCTGTCCCAGACGGCGCCGTTCCGAGGTGTTACGGTCGGCGAGCCACCTGAGGACCTGCTATGTGCCACGCAGGTGCTGGGACCGCGTGGCTAAGATGCGGTTCCCTGCCTGCTGAGGGCGGAGTGGGCAGATCAGTGTGCTAAGCAGTGGGAACCCCGGGGCACTGCGGAAGCCAGAGGCCCCTGTCATCCGGTGGGGGTCTGGGGAGGCGCCAGGAGGGACGGCTTTATGCGGCTGAGGTGAGGGCGCACACAGGAAGCGAACACTGAGCGAAGAGAGCGGCTGGCAGAGGGAGCGTGGTTGCTGGAGCCCACAGGGTTTTTCGGGGTCTGCCCCCTGGCCGGCCCTGGGCTGGATGGGAAATGTGCTCCGTGCTTCCCCGCGCCCCCGGGTCAACCGCGCTCGCCTGGCATTGTGGGGGCGGGGGGGGGGCCCTTTGGCTGGAGTCCCCTCTTCCCGCCCTGTGCATCTACTGGGCGGGCTCCTTGAGGCTGATTTCTTTTCTTTGTTTTTCCGTTGCGGGGAGGGAAGAGGGACATCAGACAGTTCGGCTTAGGCTGCAGTGGACACTCATGCGTCTCTCTCTTTCTGTCCCCTACACAGAGCACTCGGTCACACAGGACACCCCTCCACGGTGAGTGCCCTCCCTGTCCCCACCCCGCCCCCACGTGGTCCCCAGGGGCCAGGAAGTGCAGGCCACTCAGGACTAGTGGTAGGAGGAGAAAGAATAGGCCAAGGCCTTGACCAGGGCCCTCCCTGCAGCCCCCCAAGCCCTTCTCTGGACAGGCCACAAGAACCAGTCGCCGCAACCTGTCCCTTCCTGCCTCATACCGCCAGCCTGGTGTGGTGGGGCTCAAGAGTCACCTCGCTGTCTCCTACCTCCAGCCTCTGAGGTTCCACAAACAGAACCCCATCAGGGGTCCTGAGGGCCTTGGCGGTGCCCCTGGGAGCCACTGACCCTCAGGCCCATGCTGGCCTCTTTTGTGGTGTCCCCCACATGAAGACTTCTGTCACTGGCTGGGGGTGCCAGAAAGGTGAGGGGAGCAGCCTTTCAGGGTACATTGGGCACGTGCAGGCACACTCCCAAGTCTGCTGCCGCCTGTGCCTTGAGGGCCAGCAGTCACCCAGTGCTGCCCTCCCTGCAGGGCCAGCCCACCTGTCATGTCCCCATCATGTCCCTGTTCTTTGCTAGCTCACAGCAACAGCAATGACCTGACTTGTTCAGTCATTTAACAGATATTTACCGGGCACCTACCATGCGCAGGTACTGGTTTGGATGCTAAAGATACAGCAAAGGCCCTGAGTGCACATGCTAACACGGAGCGGGGATGGGAATTAGGACTCACGTTGCGGTATGAAGAATTTTCACAAACACGCGGACAAAGGCATCTTGGGCTGTGAAGGAAACAGACGCTGAGTCCCTGGGCAGAGGGTGGCCACTGAGCTGTGGCCACCTAAGATCTGGACATTTGAGAAGCTGACACTGAGGGGACCCAAAGCCGGAGGCAGGAGTGGGCAATCTGAGAAGGGGGAGAGATGAGTGGAAAGGTGCAGGGGAGACCGGGAAGGAGGCCGGAGCGTGAGGTTGGTGAGGGCGGGTGAGGCTGCGGGGCTGTTCTCAGGGCGACGGGGATTCGCCAAATGATTTTAAGCTGATGCCGGGCTCCTTCTGAACAGGAGGGGGCCAGGAGGCCTGGGAGGAGGCCGTGGACAAGGCTGAGACTGGCAGTGGAGGGAGGGGGCAGGCTTGGGAGAGGGACTGTGTGGAGCAGGACGTGAGGGTCACATGTGGCTCTGTGGACATCAAGGTCTGAGACGCTCACCTGGGTGCTCCAAGGCAGAAATCAGGGTGGCAGTGGAGTTCAGTAGGTCAGGGACACAGAGCTGGTTTCGAGCCCTGAGATCAGGACGCTGGCCTGTGGCAGCCCCTCCCTGTTCCTGTCCTGCCTCCAACACTGGGCTCTTGTCCAAGCCCTGCTGGTTCCGGCCTCATGTCCTCCATCTCATGTCCCCTTCCTGGCCTGCTGCTGGGGTGCAGGGTGGGAAGTGGGGGGCCTCCCCTTGTGTTGGTTGGTCAGCCAACTTTCTCCCATCTGCAGGCCCCAGGCTCAGGAGTCCAATTACGAAAATCTGAGCCAGATGAACCCTCAGGGTCCACTGGCTGCCATGTGTCCCCCAGGAGGAGTCCCTCGGCCGCTGGCAGCCACTTGTGCACCGTGAGGAGTGACATCCAGCATGAAGTTTGGTTGGTGCAGCCATCCCGGTTCCCAGGCCCCTGCTCACAGAGACTCGCCTTGTCTCCTCCAAGGACATCAATCTTGAAGTCTCCATGACATCTGGGCCGGGGGGTGGGGGAGCATTCTAAGGAGTGTGCCTGGACATGTGAGCCGCACGTGAAACTTCCGGGAAAGCTCCCCTTGCCACCTGCTACCTAGAACCGCAGAGTAAGGCAGGAGACTGGGCATGGGGCTGCAGGCCCCAGTTCCGTCCTGCTCTGTCACTGACTGGCTCGGTGGACAGACACACTTCCTTCTCCCCTCTAGGTCTCAGTTCGCCCCCCATTGTACATGGGCAGTAATCTTCCTCACCTCTGGCTAACAGGACTGTCAAGATCGGAGGAAATAACAGACACAAAGGGCTTGGAATTTTCAAGGTTGTTTTGGATGTGCCACCTTTGGACGGGTGGCTTCCACACCAGCCTGGTGGGGACCAGAGGGCTCCAGAGAGTGAACTTGGGCTGGGACTAGGGCATGCAAACCTGGAAACTTAGCCACAGGACAATCCTGGAGCCCCTGCCTCCTGGGGTCTCCACTGTGACTGACCTACACCCTCTGCCCACCTTGTACCTCATCAGTTGCTCCGTGCTGCCTGGAGCTAGAAAAAAGGAAACCAAACAGCCTTCTCAAAGCTTGTGGAAGCCACAGCCTCAGAGACTGAAAGCTGGAGACCCGAGGGGAGGTCTGGGTGGCAAGGTGCCCATGGATAAAGCAGCTACAGCTCCATCCTCCGCTCGACCTGCATCTCCCCAGCAGGTGCAAAGTCCAAAACCTTGGCAACTGTGCCCCATTTGCCCGAGTTCTGCCAGACTAAGAGGCACTGCTGTCTTCTGCTCCAATGGGCTCAGGGATCTCCACCTTCACTTCCTAAGCAGGGTGGTGGGTTCAGAGGCTCCCCGCTCCCCAGAGCCTCTGCCAAGGCAGGTGGGAGATGGAGGTCATAGCTAACATGGGATCCATCGAGGAGCCTGTCTTAGCTGTTACATTTGTACGAGTTAGCATTTGTACTTCCTCATACGGGGGTACTCTGGGGCCTGCGCGTGGAAAGACTTCTACCACCAGGGAAGAAGTTAAGGACTTGGGAGTGGTGTGTGAGGAGCGGTGTGTGCTTTGACATCTGCCTGGACTTCCAGTCCCAGTTTGCAGGTTTGCACACCACCTGCACCTACTGAATCACAGGCAGGGGAGTGGGTTGGGGGCTGGAAGCCCAAACAAGTTCTTCAGATGATTCTGCCTCCAACTTTTTGTTATGATCATTTTCAAACACATAGCACAAAAGCTGGGAAAGGAAGGAGATCCCGATACCCACCTCTGTACCACAGCGATGCAGTTCGCCGGGTTTGCGTACTGCACATGTGGATTGGGCTGAACTGCTGCAGATGTCACAGTACTTCACCCCTAAAAATACCATTACTGCCCTTGAGAAAATTCATAGTAAATCAATATCATCATCTCACAATTCATAGTCACATGTCCTTAGTCCTCAAAATGCCATCTGGTGTATTGTTTACAACCAGTATCCAGCTGACACCAAGTGATTTTAAAGCAAGCTGGCATTCAACTTTCCCCTCTGGGTGCACCTGCCATTGTTGCCATCACTGTAGATGCAAGGGTGCAGGCTAACAATCTGATTGTCCTTGTGCCTTTCCTCAGAGGAATGGCTTCTGATGGAGGCTGATGGTTTCACACAGTGGGGAGACACCTTGGGCCATGGGGAACTAGCAAGGAGGGGTGGCTGGCACCCCATTAGGATTTGTGCACGGTGCATAGCAGTCTCCTGCTTGGGTTCCAAAGAAAGCAGTTGCTCCGAGGGGTACAGGGTAGGGTGGGGAGGGGCCGCACCTGACCAACGCCAGGCCTCTGTGAGTGACCTGAATGGGGGCAGGGCTGCCTGTTCCCCATCTGGCCCACTGTTGGTGCAATGAGGGACCAGGGAAGCAAGCAACAGGCTGCATCAATGCAGTGGCCTGGGCCATGAAATTAAGCAGCTGACACGGTGTTTCCAAGACTGGATTTCCCAGTGTGGTATGGGGTCAGCTAGAACCTTTCACTTCCTCGGCACAGCCCTTCACCAACACTGGTGCACTTGTGAACCACTTTCTAACCCTTAAGTATTCTTTCTGGAAAAAGTGGCCAAGTCCACCCAGACCCAGAAGGTATCATCCCCCAGGAAATCCCAAATTGGTGTTAATCCTAAATGCACAGACCCTCCCACACACTGGGCTCATCCCAAGGTGTGTCTTACAAAGGTTAATGAGAAATGACACCAAGGAGGAGTGCTCTGGCATCCCGGCGCAACCAGACAGTGGATTTTCAGAGCAGACCCTGACCAAACTCGGGGACACTGTCTGCCCCGACAGCTCTGCTCTCCGAGGTACCTCTACCTGCACCCATCACGTCTCAGGTCTTGGCAGCCTTTTAGCAGCATTCACAGCCCTCCTCCTACCAAGCTCAAGTCCACATTAGAGAGCAACAGGGGCTCTCCTCACCTCTGCGGTGTCACCAAGTGGCCTCTGTCCAAGCCAATTCTTCAGGTCCAAAATCACAGGTTCTTTCTGAAATTACAGGCCTCTCCACTGAGGTGAAACATCACAGAATAACATTTCTACCCATCACAAACTTTCTAAAATGTTTCTTAGTGTGATTTATTTATGAAAACAAGACCCAAAAAACCAACCTCCCCAAAACAATGAGACAGGCTCACCGCGTGTACACTGAATTCAAATCTGGTTTATTTGCAGAATTTTACTTCACCAATTTTCATTTCTTCCTGTTTCTCATGGCTATATAAAAATTCATCCTTTGTACAAGCTTGTAAAAGGCTCAAGCGTGACTAAGAAGTGAATATTGCACATGTAATGACTTAAAATCAGAGGACTTGAAGGGCACATGAGACATGGGAGAAGGAAGGGTTCAACAGCCTCTGTCTTCTCAGAAAGTGACTTCAAACCACTGAAGGAAGAGTGAGTTCTGATTCTCAGTGCTCAATGAGATACTGCATCTGTACATTAAAGATAAGTTACACACAACAGCATTCCTCAGTGATTCACCATCCCAAAACAGGATCCACAGGTGGCTTTTTTTTCAAGTTATCATCATCAAGTATCAAAAACCTATCCAGTGTGAATGAAAGAAACTTCACATATGAAGGTACTTCAGAAAGTCTGTCGAAAAACAGAATTAGAAGTTTTGGTGCAAAAACATTTTGAAATTCAGGCATAGTTTTTGCATAATATACATTTTTGCATGATCTTTTTGAAGACTGTTCATATGTATGGACATAAACTATTTTTGCACCAAAGTAAATCTTTCAATTCCATTTTTCCACACCCTTCTTGAAGTCCCATCATATAGCTGCTCTGGGCCTCCCTAAAACATGAGCGTATTGTCACACACCACAATGAAGTCCGCATTGGTGCCTGGCTATAAATCAAGGACTTCACCCAGCATCACCCAGCTGCCCATGAAAGAACACAGAAGGGGACATTGAAAAAAAAAAACAGAACAAGCAACATGCTTATTTCCCAGCATTTATATTTCCATTTTGTTTAATAAGACAAAGTTAACTGGGCAGAAAAATGATCAGCTACCATCTCAAAATAAGCTGTAAAGTCAGACCCAAATAGAGAGGAGACAGTAGTGAAGGGTTACCTGTGAAGTGCCTTATTGTTAGACTTAGTGTGAGATGTGCAAGGAGACTAGTCTTTCGCAGCAACTGACACTCCACAGGTCTGGGGCACAGCTACTTGCCACCCAAGAGTCCAGAGGAGCCAACTACACTACGTGGACCACGGTAGTATGACCGTAACCCAAGGGCAGGGAGCAGGACGTGGCAAGTGAGTTGTCAGAACAGGAGGATTCCCACTCTTGGCACCTGCAAGTGAGCACCAGTTCAACTGGTGCCCCAGATGCCTCATCCGTCTCACCCTGATGTTGGCCTCTCTTGGATAACATGGATCAATGTGAGAACTTTTCACAAAGTGCAGTCCTCTTAGACCTCATGGGAGAAGAGAACTAACTAAAGACACAGGGCCACCTAGCCTGCAAAAGACTAAGGGGTTGGGTCCAAAACGTGACAAAAACTCAAACTGCCAGGAGATCTGTCCCAAGCGGTACAAGAGGACAGCCCTAGCCTGGATTGCTCTAGGCAGAGCCCTGACCAATAAATAAGTCACATTGCCAGGAGCCGTTGGCCCGCTAACAACCAGAACTACAAAAAGAGCCCACAGTGGCAGCCTGGGCATGCCCAGCAGGGCATCACAGGATCCTCACAAGAGGGACGAGATGAGTATTAAATGCCCCTCTGGTTTTAAATGTGACCCTAGGAATTCACTTCCTGCTCCCAAAGAAATAACTGTAGCAACAAACACCTAATGAAAAACCATCACCTTCATTTAAACACTCTTAACTCGGGCAACATGGACAAACTGACCTTGGCAGATGACGGGGAGGAACAAGGAGGCTGTCACTGGTTGAAGGGATCAGACTTCCCCCAGACTCAAAGAACTGACTGAACTGGGCCCAATACCGGGGAGGCAGAGGCATTCGGTGACTGGGACAACACACTGATCATGCAGCTGAGAAACAGTCAGCCTCCGAGCTGGGGTCCCGAGAGTAAGAGCTCTGGAAACGTACAGGAGAGCCCTAGCCCTACCTGCCACTGTCACACTCTGCAGGACCCCTTTCCCTCACACGCCCTGCATCCAGCTGTCCGCCCCGCCCTGCAGGTGCTGGATGGAGAAGACTGACCCCCAGCTGACTCTGCCCCCATCTGAGAACTGCATGGTGGGGGACAAGGAATGGAGAGGCCGAGAGGCACTCTTTTGTTGGGATCAGAATGCTGCCTCCTCTTGCTCCTAGGAAACTGTCAGACATCCTTATCTGAGCGGGGTGCCAGGGCCGGCCACTGTGCCAGAAGTCTGGAGCGTGCAACAGGTTGCCTTCCACGTCACTCGGCCCATAAGGCAGGCTCTGTTTTTCCTTGATCCCAGGATTTACATGCAGCCCCAGTCGCTGTCTCTGAAAACGTGGCCCTGTGCTCTCTGGAAACCCATTAGCCCTGAAAGCAGTGGGCAGGCTGACAGGCCTGCTGCCCTGCCTTCCCAGGAGACCCCAGCAGCGCTGCCATGATCTGAACCAGCCGGTGCCTTTAAAGCACTTTCTTAGCCCAGAGAGTAAACATAAAGCAGTGGAAGAAGATGCACCTCCACTGGCCATCTCTGATGATGAGGTTACAACTAGAAGACATCAGGCATAAAAACCAACAGCAATTTTACCAACTGAAATACTTGACGAAGTAGTGGGATACCCTGCAGTCTGGATTCATAACTATTACAACCAAAGGTCGATTTTATTTTTCATCATTTTTACAGACCAAATACATTATAAATATTATAAACTTTCAAAAATTAACAGGTTAATCATAATTCTCTTTAAAATGTACATACTGTCACTGAAAAACTTCACATTCTAGGAAATCAATAATTGCCTCCTCCTCAAAGAAAACAGCACACAAGGTATCTCCCATCTTAACACCATTGTTGTCAGATCAGCTCGGTAAATGGCAGAGCTCCTAAAATTTTCTTATACACAGGTGGATGACCGACTTTGAAAATGGGGAGAAAGGAAAACAAAGAACATGTCCCCGGAAGACGAGGCTTTGTGGCCCACAAAACTCTGAGCCTGAACTGGATGCGCTCCATCAGAGCTTGCCCAGGAGGCAGAACTGCTCAACCGCACAAGTTCAAAATGAAGAGCTCCCACAAGCCTCCAGGTGTGGGGGAAGCACGGCCAAGGGTACACGAGAAGCAGTCATTGCTCTGCTGGCCCACATCCCTGTCTCCCTACTAAAGGCTCCTGGCGGCCACTGAGACACGTCAGATGACTACTTATGTTCCCGGGCTGCCCTGTAGGCAAAGCTGGACGTATGAAATCCATCTGGAGCTGACAGCAGCACGAATCCGATGACGAGAGTCCAGCTGCCATTGCTCAGGCAATGATACCACGGGCAAGAAGATGGCGACACCACAGGCAGTGCCACTGTGAGGCTCTGGCAATGAATGAGAACAGCTGCTAACAGAAGGCACGTGGCTCCTGGAAGAAAGCCAGCCCGCAGCAGTTCTCCCAACCCGACCTGGCTTCTGCAGGACAGTGTTTCAGCAGACCCCAAACCTGCATTTGCGTTTAACTATGGAGGGAAGAACACGCAGGGAATACACAGTGGGGCCCAGTTTCTCCCCATCTCTTGTCTCTTGACACGAGAGGCCTCTGGATACCAACTTGGAAATTTCAGTGTCAACAGGGTCAGGTAAGTGGTGTGACTGGGGGGCTGGGCTGGGGGTAGGATCCAAGGGAATGGCGGGGCTGTGGTGACTGGACAGTCATCCCTGGCTGTGCTCCCCTGCTGTACACGGCAAGCTCGTCACGGAGAGCCAGCCTACCCCATCACATGCAACACGAACCAATTCAGCACTTCCAGCTCCCTGTTGAGGGAATTACCACAATACTCAGATGCTGGTGTGTTTCCCCACATTTGAGAAATGCAGAAATTTTCAAGGCTGACTTTTGTTCTTACTTTGGAAGAACACAAATGGGGTGTAAAAGTGAGAGCTCCACACGATTCCTGGAGCAGTTGTACTCGAGACGCCTGCGAAGTTCAGCAACTCCGAGAGGCTCTGCACCCAGGGGAAGCTCAGTTAATTTCACTTGTGGGCGAACATAAAAGTTACGATGCTCCCAGAATGTTTTAAGAGCTAAGAAGACAAACTTACACACACCCCAGAGTTCCCTAATGCCTCCCGACTTGCATCTCACTCAGCTGCTCCTTGGCTGAACTTACTCTGCGGTGAAACGGAGGGAAGTTAGGGGTACAACAGCAAAGTTAAATGTAAACTTAAAGAGCAACATGGTTTTCAAGAGTCTCAGTGGTACTATCGAATGTTGTCCAAATAATGCACTTCTGGATACAGACTGTTGACAAGAAGAGCCAGGAAGCTTTTCCCATCTTGGAGGCAATGGCCAGGGTGCTTTATAAACTGGGCGGCTTGCAGTATCTGATCCTGATACTCAACATACTGCTTACTCAAGGTCATGGATTCAAGAGCACTCAGAGCCTAAAAGACACGAAAGACGGGGGGTTAATTCCACAGTGAACGTGAAACGTGGTGGCCACGGGCACAGCATACTTACTGTTACGATGTGGTTCCACTGTGAGCTGGGAACTAGGAGTCCAGAATGCAGGCACCAGTAGCCACTCGCAGAGGGAGGACAGCACCTCAAAGCCTCCTTGGCTTCTGCAGCTTTCCACATCCAGCCTCCCCTCTCCTGGTTGGGGCTACTCCCCAACACTTTGTGGCCAAGAGCTATGGTTCAGCCGGGCCTGTCTTACCGCTGGCCTCCTCACCTGTCACCCCCCTGCCCCAGCTTCCTGAAAGCCGCCTCATTCTCATTTCCTTTGGTCCCAACTCTCACCAGGGGGCTCCTCCCCAACAGATCACCAGCCCCCTCCTCCCAGGAGCCATTGGGAAATCACAGGCACCCAGCATCTCGTCCAAGTGAGCCCTGCCCCATGTGGTGCTGGGCTTGTTCCTCGGTTACAAAACAAGGTCATGTGTAACTGGTCTGATTGAATGAACTGCTGCAGAAACCTGCTGCCATGGCCGGCTGAGGTTAAAGGAGCATAAAGTCCGGATCAGGTGCCTCCCGAATCTGCCCAGAATGGATGGAGACAATGTTCCCACACCTCTCTCCAGAGCAGTAAAGGAAAAACATGCCTTGACTCAATCACTTTAACTCTGCTTCCTTCCTAGCAGAAGAGACTACGTGGAGAAAACAAGGACTCGCAACAGCAGGGAGTCTTGTTTTCCAACTGCACAAGCTCACCCACCCCAGGACTGTGACCCTGTCCCCCTCCCCTGCACCGTGTCCCCTCCCTCTCAACCGGAGTGCTAGATGATAGATACTAAATGATGGAATTGGCTTGGTTCACAAAACAGGGAGGGAGATTTTTTAAGGATGGCAAATGAACTGAAAGCTTAGAAATAAATTACCAGGAAGGCTGTACATAGAAGTCTTAGGATTTGGGGACCAAGTTAAGAGCTCTGTGAACAGAGTTCGATCTAAGAACTGAATGAGTGGGGACAGGCACTCCTATGAGCCACGGTGTCTCTCTTCTCTCTCCCCTCCTTTTCTTTTTCAAGTAGCCCCTCAATGGTCCATTTTGAGGCTTTACAATAATAAATAATATAATAAATAAATAATATAATAAATAAATAATAAATAAATAATCATTCTATTTAAAAAAGATGACTGTTACCGCTATATTCCTAAAGCTATACCTATAAAATTTGTATTTATTAAATAAAAGCTTAAAAAAAAAGATGACCATTTTCAAGTCTAAAAATCCTAATGGCAAGTTCATAGGAGACACACAGAAAATCATCCCTGAAATGCGGACAAAGAGAGGCTGGGCCCAGGTGACCTGGAGTCACGCCTAGATGCTCCAGGTTCTGGTGGCCACAGAGGAGTTGAAGACTTCTCATATACACCCTGAAATACATCTCTCTGATGTCACTATCTGCCCTCAAAAGGCTCATCTCGGGGTAGGCCTTTGGCTAAGCAGTTAAAATGCCAGTGTGAGGGAGGGTAAAGCTGCCTCCTGCAATGCCAGTATCCCATATGGGTACCGGTTTGAGTCCCGGCTGCTCCACTGCCAATCCAGCTCCCTGTCAGTGCACATGGGAAAGCAGCGGAGGATGGCCCAAGTGCTTGGGCCCCTGCACCTACATGGGAGAGTGGGAAGAGGCTCCTAGCTCTTGTTTGGCCCAGCCCTGGCCACTGCAGCCATTTGGGGAATGGACCAGCAGACCGAAGATTTCTCTGTCTCCTCTGTGGCTCTTTCAAATAAATAAAATAAATATTAAAAAAAAAAAAAAGATGCCAGTTGGGATGCACACCTCCCCTATCCGAATGCCTGGGTTGGATTCCTGGTTCTGCTCCTGCCTCTACCTTGCTGCAAATGCAGACACCGGAAGGCAGCAGTGATGGCTCAAGCGACTGGGTTCTTGCTGCCCATGTGGGCAACCTGGACTAAGCTGCCAGCTTCTGTCTACAGCCCTGGCCCAGTTCCAAATGTTTTTAATTTTATTAAAGAACAACTTAAAAAGTTTTTTAAATAACTTCTGCCACCTGTGATACCTCATGTGAGACATTAGGGATTTAAACAGCTGTGCTGTCTGGCCAGTGAGCAACCATCATCAGGTATTTTCTACACAGGGATCCCTCTGAAGAACCTACCAACTGTTCTGCCTGATCTTCATTCTTAATAGGCAAGATCTCATACATGTGTAGCTGGCTTAGACAGCACAGCCGAGGGGTCTGCACAATGCCCAGGCACAGACACACCCTACAGCTGGACTGATGAGGGTGAAGCCAGCCCCCCGCTCTCAAGCTGTATGACCCATGACTGATTACTCATCCACAAAACCAGGAAAACAGCAGTTCCTCTGCTGTTATTATGAGGAATAAACGAGTTACACTTTGACTTGTGCATAGCCAGTGAGTTGTAGCTCAGGGCAATGCCTGGCAGAGAGCGGCACCCAGGACTGCCAGCCATTGCTTCAGAGTATGCACCTTGTGCTTCCTGGCCTACAGACAGGTGAGCAGGAGATACCAGAATGGGACCACTGCCCACACCGTCTTCCTGTTTCTAGAACAAACTATAATTTTCCAGAGCTACCATTCTGTCTGCAGCATCAGCCAACAGTGGTCAACCTTCAGACTCACAAAGGAATCCCTTCCTTGGTTCCAAGTTAAACTCAGCTAGTTTCCTTCCATCTCAACTGTGGCTGCATTTTCTGCACCCGCCTCAGCTCTCAGCCCTCAGCCCTCAGCCCTCAGCCCTCAGCCCTCAGCCCTCAGCCCTCAGCCCTCAGCCCTCAGCCCTCAGCCCTCAGCCCCCGGCCCCCAGCTGCAAGCCTTTAGCAGGTAAGTGTGCATTTACACTTACCAGAACAAAATTCAGACCTAGACTGGTTTGCCTATGGCCTTGCTTCATCCACAATAACAGTGTTCTAGGTAAGTATCTACAAAAAATGGCTTAAAATCTGGGATGAGCACACGTGCTCCTACAAGCCTCATGCCATCGTGTATATGAGCCAGAGCTACCACCTTGCCACCTTACAGGGAAGGCAGGCGGGAGACCTCTGACCCGCAGGCAGAAAGCTGTCTGTACCGACCTGCTGGGCTTTGGGAGTCAGATGTAAGTCGGAGCCAGGTCTCAATCGGATCTGATCTTCTGTAGGAACCTGGACTGAAAGGAAGGCAGCCATGCTTCGGGCAACCACCCGGAACCTTAGGGGTTAGGGGGAGGTCAGAAGGAGGAAATGATATTAAAATAACCACCATTTTCTATTAAAACAAAACAGGATAAACACATTTCTAGGTCTACTGCATCGTTAACCTCTTCAGGAAAGTCTTCAACTTGATCAACAAGGAACCTGAACCTCCCCTTCCATGATCACCATGCAAACAATGCAGGTATAATTCAGATTCAGGAGTGAAAGTGTCAGGGAAGGCATTTGGTGCAGTGGTTGGGTCACTGCTTGGAATGCCTGCACCCCATACCCGAATGCCTGCGTTCAAGCCCCAGCTCCACTTCTAATTTCAGCTTTCTACTAAGGTGCACCCTGGACGGCAGGAAGTGATAGTGAAGTACTTGGATCCCTGCCACCTATGTGGGAGTCCAGGTTTGGACTGCCAGCCCCTGACTTTGGCCTACCCCAGGCCTGGCTGTTGCAGGCATTTGGGGAGTGAACCAGCACATGGAAGATCTCTCTGTGTTTCTATTTCCTCTTTGTATCTCTGCCTTTCGGATAAAAATAAATAAATTAACAACAACAACAACAATCAAAGAATGAAAGTGTTGGCAAAAATGTAGAATAACTGGAAGCCTCACAGGCTGCTGTGGGAATATAAATGGTGCAGGTGCTATGAAAGTAGCTCTCAGGAAGTGCAACACGGTTACTACAGGATCCAGCAACTCCAGGCCTGGGAACAGACCCAGAGGAACTGAAAACAGATGTCCTAACAAACTCCTTTAAAAGAATGTTCGCAGCAGCATTTTACGCAATTAGGTAAAGGTTGAAACAATCAAAATGTCTATCAGCTGATAATCGGATAAACAAGGGGCTGGCGCTGTGGCATAGCAAGTGATGGCACACCTGTGATGCTGGCATTCCATATGGGCGCTGGTTCATGTCCCAGCTGCTCTACTTCCAACCCAGCTCCTTGCTAATGGTCTAGGAAAAGCAGCACAAGATGGCCCAAGTGCTTCGGCCCCAGACACCCACATGGGAGACCTGGATGAAGCTCCTGGCCCCTGGTTTCAGGCTTCAGCCTAGCCCAGCCCTGGCTGTTGCAGTCATCTAGAGAGTGAACCAGAGGTTGGCAGATGTGTGTGTGTGTGTGTCCCTCTCTCTCTGTAACTCTTTCAAATAAATAAACAAAACATGGTATATCCATACGATGATAAAGGAGTGAAGTACTGCTACATGCTACAACATGGATGAACTTTGACAACTCTGTGCTACATGAAAGAAGTCAGACAGAAGATGCCACATATTATTTGATTTCATTTATGTAAAATGTCTAAAACAGGATTTAATACATAAAGCCAATTAGAGGCTGCCAGCGACTAAGGGTGAAAGGAAACAGAGGCGATTGCTTAATGGGTACATGGCTTCCCTTGGGGATGATGAAAACCTTCCGGAACTAGTCAGTGGTGAGGGCTGCAACGATATTGTGAACATGCTAAATGTCACTGAATTATTTATATTACAGCAGCTGCCATGAGACATTTTAAGTTATGGGCATTTTACTACAATTAAAAAACAATAATGAAAATATCTGATGGGAGTAAAAGAAACACAAGGCAAATTTAAAATGAAACCAATCACATAGTTCTGCTAAATTCTACCACACACAAAGAAACATGATATTAACTGATCTGCAATGAGCTGTCCCCAAAGTTGCAACAGCAGAATGGGCTATTCCACAAGAAGCAGACAGAACAGGAGAAGAACTGCTAGGCAGGACAGAAGGCAGATGGTAAATTATTCCATGCCTTGGGAGTCTGAGCAACAAATACGTGGACCTGATTCTTATTACCTGTCCTTCTCACCAACTGCCCTTCACCCTTGCTGAGGACTTAATGGTGCACTGATCCGAGTCCCCCACAGGTGTGGGGTTCCCCTGAACCCACGCACAGTGATCTAGCACCTGTAGTGAAGCAGCACACCGGGCATTCTAACCTAACCTTGCACACCATCACGGGCTCAAATCAAAAAAAAAAAAAAGCAGCAGTAACGATACAAAGTCAAAATACAACAGACGCTACTGATACAAAATTTTGTTTGAACCTAAAGTAGCGTCAAGATGAGAAAAAAATGCTTCTTAAGACTATAAAAAAGTAATCCGGCTCTGATTTTTTCCTCTTAATTTTTCTGGAAAACCTGGTTGCAAAACCTACTGAGGTATCACAACCTATACATCAACGCAGACGTCTGAGGCCTATTTAGAACAATAGCAGGTGCTTCCTTACCTGTTAGACAAGGGTGACTTCCGGCCCAAGCCGATTACCCCCAGGATCCCAGAGCTGAGCCTCTCCTCCGCCACAAGGCACTGCCTGCTCTGAAGTGTGAGCAGAATTCGAATCACAGATTCTGTCAGGACCGAGTCATTCTGCTCGGTCTGAATCAGAGACAGCTGCAGCACTTGGTGCCACCACAGAAACAGCTTGGCCTCTTCCTGCGTGGAACTGGGGGAGGCACCAGAGGAAAACAAAATCAGGAGTGGATTTTTCCCACCCCCGTTTACCTGAAAGTCCACAACAGTCTGAAGCACAGGCCATTTAGTGCCCTAGAGGCTTAGGCACAGGTGATCATGCTCCTAAAATAATGGGACTGCTAACAGCTACTGCTTAGCACTCACCATGTGCCAGACACCATGTACGGGCTTTCTGTCCTCTCACGTTAAGCCTCGTAACAACCCTATGAGCTTGAGATTTTTATCTCCCCTCAACTCATAAGGGAACTCAAGCTTGGTGCTTCAAAATTCCCATTTTAGAAAATTAAAGAACCTACTCAGAAAACAGGCCCTCGGGCTAGGCATCTGTGCAAAACAAGTGCCGCTATACCTTGGGTACACCTGTTCCAGCCACTTGCTCAGGTGCAGCAGCACCTTCATTTCGTTCTGGAGAGTCTGCTCACTATTTAAGCACTGAAGCAGGTAGACATAGAGAGTCAAGTAACTGCCGAGGGCTAGGCACTCCTGCAGGAAGTCTTCTATAGTGAGCTCCGGGACCTGAAGGGACACCAGAATAGGGCCCCAGCCCAAATTCTGGTTGAAGGAGCCTAAAAAAGATTAAAAGGAGACATCAAAATATAAGCAAGGCAGGGGGACATTTGGCACAGCGGTTAAGATACCACTTGGGATGCCCATACCCCACATCAGAGTACCTAGATTCAAGTCCCCGTTCTACGTTTTTGTTTGTTTGTTTGTTTGTTTAATATTTATTTACCTGAGAGGCAGAGTTACAGAGAGAGGTAGAGATAGAGAGAGAGTCTTCAATCCACTTGCTCATTCCCCAATAGCCACAACGGCCAAAGCTGTGCCAAACTGAAGCCAGAAGCTAGGAGCTTCCTCTAGATCTCCTATGCAGGTGCAGCAGCCCAACTACTTGTGCCATTTTCCACTGCTTTTCTAGGCCATCAGCAGGGAGCTAAATCAGAAGTGGGGCAGCCAGGACTCAAACTGGTGCCCATATGGGACACCAGCACCACAGGTGGATGCTTAACCTACTATGCCACAGTGTTGCCCATCCCCTCCCCTCCCCGAACTGGTTCCATTTCTGAGTGGAACCTGCTAATGTGCACACTGGAAGGCAGAGGTGTTGATTCAAGTAGCTGAGTCTCTGCTACCCATGTGGGACACCGGGAATTGAGGTGGGGATTGAGTTCTTGACACCTAGTTTCAGTCTAGCTCAGCCCTCACTGATGTGGGCATTTGGGGAGTGAACCAGTGGATGGATGGTTCTCTGTCTCTGTCTCTCAAATACATAAATAAGAGAGAGAAACAAGAATAAAATTCTTAACAACTTTAATGAATCTTTTCACTTTAAGCTTCATGTCAAGAAAACATTTCCAACATCGGCCCCTGAGGCCACAAAAGTGAAATGTACCCTGGACTCAGACTGAACAGCCCTCATGCTAAATGTCCATTCCCAGGCCAGCCGCTAGAGGTTAAGAAATCAGAACACAAGAGCCTAGGGTGATTACTGATGCCATAAACAACAGTGTCAATTTGTTAAGTCAACAACAGGAGTCACTGTGCACTTACTCCTCATGTAGGATCTCTGTCCTTAATGTGCTGTACATTGTGATTTAATGCTATAACTAGTACTCAAACAGTATTTTTCACTGTGTGTTTCTATGTGGGTGTAAACTCTTGAAATCTTTACTTAATATATGGTAAACTGATCTTCTGAATATAAGGAGAATTGAAAATGAATCTTGATGTGAATGGAAGGGGAGAGGGAGTGGAAAAGGGGAGGGTTGCGGGTGGGAGGGAAGTTATGGGGGGGAAGCCATTGTAATCCATAAGCTGTACTTTGGAAATTTATATTCATTAAATAAAAGTTTAAAAAAAAGAGAAATCAGAACACAGGGCTACATATGAAATAAACCACTGTTCTCATATCATGATTACCAAAATGACATGCGGACCCTGTCCCAGTCATCCAAGAGCTTTAACTTTAGTACCACTTTTAAATATGTTTGAACACTTAGGCTTTTGCAAGGGAAACGGTTATCACCAAGTATTCTTGCTTATCAAAGCTTAGTTTGACTCTTTTATATCCCTAGGGAAACCATTTGGTTTTTAGTAACCCAGATGAATTTGGAACAGGGTGCTCTCTATATTCTGAGGGAGGACGGGTGGCACGGTGACGCACACAGCACCTCCTCCTGAGTCACTGGAAAGTTACGGACACGTCCCAGCCCCTCACTCCTTGCTTTCCCACTGCCTGTAGTGTGATTGTCCCTGAAATCAGAGTTCAGGAGGGTAGTTCTGAGCAATGCCTAATCAGATCAGGTTGTTTCCGGAGTCTCAGAGTGGGAAGGGAGGAAGGGAGGAAGATAACAGGGAGGCAGGCATTTGGCCCAGCAGTTAAGACACTTCTTGGGAAGCCTGCATCCAGGACAGAGTGCTGGGTTTAGATCCTGTCTGCCCTCAGATTCTGGCTTCCTGCTGGTATATACCCTGGAGGGCAGCAGGTGACGGCTTGGGTAGCTGCATTCTACCACCCGTGCAGAAGGCCTAGAACGGGTTTCTGGGTCCCACATGTTAAGGGCATCTGGGGAGTAAACCAGCGGAGGGAAGACCTCTCTCTCTGTCTCTCCCTCTCACTGTCTGTAACTCTACCTCTCAAATAAATAATAAATAAAATCTTTAAAAAAAAAAAGGTGTAACAAAAAGCAATTACAAGGACTTCTGTGAAAACTCCTTTTACCAGAAGTGACGAAAGTAGAGAAAATTAACAAAGTAGATCATGATTCTACAGATTGTGGGTCTGAGGACTATGACTTGGTTTGTGACATAACAAGGCTTGCCTACAATAACAAGGGTGCTCTCACACTCTGAACTAGTGTAAAATGAAACACATGACTGTACCAACAGACGTAAGCCAGAGGTTCTCACATTGTGGAGATAATATATATATATATACATACCATATATATTTATATATACATACATATACATATATATATATTCCACAACATCGACAGAGCAGATATGAGAATGGTACAATCCCTCACTGGGAAGAGTCTGGAATGGTATCTCCCGGTGATCACGCTTTAATGATTCTTGGAAAATGTCAACGTAGTGAGAACAGAACGCCCTCTTACTTTCTTTGAAGTAGGCAGTGATGCAGGCTTCTGTAGTCTCGGCCATGTGGCGCACGGAAGCCAGGCTCTGGCAGGCTGCTGTTAAAAGGGGCAGCACCATCAGCCCGTGTACTTTCTGGCCAATCCAGGTCCGGATGCTACCCCGGAGGAACTCAGCCGTTGGAATAGTGGCATTGTTCATCATCATCAGGACTTCCATGAAGAGGCTGCTGAGGGCCATGTGGCGGGCCTGGCTGTCCATGTCTGCAGAAAATGAGAAAGGCTGAGAAAGGGGCCAGGAAAGTGACCACGACAACAAGAGGGCTTCATTCTCAGCTGCTCTGCGGCAGATTCTATAATTCTAGTGGCTGGCACAGGGCCCAGAAGGCAGGCTCTGGATGGTGTTCGGCTCTCACAGGACACAGCACACAAGCACCACTGTGAGCTCCCGGGTACAGCAGTACCTAAATAGGCACACATCAAGCTGGCATGAAAGAGCAGCTTACTGATCAGAACACACCTAATTAGTGTTTCTTCTCCAACACTTACTCATGAACAACAAACACACAGGTGTCAACAGTCACTTAGCAACAGTCCTCTCCAGCCCCGCTGCTGCCACTGCTGTCAGTATTCTGGGGTGATTTACACAGAATAAAGGCCATTACTTAAAACTAAATATAAAGTGAAAAACCTTTCAAAGGTTCCTAACTGCAGCTATTATTTGTGTTCTTTTTAATCTTCTTAATTTTTTTAAAAGATTTATTTATTTACTTGAAAGGCAGAGTTAGAGAGAGAGAGCGAGAGAGAGAAAGCAAGCTTCCATCTGATGGTTCACTCCCTAAATGGCTGCAAGGGCCGGAGCTAGGCTGGTCCGAAGCCAGGAGCCAGGAGCTTCTCCCTGGTCTCCCACAAGGGTTCAGGGACCAAAGCACTTGTGACATCTTCCATTGCTTTCCCAGGCCACAGCAGAGAGCTGGATTGGAAGTGGATCAGCTGGGACTTGAACCAGCATCCATATCAGATGCCAACACTGCAGCCAGCGGCTTTACCCACTATGCCACAATGCTGGCCCTTATTTGTTTTTTAAATAAAAACAGCAGACTGTTAATACAGTTTTTCAAAAAGAAAAAAGTCAGAGGTAAAGGGGAGAATAAAAAGCAAGAAAAAAGAGCGGATTCATTTTCTAAGAGATATGCAAATGAGTTGGAGCGGGTCACTGAGATAGATTCCTACTTCATATTCAAAAATAGAAAATTCTTGTAGCTCAGAAATAATAGGTGCAATTTTTGCCCACTATTTCTAGCTCTCTTTGAGCTGGCTATTTTGGAATAGGAATAAGTTGGGAGATGTCACTCATCACACCCAACAAAACAAATCTACCTGTTTACATAAGGTATCTTTCAAAAAGTTCATGGAAAATGTCTATTATATGATTTCAAATTTTTTGTACCAAATAAACTTATTTCTTAATTCCAATTTCCATGAACTTTCTGAATTGCCCCCTGAACAGTGTTAAACAGACTTTATGTCACATGTTAATGTTACTCTAAAACCTATCAAGCAAGCTCTTTAAAAAAAAAAAAAGTTTAAAAGCTCTAGCATTATATCTGAATGAGCATAAACATTTTTTCAAATGTACTTCCAGGGCCAAAAGTATTCTTGGTAATAAAAGTTATCTCTGAATTTCAACTGAGCAGCAATTTTTATTTATTAATTATGACTTACAGCAACAAATTACTGTACTGAGCTTCCAACAGATCCCAGCTTCATATACTTTTTATTCTAATTTTTGCCTGATATGATTTTATTTGCCAGATGTTTGCCTGAAAACTTTCTATATCTCTAGGCTTTAGATGTACTTTTTTTTTTTTTTTTTTTTTTGACAGGCAGAGTGGACAGTGAGAGAGAGAGACAGAGAGAAAGGTCTTCCTTTGCCGTTGGTTCACCCTCCAATGGCCGCCGCGGCCGGCGCGCTGCGGCCGGCGCACCGCGCTGATCCGATGGCAGGAGCCAGGAGTCAGGTGCTTTTCCTGGTCTCCCATGGGGTGCAGGGCCCAAGCACCTGGGCCATCCTCCACTGCACTCCCTGGCCACAGCAGAGGGCTGGCCTGGAAGAGGGGCAACCGGGACAGAATCCGGCGCCCCGACCGGGACTAGAACCCGGTGTGCCGGCGCCGCTAGGCGGAGGATTAGCCTAGTGAGCCGCGGCGCCGGCTAGATGTACTTTTTATAAGCAGCTTAAAGCTATATACTATTTATTATTAATCTCACCTGAGACTTTGTATTTTATTTTGTATATTGGTCCATTTACTGATACATTTGAATTTTACCATCTTATTTTAGGGATTTTTCCTCACTTTTTCCACACTTTTTTACCTGCCTTCTCTAGACTGAACATAATTTTGGTTTTTAGTTCCATCTACTAATTTTGAAAGTATACATCTTATTTCTAGTCTTTTGGTGAGGCTCTTAACTATTTTGTAACATTCCTACTGTAACAAAGTTAGCTAAGTCCTTAGCCCTTTCAAACAAAATTAGAAATACTAACTTCAAAATCCATGCATTCGTGGTGTCACCAAAAACTTCATGGAGAATGTGTACTATGAAAAACCTATGTGTATTTCAAAATTTGTTTGCACCAAAATAAACTTATCTTTCAATTCCATTTTCCTGTGAACTTTCTGAAGTATACAAGTACCCTTGTATACGTGCTGTCATATAATTTTAGTTTCTGCTTTCTAAACCCCAAAACACATAATATAGTTTTTAAAAAGATTTATTTTATTTACTTGAAAGACAGAGTTACAGAGAGAGAAAAAGAGTGGGGAGAGGAGGGAGGGAGGGAGAGGGAGAGGGGGAGGGGGGGAGAGAGAGAGAGAGAGAGAGAGAGAGTCTTCCATCTGCTGGTTCATTCCCTAAATGGCCACAATGGCTGGAGTTGAGCCAATCCAAAGCCAGGAGTGTTCTCCAGATCTCCCACATGGGCGCAGGGTCCCAAGGACTTGGGCCACCCTTCGCAGCTTTCCCAGGTGCATTAGCAGGGAGCTGGATTGGAAGCCAAGCAGCCGGGACTTGAGCTGGTGCTCTCACATGGGATGCAGGCACTGCAGGCCAGGGCTTTAACCGGCTATGCCACAGCACCAGCCCTACATATTATAGTTTTATACAGGTAGCTTTTACTCACATTTCACCACTTTCTTTTCTTACTTTTGGCAATTCAAGCCTTCTATTCAGGTTCACTATACTATTTAAAGAACATATTTGAGTATTTCCTTTAGTGGTATGCACAGACAAACAATACTCGCACCTCAATGAAAGTACCTGTACTTCATCCTTATCCTTGAAAGATGGTTTTTATTTTACAATTCTAGATTATAAGTAATTTTCTCACAGCACATTAAAGTTATTATTGCATTTTACAGCTTCCTTTGTTGCTACAGAGAAGTCAGCTGGCATCTAAATATTGTTCTTTTGTATGTTAACTGCATTTCCTTCCTGGACATAAAAGGTTTTCTTTTTTGGTCACTGGTGCTTTTGCAGGGTCACTATAGTGCACAGAAGTGTCAATGTTTTTGTATTCTGCTTAGGATTTATTGGGCTTACTCAAGAGCATTATCTTATCAGCCCTGGAAGTTTCACAGCCTTGCTCTCTCTTCATATACTGCTTCTCTCCAATTACGGATCTCCTGTGCTCTGGGAACTCTGATTCAAGATGCAATATGGTAAGTCTTCCTGATGACCCCTCATGCCCCTTAACCTCACTTTCACATTCGTTTTCTCTCTGTTCTGTAATCTGTATTTTCTTCAGAGTTATTTTCTAGTTCACAAATTTTCTCTTCCGCTGTGTTGAATCTACTGTTAAAGTTCTTTATTAAATGTTTGTATTTTTAAAGCTAGAAAACATAATTCTCTTCAATCTGCAGATTTGTAGAATCTCTTGCTTCTGATATTTTCAACCTTCTTATTTCAGTATATTAAAAATACTCTTGTTTATTCTACCGATTATTCCTATGATTTAAAATTTTTCCATGTCTGACTCTGCTGACTGTCAGTTTCCCAGGACTTATGCTTGTGGGACCTTGTTTCTTTGTGGATTTTGTGACTCTCTTTTTAAAAAAAAAAAAAAATCAGTTCCTTAGAACTTTGAGCAGATGAGTTTCTCCAAAGAAAGGAGAATCTATGACTGCTTTCTGCCAGGTACCCGGCAGCACTGCCAACCCAAAACTACTTTAACTGAATTTCAGGTTGAGGGTTTTTCAGATCAAACTAGATAGGGAGGCCAGTGCTGTGGCGTAGCAGGTAAGGCCGCTGCCAGCAGTGCCGGCATCCCATATGGACGCTGGTTTGAGTCCCGGCTGCCCCACTTCCAATCCAGCTCTTGCTATGGCCTGGGAAAGCAGGAGAAGATAGCCCAAGCCCTTCAGCCTCTGCACCTGCATGGGAGACCCAGAGGAAGCTCCTGGCTCCTGGCTTCAGATCAGCACGGCTCCAGCTGTTGCAGCTAATTGGGGAGTGAACCAGCGGATCAAAGACCCTGTCTCTCTCTCTCTCTCTCTCTGTGTGCATGTAACTCTGACTTTCAAGTAAAATTAATAAATCTTAAAAAAAAAACTAGATAGGACAAATTCTTCAAAACCACATTGAGAGTTAGCTTGTACTTACCAGTTTTCAAAACATGTAGCTTTTTCTCTGCCACACAGACATTTGTTCCGACAGCAGAGCCACAGCTAATGCCTTTGTGTCCCTCTCACAGGACATGTTCACTTGTGGCTCATGTTTAAGCTACAGCTGCCAACTGTGGGTTATGCCGGGGGTCTCCTGGCTACCATCTCAGGCAAGTCCTGGCCTTTATACCTAAGAAGGTTTGGGGTGAGAGCCAGCCCAGAGATTCCATCTACCTTGTTGATTTCCTCCTTTCCCTTAGTTTCTGGCCTCTGAGATTTCTTTGCCTTTCTGTCACTCCACTGATAAGTTTAATTTCTGGTTTCTTAAGAACATTTTATCCAGCATTCCTTGCTGTTTTTAGCAGGAAGCAAAGTGCTAGGAATGGAAGTTCTCCACATAAAGGGTCTTTACTAGTCTAACGTGATTCTGAAGTGTTCTCCCCATTAACAGCCAAAACCACAAGAGATGCTACTTACTAGGGCTCCTGTATCTCATTAAACCCAGCAACCTCCCTGTTCCCTCCGTTTGCCAGTGTCAACCCCTGCTCCAATTCTTAACATTCACACCTCTGCCAGTGCTGAGTGTCCCTGGTATCCTGTTATCTCCCTGACCATCCTGGAAAAAGGGACAAAAGGGTCCTGACCATCTCCTGGCCTCACAATGCCCTTAACACAGGAATCCACTGACTGAATGAACAGGTGACCTCCCACTGGTCACTTACCAGGCGGGTTAAAGACAATGATATCATCTAAGAGCTTAGACATTTCCTGTTCTAGGACTGTGAAGGTGATTTTTCCATTTTGTTCCAGGGTGCTGAGGAACTGAACCATCTGATGAGTGAAAGCTTGGCACTTTGGAACTGCATCCTGACAAACAAACAAACAAAAGGATCATTCAAATGAATCTATGCAAGGAATGAAAGCTGCCTAGTCCCTGGGAGCATGGCACTGCACTGAATGCTTGCAGGGCACAGTGCAGGGGACAGGCCAGGAAACTGCACAAAGACATAATCCCAGGTGTCCCAAAGGCCCAGCATCTAGGGATTTGCAAATTTGTGCTAACACTTTGACTAGAACCCACGTTCTCCCAAATTCAGCAGAACGTACTTCCTTCTTTACTTACTACATAATTAAAATATTAAGTAAATGCTAATTACTTTCCAGGAACTTTTCTGTAAACTTTAGGTTCATTATCAAATTCAATCCACAAAACACCACACTGAGGCAAGGTATTATTTCCAAATCAAAGGAGAAAACTAAGGGACCTGTCCAAGGTCAGAATGGCAGTGAGCTGGGGACACGAGTCTGTCAAACCTCAAGCTCACACACATGACCCTGCTTGTCTGCTTGTTTTTGTTGTCGATGACATTCAGATCGTGAAACCAGCCTCAATCCTTTTGACCTCTCGTCAACATGTGACATTGCTAGTAAGGAAAAGCTTTCTAAAAGAGGAAAAATCAAGCTACAAGTTCCAAGGGGTCAAGATATGAGTCCAAACAATGCACCCTCCAACCTTCTCTGCTGAGCAGTCAGCAGGTTCAAGACTGTCCTCAGCAGGACTCACATGACTGCCAGTCTTGAAGGTCACTCCCTCTCAACTTACACGATGTTTCTGGCTGTCAGTAGGAATGGAGAGGCCTGCAGACACTTTCAGGAGCTTCACAATTAATTCAGCAGAAGACTCCTTTGCCAGGATGATGGAAGGTGGGTAGTGACTGCTGAAATAACCTAGCACACTCTGGTATGACATAATATCCACAAGATGCCACGAAAGTGAACTTGTCTGTCCAAGGAGACTGAGTAAAGGTGAATCCTACAAGTGAAACAGATATTGTTTTAGTTCCAGAGCCTGCACTTGCCCGGAAATACATGTCTCCAATAACCACTAAGGTGGCCTAGGATGAGCACAGAACAGCCAGGATACCAAGTATCTACTGAAATTAGGAGTAGTAGTGAAAGCAACACCTGAAGTCCTGGTAAAAACACATTAAGATTTCTAGGTATTCACAATGCAGTTTGCACAGGACTCTGCTCCGTTGGTATATACCATAACTGACCTTAAGACAGAACCAGGAATTACTGAGATGTAAAATACAACTGATTAACATTCTAATCCAGCACAGTACCCTCCATAATTTAGAATTAAATAATGAACTACCCAAGAAAGTCAGGCATGCAGTTGAAGGGACATCTCTCAAGCCACGCATCTACCCACATGGACAGAAGTGTTAGAAACAACTGAAGAACTACAGCGCTGTACAAAGTGAGGTTCTGGGAACACTGACAAGTCTTTATCACAAGCTCCCAAACTTACTGGTTGATCTACTAGTTGAACTTCCTTTGCCAACAAAACCATCATGAAAAGGAGACAGACAATCATGCTCTGGGTTTCTGGGAGGGGACTCGGATTCCAGGCATCTGAGAGCACACTAACCCAGTTGACTTCACACAGGACAGACCCCAAAAATAAGAAACAGCTCTTGGGGCTTCCTCGTTCTACCTAAAAGGAAACGAATTAAAATCAACATTTGGCTTTATGCTGTTTTGTGTATCTTGAAAATGTATACACATAGATATTCATAAATTATATTTTACAAAACAAAGCTTTTTCCCCAGAGTACAGCTATCCTTCATACTCCCACCTCTCAGAGATTTCATGTACTTCCAACAGCTTTTCTTCTGTGCCCAGCATCTGAGTGCGTGTGTGAGCGTGTCTGTTCAGGGTCACTGTCTATTCCGATCATCTTTAACAGAAGACTCGATTGCACTAACCCCTGCTCAGGTGGAGACTCCCCAGCATGTGAGTCACTGGAGCCACATACAATGTGTCAGAACCCTCAGATGTACTGGGACAGGGTAAAAGCTGAAATCTACAGGTCAGTGGTTCCCAAACTTGAGTGTACATGAGAACCACCAGGAGGACCTATCAAAATACAAACTGCTGAGCCCATGCCTGGAGATTTCCATGTCTCAGATAGGCACTGGGAACAGGAATGTGCACTTCTCACAAGTCCCCCGGTGATGCTGACACTTTGAGAGGCACTACACTAGGCTATATTAAGATTTACACTGAATTTTAATGTAATGTGGTTTAAAAATGTCTTCACATCATTTGTAAATTTTTGAAGACTGCAAAATTCTTTTATTAGAGACTGGGTGGGCAATTGTAATATAAAGTATATAATCAAGCTCAAAGTTGTCTTTTATTAAGAGCCTATTTTAATATTTTTAATTTGTTTAAAATAAAACACAGCTAGTCACGAACTTTTCCTTTCAAAATGAAGATGAAAAGTTCCCCTCAGGGCTCATGCTGTGGCACAGTGGGTTAAAGCCCCAGCATGCAGTGCCAGCATCCCATATGGGTGCTGGCTTGCATCCTGGCTGTTCCACTTCCAATCCAGCTCCCTGCTAAGGCACCTGGAAGGCAGCAGAGGATGGCCCAAGTGCTTGGACCACTGCATCCACGTGGGAGACCTGGAAGAAGCTCCTGGCTCCTCACTTCAGATCAGCTCAGCTCTAGCCATTGCGGCCATTTGGGGAGGGAACCAGCAGATGGAAGACTTCTCTCTCTTTCTGTCTCTACCTTTCTCTGTAACTCTTTCAAATAAATAAAAAAATAAATCTTTTAAAAAATCCTTTAGGACTGCAAGAAAGATATTTTTAAAAATAAAAAATAAGAGCTCTCCTCTACTTGTAAAATCATGATCAAAAGAATTTGGAAATGATTCACTTCCTCCCATTCCTGTTACTATATTATGCTAATAATTCTCTTCCCTTGCAGAAAGCAATTCTTCATCCCTCTTTATAATCTGTCCTTTATTCTCACCTTTAACCCTGCAAGAAAGGAAAAAAAAAAAAAAAAGGCAAGCATACCTCATGAGGCAGTGAGAAGCAATGGATTCAAAGATTCCCAGCTTCTGGCCAGGTCAGGGCTGTCTATCATTACAGTAAAAGCCCTCAAGGCACAGAGTCTACAGCTTCTGCTCTTTAATCTGTCTTATAGCTAAGGTCACCCTCCTAGTTAAAACTACCTTACAGCTCTTGAAGCAACTTTCTCTCATGTGTTCCTAATGGTGATAATGTCCACTCAGGACCTGCCTCGCACTGTTAAGCCCACTCATGAACTCACTCTTGAATCTTATTTTTCTAAAACAACTGCCCTCCCATAGAGCTCAACCACACAGGAGAGGCTGACAAGAGCAACACCAGGTGGGGTTTCATTTGCAGCACTAAAAGACTCAAGTACATTTCACTAATTATCATAGATAATTGCAGATCTGTATCAACTGAAGCACTTTTGGTACCTCAATAATAAATGTGAGTTAAGAGTACACCCAGATTAAGGTGACTAGGAACAAACGAACTGAAAATGTCTCAGACAAGACTATAAAAAAAGGCCCTGTAACACAGAAACTTGGGGCCAGTGTCGTGGTGTAGCGGGTAAAGCTGCTGCCTGTGACACTGGCATTCCATGTGGGCACCAGTTAAGAGTTCCAGCAGCTCCATTTCGATCTAGCTCCCTGCTAATGTGCCTAAGAAAGCAGTAGAGATTGGGTCCTTGCACCCACCTGGGAGAACTGGATGAAACTCCTGACTCCTGGCTTTGGCTTGGCTCACCCTTAGCTGTTGCAGCCCCTTGGGTAGTGAACCAGCAGATGGAAGATCCTGTATCCCTTTCTCTCCCCCTCTCTTAACTCTGACTTTCAAATACATAAATAAATCTTAAATAAAAAAAGAAAGAAACCTAAAAAGAACAACAAAAATAATCACTTCTAGGACTTTTGGCCAAGATCAAGAGCAACAAAAATAGCTCCAGGGGCCAACTTTAAAGTGCAGCAGGTTAAGCCACAGCTCAAGGCCGGCGCCGCGGCTCACTGGGCTAATCCTCCGCCTTGCGGCGCCGGCACACCGGGTTCTAGTCCCGGTCGGGGCGCCAGATTCTGTCCCGGTTGTCCCTCTTCCAGGCCAGCCCTCTGCTGTGGCCAGGGAGTGCAGTGGAGGATGGCCCAGGTGCTTGGGCCCTGCACCCCATGGGAGACCAGGAAAAGCACCTGGCTCCTGGCTCCTGCCATCGGATCAGCGCGGTGCGCCGGCCGGCGGCCGCGGCGGCCATTGGAGGGTGAACCAACGGCAAAGGAAGACCTTTCTCTCTGTCTCTCTCTCTCACTGTCCACTCTGCCTGTCAAAAAAAAAAAAAAAAAAAGCCACAGCTCAAGACACCAGCATCTATACTGGAGCACTGGTTCAAATCCCAGATACTCTACTTCTGCTTTGGATCCAGCTCCTCGCTAATGTGCCTGGGAAGGGAGAGGAAGACGGCTCTAGTGTTTGGGCTCCTGCCAACCGCACGGAGACCCACATGGAGTTCCTCTGTCGTGTGTGAGTGTGTTTGTGTGTTTGCATGTGTTTCCATCTCTGTTGCTCTGCCTTTCAAATAAATAAATCTTAAAAAAAAAAAGCTCCAAATGCCTAAGTTACAATATTCAATGCCCATTTTTCATAACCATTGCATCTACAGCACAGATGCACATCCACTTATTGGCCCTTTTTTCCAGGTTAGTTCAAGTCTTTACATGATGGTGATGCCTCATTGATTGTTACAATGGATTTTATCTCAGAAAATCTAATTACTCACTTGCAAACTGCTAAATGAAACTAATGGCTTAAGTACCACTTTAAACTTTGCTTTACTAGAACATCTGATAATAAGTCACTCTAATGACACCAGGCTAGGAAAACATGCATACACACAAACACCAACCAAGACTGGGCACGACCAAGTCAATAAATTATGTACTCACACAACACAATTACTAAAGTCTAGGACAGACATGTTGTAGGCAAGATCTTTCTCTGGGCTTTAAAAATAGTCCTGGAGGTGTTTTTTCAGTCATCCACCAACATAAAGAAATGACTGGCATGGGCAGCTGGTCTCCACCAGCACCCCCAAAGCACCAAAGCAGATGGGAATGTGTGCCCAGTTCCCCTTGGCACACCCCTCCCCTGTGGGTCACAGTCACAGTGGACAGACTGTGCCCTGGACGCCAGCTCTGCCCGGGCTGTGCCTGGTGGCATGGAGGGCTCACTTTGAAGAAGGCCTCCATGAGCATCTGGTCAGGGTGCAGGTCCTTCCAGTGGAGCTTCTGGTAGGCACTGTGGAAAGCGTACAGAATGAACTCTGGCATTTTAGGGGCTGTACAGGTTTCGCAATAATGCATCAGATGTAACCGAAGGGCTCCTTCATCACCTGGCAACAGCTTATCTAAAAGTTAAAAGGCAAATACAGATAAAAGTCTTTGGTTTACCAATCAATCAACCAATTGCACAAATCTGGACTAAAAGCCAAAAATCTAAGGTTCTAGATATTTACCCAATTTCAAGGATTCTCACGTACCAGATTAATACTAAAGAAGGGTGGCCGGTGCCGCAGCTCACTAGGCTAATCCTCTGCCTTGCGGCGCCGGCACACCAGGTTCTAGTCCCGGTCGGGGCACCGGATTCTGTCCCGGTTGCCCCTCTTTCAGGCCAGCTCTCTGCTGTGGCCAGGGAGTGCAGTGGAGGATGGCCCAAGTGCTTGGGCCCTGCACCCCATGGGAGACCAGGATAAGTACCTGGCTCCTGCCATCGGATCAGCGCGGTGCGCCGGCCGCAGCGCACCGGCCGCGGCGGCCATTGGAGGGTGAACCAACGGCAAAGGAAGACCTTTCTCTCTGTCTCTCTCTCTCACTGTCCACTCTGCCTGTCAAAAAATAAATAAATAAATAAATACTAAAGAAGGGTACTTAAGGGGCCGGCACTGTGATGCAGCCAGTTAAAATCCTGGCCTGAAGTTCCAGTATCCCATATGGGTGCTGGTTCTAGTCCCAGCTGCTCCTCTTCCGATCTCGCTCTCTGCTATGGCCTGGGAAAGCAGTGGAAGATGGCCCAAGTCCTTGGGCTCCTGTACCCACGTGGGAGACCCGGAAGAAACTCCTGGCTTCAGATCACGCAGCGCCGGCCATTGCAGCCATCTGGGGAGTGAACACCAGCAGATGGAGGACCTCTCTCTTTGTCTCTACCTCTCTCTGTAACTCTGTCTTTCAAATAAATAAAATAAATATTTTTTTAAAAAAGAAGAAGGGTACTTTATTAACATGAGTAATCGTAATGACCGAATGGTGTGGGGGAAATAGTTGGGGTAATAACTTTCTCTACAAAACTTCTAAATATATGCTTTTAACTCAAATTTGCTTCTGGAATCAGTTCCCCTTAGCATGTATGTATTCTCATAGATTTACTGCTTCATTCACTTAGCACCTTGTAGGAATCCAATATTCCTCAAAAGGGTATGTTCCAGAAATTTCTCAAGATGACATACAAATAGGCAATGGGTACATGAAAAAATGTTCAGCATCACTAGTCACTATGCAAATTAAAACTACAATAAGATATCACCTCATACCTGTTAGAATGGTTTGATCAAAATGGTACAAGATAAAGAGCTGGTAAGAGGGTGAAGAAAAGAGAATCTATACATTGTTGGTGGGAATATAAACTAGTCTAGGCATTATGGGAAACATATTTAGAGGCAGGTTCCTCAAAAAACTAGGAATAGACAGTATTTGAAAAGAGAATGGCTGCAAATATTCTGTAACTGAAAAACTCAGAGCAACCTCACAAAGTACATAGATGTTACAAATTTAACAGTAAATAATTGTATTAGTGACCTTTCTTTGGCCACAGGTAACTGCCTACCAGCTAAAGAAAATTAAATAAAGTAGCAAAGCAGAAGTCAAAGTCTGAGCAAAGGACTTAGGGGAAAATGGAAACCGAGCAGAGACACAACGTCCTCCCACCTTGGAATCTCCTGTGCAGTGAGTCCACAGAGTCGGTGAACAACTGCACAATGCTCGAAGCCACCACAGCATCGCTCTCCAGCCACGGGTAATGTCGCTGCTGGCTGCTTCAAAGAAAAGAACACAGACCTCAGCAAGTGCCACAATTACATTACTCCAGGTAGCAGAGTCTAGGCCTGGGCCAAGTTCTAGAAAACCCTAACACACACCGAGACCATTTCAAAGGCATAAGCTCCTGCAGGGGAACCGTAGCTTGCAGCATTACCCATGCACTTTTTTTTACCTCCTCTCCTTCCTATCATGCACTGCAATGCTGCCAAGCTTCAGAAGTGTGCTATCCACATTCATAGTCCCCAGTGCTCACCGTCACACCACGGAACCCAATCTGAAGACGTATGCTATCTAAACAACTCCTCCTCTACTGACATCTTTTTGTGGCCAATTCACATCCTTGAACACGTTGGTAACAATTCAAATATCTTAGAAAAATACTCAGATGTGACTTCAATAGATTTTCTACCCAAAGCAAGAATAAAATAAAAAAAAATCCATGTAAAAATAAGATAACCAAAAATTGACAGGAAAATAGCCAAAGAAATTCTGTATGTGAAGATTTAACTTCTGACTCTTGTCTAGGATTTAAGTTCCATTAATTCTCCATGCAGATAAACACACAGCCTGCACTGTGGTCAGCAGTCTATATAAAGACATTATAAAATCCAGAAGCTTGCAGATAACTCAAGGGTAGCCCTCTAGCAAAAGCAAAGAACCAGAGCCTTTTATATTTTCCCCAAGGGGCTCTTGAAGCAACATGGGTTCATATAAAGAGTACTGAAATGCAAGTCAGCCAAAGGCCTGAGTTCCAGCCCCAGCTTTGGCACTAACCAACCAGCTGGGGGACTTAAGACACTCCTGTGCTCTGAAGTCTTAGGACCAAATCAATGTTTCTGAAAATGTCTTACATAAACTAAGCTTTTCCACTATCGTAATTCTGCTAAAACTCCTGACAGTCACCCAGCTACCTTGTAGAAAAACACTGTGTGCATTCTTTTAGGAACAAAAGACTCCTAAGACAACACCTGCACTTGGACAGCTCTACGCCTCTAAGCATTTTAAATGCTCAGGAAAAAAATGCTTTCATTTAACTGCAGAGACCCAGGTTTAAAGAGTAATTCCCACCCGCTAATCCCATAGCCAACTCAGTTCCAAAAGGAAACCTGAGGTCAGGTAAAAAGCTGTTAGCTCCTTGTCACATTGTATTATCGAAACCTAGGAGAAACCTTAGGAGAAGTGTCCAGTTTTCTGAAATTAAATACACAAAGTCATTCAACTTCGTTATTATGGCAAACTAGAAAGCAACATCCAGCTGTTTCCAAAAATTAATATCAAGACAACATCTGTGCTAACCCAGTGACTAACAATTCCATACATAGAAGGTGTCTGAAGCTTTGAAAAGAAGCGTTTTCAAAATTGAAATATCGCTTGTCAGTTAAAGTTGTAAATTCACCATGTTACCAAACCCCATTAGAACTTTAAGAAGACAAATTTCAAAGGACTCTGAATATGTGAAAAATCTGTTTACCTTTCACTGTCCTCTAAAACCAGGATCCATGGCTTAAACAGTGCAATGATTCTTGAATGCAGGGATCTCAGCACTAAAACAGCAAAATTTTCAAGACAGAAAATAAGCTCATTGTTTGTCAATATCAATGGTAACATTATATAAAAAAGTCTACTTATCTGTAGACTCACAAACCTCTGTTAATATTCAAACAAAATGCTTAGTGTAACTTAAGTATGGTTGTGATTTCATTTGCTACCTGTGAACTGAGGAATTTTTTATTATAACACAATGCCATGGATAAATTCATAGCATACTTTTTTTTTCTAAGCCAAGTGGTTAAATATTCACAGCCTTTTCATCAGCTAAATAAATATCAGGAAGAGGAACTGGAGACAGATCCCTATCTTTCTGCACCCTACCCTGTGAAGGAACAAGCTGCAGCCTGCACCCCACCTTCCCCAGGTAATACCTGAATGACACACATACAGCTCACAAGTGTGCTATGTATTTTCCATTTCCTCTCCTTGACAATCGATATCAATCTCCTAATGAGTCTACTCAAGCCTCTCTAATGGAAGGTCAGAACACCTCACTCACATCGTACTAAAAGCACAGTACCTGATTTGCTGTTAGCAGATGGGTCTTGGGCCAAGGAGGCCATTTCTGAGTCAATCAGCCTTTTCACAAGATAGCCCAAGAATGTCCTCACGTCAGCCACATAAGGACTCCATTTTGAGAATAAACCAAAGCTTTTAAAGTCCAACTTGGATAACCGAAGTTTATAGAAAAAGTCTGAAAGCCACTGTATTGTCTCCATTACCTAGAAGAGATAACCAGCAAAATATGCTTATTGAATGTCTACTTTTCTTTTTAAGACTGATTTATTTATATGAAAGGCAGAGTGACAGAGAGGGAGAAACAGAGAGAGAGTTAGTATCACATTAACATTAGTTAGTATCACATTAACATTAAACATGAGAATTGTGTTGAAGTAATTATAATGCATTGACTGTGACCCTTAGAATCTAATGTATTAACAAATTCCTTCAGAGAGGGGCAGAATGAGAGACATCTTCCATCCACTGGTTCGCTCCCCAAATGGTCACAAAAACCCGAGCTGGACCAGGATGAAGACAGGAGCCAGGAACTCCATCCAGGTCTCCTATGTGACTGGCAGGAACCCAAGTATTTGAGGCCATCTACAGCCTCCCTTGCACATTAGCAGGAAGCTGGATCACAAGTGTGAAGCAGCCGGGACTCAAACCAGGCACTCCAATATGGGATGCCAGCATCCCAAAGTGGTGGCTTAGCCTGCTGTGCTACAATGTCCACCCCTGAATGTCTACTTTTAGTAGAGTATTATGACAGTCTACGATGGGCGTCCAATAGGTCTTTACCTTTATAACAGAGCTGCAAAGATAGAACGCATATGGGAAAGCAATCACTGGGTTTCCAACTCTTTTTATAAAACAGAACCATTATTTCAAATAAACTCTCACGTGAGCCCACATCAGATAGAAGTGGACAAAACTGACAGGTTGAAGGGACAATGCATGGAAACTTGACCAGCGGTGCCAGGGATGAGTTCGATGGGCAAGATGAGAAGGGAAGGTTTTCACAGGGAGGGCACCTGGCCTCATCTTGGACATATGGGCAAGAAACTAGAATCCTGGGACCCGCAAGGGAGGCATGGGGAAAGAAAAGGACCAACAAAGAAACACACAGGGCTCTCACAGATAAAACACAAAAGCAGTTTTTTAGATAGGATAGTATTCAAAAGCAGCTCTTTAGGTCACTTAAACTGTACTGCAATTGTTTAAAAATAATGAACAGGAAGAGAAACAGAAAAGAAATGTATAAACAAGACCAAAAGCGACACACCTGCTCATCAGACAGGAGAACATGTGAGGAGCTTTGAAGCACGGTGCTCTCTGCAGAAGCTGCCCCCTGCTGGCAGCTTGTGGCACAGCAGCCCAGGGCTCTCAGAGTGGCTTTCCAGCACTCGGGGCTCAGCAACTGCTCCGCAGAGCCTAAGCACCAAGGACAGAGAAAGCAAGTCAGCAACCTTCCTGACTCACATTGAAGGATGTATGTACTTTAAAAGTGAATGAAAAATTACAAGTAAAAGTCGAAAACAAACCCACGGTGCTACCTGTGGTGAAGACAGCAAAGTAAAAGAGCTGACCACCTAGACATTTGGCTTTCCTCATTCCTTATCACCCTCCTGGGAGGGAGCAATGCTGAAGCCACTGGAGCTCAAGTCCGGTGCGAATCCCACCTTTTGGCCCTGGCTGTGGAGTAGTCACAAGGTGCCACTTTCCTGGCTGGAGGGTAACAGCTACCTAGGGAGGGGCATGATACAAACAGCAGCAGCAGCACGAGGGAGACCGGAAGTAGAACCGAACTCCAGAATCTAGACTCCCGCGAAGGGTCTCTTACCAGCCCTTAAATTCTACTCCTCCAATGGGCAAAACCTAAACCAAAACCCAGAAGCAACACTGAAAAGTAACCACCACAGGCCAGTATTCTGAACTAGTTCCAGCGCTGCTACTGGCAAAGCACCACGCCAGAGCACAGGAATGATACCTCCCCTAAAGTACTTTCCACAGGGTAACAGACATTGGCAGGAGCAAGCCAGGGGAAGGAGGATGGGGACCGCTGCTACCTATCCAGCGTCAGGCATCTAGGGGACAGTGACAAGTCTGTGTTCTATGGGTACTTTGTTCTGGGCCTTAGAGAGAAGCCTGAAATCAAGCCATCAGTGGGGGAGTCATGCTTGCCTCAAGGATGGCAGCAAAGCCAGGACTCAGGCAGGGAGAACAAGTAGGACAGAAGAGCAGAGGATGGAACCCTGGGACCATCAACATCGTAGTCAGGGAGGAAGGGGAAACAGGAGCCCGTAGGTCATAGAAACTGAGAAGTGTGATATTTTTATTCTTTTTTTTTTACTGACAGGCAGAGACAAAGAGAGGTCTTCCACCTGCTGGTTTATTCCCTAAACACCCACAACAGCTGGGGTTGGGCCAGGCCAAAGTCAGGACACTGGAATTCAATCCATGTGTCCCATGTGGATGGCAGAGACTCAAGTACTTGGGCCATCACCTGGCACCTCCAGAGTGCACATTAGCAGGAAGATGGATGGGAAGCAGAGTGGGGACTTGAACCCAGGCTCTTGGATATGGTGTGCAGGTGTCCCAAGTGGCATCTCAACCACTGCACCAAATGTCCACCCCAATATTGTTATTCTTATCTTTTAACTGAATTACTTTCCTGGTAAGTATAAACTTTCAGCTAAATGCAAGTCAATGGTGGCCTACATATGCAGCTCACAATCTGTTTAAAAGATTTCAGGGGAAACCTACAATTCATACTTCATCAGATTTTGAAAATTCAGAACAAAAATGAGCCAGGCACATACTCATTAAAATGATAAATATATTTCCTACCACCATTCTCCACCCATTCTGCAACTTGTCCCTTCAAGAAATAATTAAAGCTTGAAGTGCTGTGGAAAATGAGAGACCATACAATGCAGGATCCTTCAGTAACCCAATACAATGGACCATTCACTTACCCATTAAACAATTTCTAGTAAGTAACACAAAAATATGATATAAAATAACATTTAGTTTTTCATTACATCTAGCATAGTAAAGTTGTATGAAAAAAAGTAAAAACTATCTCATTTATCAAATTCCAATGAAATTACTTCCTAGTGTAATTCAAAAAGTAAAAAGGACTTCACTCTTTATTCCCCCTCTGATTTCCAACGTTCCTATGGAAAAATACAGGAAAGGGGGAGAGAAATCATGGGAATATGGAAACTTTTTGCTGCTCTTTTCCTTGGCAACTATAAATACAGACTATCATTATACCAAGATAAAGAGAAAAAAAATAGGGTGGGAAAAAAATTCTCAAAGAGATACCCACTATTTTGAACTACTGAGAAGCTAACTGGCATATGAAATATTGTCAAAAGGCAGCTTCCTCCCCTGCCACATGTGTCACCTGTGGAGGAGGAAGGTCCTTTCCTACCAACTCCACTTGAGGACAGCAGCAAAGTCAAGGTAAAGAGTCAGGTGCATGACCGTGGATGTCACTGCTTTGCCCAATCAGGGCCCACTCTAATATAAATGACCATCTGAGAGGTACCAACGTTTGGGACACTGTTGACCAAGTCCTTACTTTTTTGGGTTATGAATAGAGATTCTGAACTACCGTATTCATCCTGTTTTTACATTTTTAGGTGACATCTGTAGAATGGCAAGTATGACACTGAATACTCACAGGGATGGGGTTAGTCAGAATTACACAAAGACACTTACTTTGCATCAGCAGCCTGAGAATGTCACTGTACTGGTCAGGGAACTGGTACAGAAGGAGGTAAGTCCAGTGCTTACAGAAAAGATTAAATGGCATCAAAATATCTTCTTCTGGTTCAAGGCCCCAGGCAGTAAGTGCCAAATGAATGGACTCCAGAAGCCTGGTACGATCAGACAGAGGAGGTTTAGTGGCGTTTAACCATTGCTTAAGATCGAACTACAAAGAAAAAGAAACAAGAAGCAGTTTTATTTACACTAGAAAAGTGAAGGAGAGAGAGAACTGTGCAAGTTTAGTTACAAAGCCAAAGATTACCAAGCATTCACCTTTTTAGAAAAACTGAAACTACAATTTATACACAAGTACATAAAAGAAGTTACGAAGTTCTGTTGCAACCATCCTGCTACATTCTCAGGGATCTCAGAGGCACAGTCTTGTGAGCTCTGTGTGTTTTTTTGCTTAGTTTGGTTTTGTGTCATTTAAAAACCTTATTGACCATTCATTATTGGTTTACAATTTTATTTTGTTCCTGAAAGATCCATACACTTTTATCTTTCACCCCAAGGTCTGGATCAGAAATTCGATGTTCTCCTCTGCTGGTCCCAGTGCAATCAACAAAGAGTCACTTTATGGAACCATTTCAATTTAACAGCCATGTTTCTGAGTCTTTATCAGTTCCCTATCTCAGCTCATAAAAATTCACACTATTGAATCCCAAACTATAAAACATGTTCTTCTCCATTATAGACCAAGATCAGTTTCCAGCCCCTAAAAAATGCCAAGATTTTATTGCTTCATAAATGTCAGAGAAATATAATTGAAGGCAAAATAGCTGAAGCTCTGAAATTCTCAACTAGTTAAGTAAATTCATTGCCTTGGTCTAACACAGTTAATATTCTATTCAGAATGGGGATAAAGCAATTTGCTTAGATCTGGCTTATTCTAAACATGACAGACTCTGATATATCACAACTCACTTATCAAAACACAACTTAAGCATAATAAATTTAGTATAAATTTAAAAGCAGGCTGTACGAAACTACTATTACGAATTTTTTTTTCCAAATCTCTGCAGTTTTGAAAGAAGGCTTGGAAACAAGGTCCTCTGTATCCTGTATGGACTAAGAATAAGACTACCTGACACAACACAACCAACATCCCACCTCCATAAAGGATGCCTGAAGATCAGGCCAAATGTGAAAAAGGTTTCTCAGCGATGTTCTTTCTGGATATGAACCTTCAGCAGTCTCTCCTTTTCTATGGAGTGGGAAGCAACCATCATTTCCACATTTCAACAACATCGGAACTGAATCACAGCTCACCTTGGTTAGCAGCATGAAAATCATATCACTGTTGTCCTCGCTTAGAAACCTCACCACTTTCTCATAGAGCTGTATGAACTCTGCAGGTGCAGCATTGGGAGTGAAGAACGGGGACAAGAGGGAGCAGAGTCGTCTATTCTTCAGGATGGTCTGAAGCACTTTCCTGCATTCTGATTTAGTGCCACTGATAAACACCTTGAAATCAAAGGGTAACAAGTCATCAAATTCTCTCCCTTCCTCAATATTTATTTATACAAGCAAGTTTTAAGGGTAAATAAGGTAAGTACAACTTTTTATAAATGAAAGTGTGAAGCTGTCAAAAAGACATTTAAAACTAACATAGATAAGCCATCACTTCCAATAGAGGCAATATTAAAAATCATGGATCGGCCGGCGCCGCGGCTCACTAGGCTAATCCTCCACCTTGCGGCGCCGGCACACCGGGTTCTAGTCCCGGTCAGGGTGCCGGATTCTGTCCCGGTTGCCCCTCTTCTAGGCCAGCTCTCTGCTGTGGCCTGGGAGGGCAGTGGAGGATGGCCCAAGTGCTTGGGCCCTGCACCCCATGGGAGACCAGGATAAGTACCTGGCTCCTGCCATCGGATCAGCGCGGTACGCCGGCCGCAGCGCGCCGGCCGCGGCAGCCATTGGAGGGTGAACCAACGGCAAGGGAAGACCTTTCTCTCTGTCTCTCTCTCTCACTGTCCACTCTGCCTGTCAAAAAAAAAAAAAAATCATGGATCACCAATTAATCTGATTTGGATAAGCCACACGCAGAAAATTCTAAGTTAACCATACTATAAAACGTTTAAGAGATTAAAGTAATGGATAGGGGTCAACTTGTAGCACAGCAGATTAAGTCACCACTTGTGATACCAGCATCCCATATTGCAGGGCCAGTTCCAGTCCTGGCTGATCTGCTTTAGATCCAGCTCCCTGCTAATGTGCATGGGAAGGCAATGTGAAAGATGGCCCCAACCACCCATGTGTGAAAATCAGGTTGAGTTTCCAGCTCCTGGCTCTGAGGCCTGACCAGCCCTGCCTGTTGTGACCATGAGATCCCCTCTCTGTGTCACTCTTCCTCTATTTCTCTGCCTTTCGAAAACATACATACATACATACATACTAAATTTTTTTTTAAAAATTATTTAAAATAACGGGACATTTGCAGTATGCCTACCATGATTACTAAATAGGTTCTGCATGAAGTTAAGAAAATGAAACTTCTAGGTTTTATTAACACATGCCTTTAAAAAGCTAACTTTTGGGGCCGTGCTGTGGTGTAGCAGGTAAAGCTGCCACCTTAAGTGCCAGCATCTCATATGTGCACCGGTTCAAGAACCAGCTGCTCCATTTACGATCCAGCTCTCTACTATGGCCTGGGAAAGGAGTAGAAGACGGCCCAAGTCTGTAGACCCCTGTACTCGCGTGGGAGACCCATAAGAAGCTCCTGGCTCCTGGCTTCAGATCAGTGCAGCTCTGGCCATTGTGGTCATTGAGGAGTGAACCATCGGATTGAAGACCTCTCTCTCCCTCGCTTTCTCTGCCTCTCCTTCTTTTTCTGTGTAACTCTTTCAAATAAATAAATAGATCTTAAAAAAAAAAAAAAGCTAACCTTCACAATCAATATAATATATCCTCAAGATAATGTCACCTTTTCTTAAACATGGTTCTAATGTGAATGTTTAAATAGTCTGAGAGTCAGGAAGGCTTCAGTAAGGTTGATCTAGGCAAAAATAATAAAAGGATAAGAGTAATAGGTTTAAAATTTTATCTGCTATACGGCAAAAGTACAAAATTTAAAAAAAATGACAAATTGAAAAATGCATTTATGACATATATCCAGACACCAGATCTGAGGAGCTCTTTCAAAGCAGTCAAAAAAAACAACAAAAATCCAACATAAGAGAAATCAGAATATATATATATATATATATATGATCAACAATATGCAAAGAAACATTATCAGTTCTTAGAAAAATACAAAAGAAAAGAATAATAAAATACCACTTTCCTTATCAGATCAACAAACTTTAAAAACAATGATAATCCCTAGTGATGGTAATGATACACAGAATAATAAACTCAAACATTTCTAGGATAGCATACATTAGTGCAAACTTCCCAGGAGGGCAGTATGACAATACACAGAAACTGCCATACAATACACACCAAATATATGGTATATATTTATAGCAATCATACTTTTAGGAAATCATTCTAAAGAGTCCAAAACAGTTCACAAAGGTATATAAGAATATTTACCTTGGCCTTACTGAAGCAAAAAAGGACCTAAATATTCATCAAAAGAAAAAAAAAAAAATCCATCCAGAGTACTGGATCAATACACTATGACACATCTATATCATGGAATATTTTGTGCAGACATTCAATTTCATGATATAGATCTGTTTTTATTAATAAGAAGTAATGTCTAAAAGATGCATTTAAGTGAAAAAAGGAAGTTACAAAATGATACGTGCCCACTTTTAAGTATATCTGTATTTATTTAGATGTGTATACATACATCTAAACAGATAGATATGTGTACATGTATACACATATATATCTATGCATACAATAATACATATCTCTTTATTTGTGTAAGAATGATACATTATGTTTAAATATACACACAAGATCAGTTACAATAAAAATATTACCTATGTAATAAGTATTATCAAGTAGTTAGAATAAGGAGAAATTTTTCTTCTTTATACTTCCTATACTATCTGTACTGCTTCTAGTAAGTACATATTAATTTTATGATCAGGAAAAAAAACTCCTTAGGAAAAAAAAATCTATTATAATACCTGCTCAGTATCACTTCCTTATAAGCATTCAAGAAATAAGTACTCACTCAATTAAATTTGGGTGAGCATGCATGGGTAATCTGTCTTCACATATTTTTCAAACAAGTGTCTTTCCTTTCTTTTTGATACATTTCATAAATCTGCATGGATACTTTGTCCTTGCCTTTGTTAAATATACATAGAATTAACTGCAAGCCAACTAGACAAATAAATGTTGATGGAGGACAGCAGCAAGGAGGCAGAAGTGGTAAAGCAAAGGAGCTCTGAGTGTGGTCAGCAGCTGGGATCCAGTCTCAGTTCCAGCACTCACAGCTCTACTCCTTGGCCCTGTCAGTTAATCTTTTAGAGCCACTGTGAGGATGAGATAAAATAATGAACTGCACAGTATCTTGTAAATCATAAAGAACCTCAAGAATGTTATTAACACCACCAACAGTACATGATAAAATCAGATGTCTCCCCAGACCCTCAATGTGGATAATTTAATCTTTTACATTTTATATGACAAGCAAAATTCTATACCCATAATTCAAACTATATCTTTTTTTTTTTAAATTTATTTATTTATTTGAAAGGCAGTGTTACAAAGAGAGAGAATCATCTTTCTGCTGGTTCACTCCCTAAAGAGCCATAACAGCCAGGGCCAGAGCAGGCCGAAGCCAAGAGCCAGGAGCTTCATTCAGGTCTCCCATGTGGATGCAGGGCCTCAAGCTCTTGGACCATTTTCCACTGCTTTCCCAGGTACATTAGCAGGGAGCCGGGTCAGAAGTGGAGCAGCTGGGACTTGAATTGGTATGCATAAAGGATAGATAGCTTTACCTGCCATGTCACAGCACCAGCCCCTTCAAACCACATCTTAAGAAGCTAAAAATTCCAAGGAGTTCTGACTTAGATAAAAATTCCTGGCCGGCGCCGTGGCTCAATAGGCTAATCCTCCGCCTTGCGACGCCGGCACACCGGGTTCTAGTCCCGGTCGGGGCGCCGGATTCTGTCCCGGTTGCCCCTCTTCCAGGCCAGCTCTCTGCTGTGGCCAGGGAGGGCAGTGGAGGATGGCCCAAGTGCTTGGGCCCTGCACCCCATGGGAGACCAGGAGAAGCACCTGGCTCCTGCCTTTGGATCAGCGCAGTGCGCCGGCCACAGCGCGCTGGCCACGGCAGCCACTGGAGGGTGAACCAACAGCAAAGGAAGACCTTTCTCTCTGTCTCTGTCTCTCTCTCTCACTGTCCACTCTGCCTGTCAAAAAAACAAAACAAAACAAAACAAAACAAAATTCCCAGTCTGTAATGTAAGTCTGATGTCAGTGCCTGGTGTATCCAGTGAAGACACAGCAGGGACTCACTGTATCTCAAGAAGGGCAGAACAAGCTTACCTGTCCCAGGATGTCAATGCATGAAGTAAAGAACTGCCTTGTGGGAGGATGACGCTGTGTCTCCTCACTGACATAATCCACAACAGTAAAGAAAAGGCTGATGCCAACTTTCTGGACCCCAGGTGTAGGCTGCAACTTGTAGGCATTCACTAAGGCCCTGTGGGAAAATGTTAGGCATGACTATTAGTCCACAGCAAAAGAATTCATATGGTGAGTGTTTGACACTTTTGTTTCTCAGGTATTACCCCCAAGAAATGTCACTTCAGAAATGTTTCCAGGGGTAAATGTGTATCTTCCAACGCTACCCAATAACCTATTTTCAATACACAGCAATAATTTTATGCTCTATTAGCTATATTATAAGGACTAATTAACATTTTTATTTTTACTGAAATTTTCCATATTTTGTATGTAATTTATTATTTAGCATTTTATATTTCTTTATATATCTTTTTAAACACAAGAACCCGGATTTCCCTAAATTTTAAAATCTGAAACACTAACAAAGAAAAATATTTTGAGTAACGTGTTAGAATAAAGATACCCTAATTCTCACTTTTTCCAGTAAATGAAACTTCAACCTCTTGCTCACCCAATTTCCTTCTCTTCCCAACCCTTAAATTCAATCCCCCAGAGGACTCAATGTCTCCACCATACTTCCTCTAGAACCAAATGTGGAGTCACCTAAAGTAAAAGGCAGAGAGGCAACCTCTCCAATCCCAAGCCATGACCTGGGAAACAAAGTGGACACTGCCAGTAGGCCAGGGGCTCCAATGGGAAGCCCTAACGGTCAAATGCAGGTTTACAACTATATTTGTGAGCCCTACCTCCCCTAAGCAACTTTGTGGTGAACACTGTTCGATAATCATAGCTGACAATGATTACTTCCTGGGTAAATAAGCCTCTGCCATGAAACTGAAGCATTAAATCTCTCCGGAACTGAATTTCAATGCACTGAATCAACTCATAATTCAGAGGTCAGCAAACTTTTTCTGCAGAGTCAGATACTAAACACTTTATGTTTTGGGGCCATAAAATCTCTGCTGTCACAAATAGTCAACTCCACCATTAAAGCATAAAATGCTTAGACATTATAAATAAATGTGTTGGTTGTATTCCAATAAAACTTTACATTTAAAAATGGAAAGCAGGTCAGATTTGGCTCAAAGGTTGCAGCTTGCTGATCTCTGTGCTAATTTAATTAGCGGATGGCCAGGGTAGGAGAGTGGCAGTACCATATGTGGTTATTATTCACAACAAAATCACGTTTTAAATTACAGCATCAAAGCTTACGTAATCAGGTTCTCTGCGTGCACGGCAGCTTCCACCACACTAAGGGATGGCGGTTTTGACGCTTCTGCTTGCAGCTGCTTCACTTCTTTTCGCAAAACATGGAGCTGTTGGCTAATCGCTTCATTTTTACACATACCTTCAAACTAACAAAAATTAAAGCAGTCAACAGGCTTTTCATTCCCCCAGATGCTTCTAGAACAGGTATTTTATTACAAATACACTGAGCATGTGATGAAGAAGATCATTTTACAATTAATATTATAATTTAGCACAAAACTCTCAGCTGAACCTGAGGATCAGAAAGTTTTGTCCAAATACTATTCAAGAATTTCAGATTTTCCATAAAGAATCTAACTTAAATGAATTATTTTCTTTAAAAAATACCAAACTTCAAATCTATAAAAACTGGTATCATCTTGAATTTGATATTTATTTTATCAATGGTTCAAAGTCTTTCGTAGGATAATTTCTCTTTCCTTTATGTGTCAACTCTTCAAATCCTCATCAAACAGACCCAATATCCCACCACTGAGACTTTTCTCCACTGACCACCAAGCCACGGAGTTCTCCCATCCCAGCGTGCACGCACACACACACACACACACACACACACACCTTCTTCCAGTCCAAACACTCAGGTACATGTGTGCCTAGCATGAAAAAAGTATAGCTATTAATGAAACAACTGCCATTGGGAAAAGAAATTAAAAATACATAATTATAAAATAAACAACAAAATAACTTATAGGAAAGTGCTCAGACACCTGCAGGCCAAGGAAAGGGCAACCGACTAATTCAGTGGCTCCTGAAGATTAATCTTTGATGAAATTTGTGTTGGTTCTCAGGGAAGATATAAAGAGAATTTATTGTGCTTTTAAAAAACTAAATTTATTTTCATTTAAAATCCTGTTTAAGACTGTATCTTTCCTACTTGAAGAGTTGTCAACACACCCTTTCCCTAACTGGTGGTTACCCATGTGATAACTGGTTTTATTCGTGAATTTTCAATGTCCTTTTCTGATTGTGGACAGATACACAGGCAAGAAGAAGACACCCTACACACAGGCTGCAACACAAAGATAAAGACAGATGACAGTTGTGGAGGATAGGGGACAGGGACAGAAAAGGGGCCACCTGCCTAGGAAATTCTGGGACAAGACTAAAGATGATTTTTTTAACTTGAATTTTAAAATAACCACCCCATATTACAGACATATTAAATTAAGTTTGGCTATGATAAAAAAATTCTCAAATTACTGTCATTTTCTAGTCTACTTATTTTTGATCATTGTTCCCATCATTGTTCAAAGTTTTCCTTCTTCTACTAGAACAGAGGTGAAAGAGACTGAATGACTCCCACCTCTTAAAGACAAGAAGTTATAGACAATAGAACAAAGCAGTATGGGGGAAGCTCCTCCACTTGAGTCATTTTAAGTAGACAAATAAATTAAACAAACATTCTGCAGTGAGGTTTTACAATAATGAGAGGCCCTCAGTGGGTTTTTTCCAGCTTTCATTTCTAGAAATGAACAAATCTTTCACATGATAATAAATTCTGGGTCTAGCAAGCATGCCTCACAATACTGAAGTACAACAAAAGGAACCTAACCATAAATCATCCCATTTCCTCAGGGAATATCATTGAATTTTTAAAGGCTTTTATAAGGATGGGATAGCACAGAAAAGGCATTTCTCTCCATAAAATATATTTGGCTTTTGTATGCCCCAAACAGGCTATATATAGTTCAAACACTTGCAGATGGCTGGAAATTTCCAGGACTTTCCTTCCCAGAAAGATTCTACTAAGCAATAAACATGTTCATGATACAATGGGAAATCTTTATAAGAGAGCCATTTAAAATTGTATTTAAAATATAAAATTATGTTTCATGACGCTAACTTTTAAAATTAAACTCAAGAGTGATCAGTTAGGATCATGGATTCTCTAACCATCAGAAAAGAGGGCAATTCCCGTCACATAGTCTTAGGAAATGGTATGCGTGATCATTTAAGCGAGACTTAACTATCGGGATCACACACTCAGAATCACACCACTAAACTTCAGAAAGAGGAGCTAAAGCAACTAAAGGGAAATAGCCTGGCAATACTGAATGGGAACATGGCCTTGAATTTGGATGGATGCAGGTGTGTACCTTGACTGAGCTACTTGGCAAGTCTCTTAGCATCTCTGGACCTGCTTCTCTGGGTACAACATCACTGTGGAACACTGAGTAATGTAAGCAAAGCACCTAAGCAAGGGACAGAAGTGCTTGGAAAGGGGCTGGGAGAGAAGCGAGAGACTGCAGCACCACCATCTCTACTGATCCCCAAGACAGACTGCCTGCGAGGCATCTGCATTGGAGTAAAATGTGAAGTGAGCAATGTGTAATACTCAGGGTGAGACTTTATGGAAAGTGTTAAAACTGTTTAGACTGGCCAAGGGTAAGTACATTCAAAGACTGCCTGCTAATTCCAACTTCCATATCTTTCACAAATCATAGCAACAAAGCTCCTACAAGTTGTGAAGGAAATAAATCTAGAGTTGTTCATTCCTTCAAATGCATCCATTCTGTGGCACTGACTGTGCAAGGCATTAACAGTATAAACGTGAATTAAGGTCCCTGAACTCATGTAACTCAAAGTCTAGTAACAGCTATAGAACTAATCACAACACCTAACAGCTTTAACAACCTAATGATTGGCAGGGTATTAAGGGGTATCCACCTCACACCAGGAGCCATGCTACACATACAGTATTGACATGAGTAAGAACAGAAGCCCTCTTCTCAGAGTTCAGTCTGGCAGGAAAAAGGAGCAGGTGACTGCAACAGCTCTTAGGCACAAGCTGCAACGGGAGGAGGGAGCACCTCACTCTGACTAGCACAGTCCAGAAAGGCCCCAAGAGGAGGTACGGTCTGAACCAAGTCTTCAAGGCTAAGCAGGTAGTCAGAAACAGATGGGAGGAGAACAAAAGCAGCATGTACGTAAGAACAAAAGTATGAACCTGTGTGTTTTGCTTGGGGTCATGGCCTACATGACCAACAACTGAATGTGTGGTAAATGGGAGAGATGGTAAGGATGCTGCTGGGGAAAGATCAAGAACAGATTAAGAAGGGACCCAAGAGTTCTATTTCTTTCAGCTACCAGAGAGCAAATGTGGATCTTCACCTGAAATGTGATCAGATCCGTGTCTATGGTGATAGAGTAGAAAATGGACCAGAGAGGGGTCGGCGCTGTGGTGCAGCGGGTTAACGCCCTGACCTGAAGCGCCAGCATCCCATGTGGGTGACAGTTTGAGACCCGGCCACTCCACTTGTGATCCAGCTCTCTGCTGTGGCCTGGGAAAGCAGTAGAATATGCCCCAAGTCCTTGGGCCCCTGCACCCTCATGAGAGACCCAGAAGAACTGGCCGTTGCGGCCAAATGGGGAGTGAACCATCAGATGGAAGATCTCTCTCTCTCTCTCTCTCTCTCTCTGCCTCTCCTCTCTCTGTGTAACTCTGACTTTCAAATAAATAAATCTTCAAATAAAATATGGACCAGAGAAAGAGACTACGGACAGGAAGCCTAATGCCGCAGTTCAGGGGAAAAACGAGGTGGGCCTATCCTGGGAAGCAGCAAAAGAAACAAAGAGAAGGCCACCTCTGAGGGCAAACTAGTATTTAGGGGGAAGCACTACAAGGGAGCAGCTATGCAGCTGAGGAGGGGTATAAGGAAAGATACTGATGCTAGGCCTCCATCAGGGGAGATGAGGTAGGGGGGACTAAAGGAAGAACAGGTGTGAAGTATGAAGATGAGCTTAGCTTGGGACCTGTGGTATTTGAGCTACCAATAGAATATTCAAGCTGAATGTTAAGAAGGCAGGGAGAAATCCAGATCTGGAGGTTTTTAAGAACAAACTCTGGACTAGAGAAACAACAGGAGTATCAATAGACAATTAAGTGGTTCTGAACCTTTTAGAGGTCATTGACTAATCTGAGGAGCTACTGAAGCTACGATTTCTCCTCCAAAACTGTAGAAGGACTTTCAGGGACTGCAGAATGAGTGAAAGGAGATGATGTGCTATGAAGCAGGGGATCGGGAGGAGAACCAAGCACGGCTAGTAGAGGAAGGGTTGTGCTAAAGAACAGAAACTCTGCAAACGGAGAAGTGGTCAGATTCAGGGGTCAGAGATTCAGGGAGACTAGCAGCAGCTTCACGAAGTTCAATATCACTGGATAACAGAAAGAGGTTATGCAGAATCAAACTACTGCATGCAGCCATGAGCTGGTCACTGAACACAGGTATCCGGAGGGCTAAGTTTTATACCACACACTCTTTGCAGGACATACTCTCTCCCAGTGATGCTTCATGATGAGTCATACACACTCAACTTACCTTCCCTATCCTCCACTAACACTTCTCTTCCTGAAACAAAAATTATCCATAACCAAAGTTGTCCCTTTGGGTAATGGATGGCTTCAGATTAAAGTAAAATTTTTGGTCAAAAATTAGAGCAAATCTAATTCACTTGCATAGACAATGTCCAAATTTCACGGCAGTAAGTTTCAACTTTCCTGTACCTTGCTTTTGGCTACCAATGAGTGGACAAAAAAAAAAAAAAAAAAAAAACACCAGTTCCCAAAGACATCAACAAGCAAGTACTGTCCAGGACACTCTCAGTTAGTAATTACTATGTAACTTCCCAGAAAAATCTCACTGAAGCCTCAGACTACCACAGCTGTTCACTGTCTTCATGCCTTAATTCCCCCGGCACTGAATTATCAGAAAAATATTGCTGCAGTAGACATTACTGTTGATACTGAACTTCCAGGACCCATCAGTGGGGTTCTCAAACTTCTGGATCTTCCAAACAGAATTGAAAGTCGAGGTACTAGCCAAATGAGTACAACCAGCAGATAATCAAAGCCTGCTTTAAGGGAGCAGGCTTAAGCCTAGCAGTTTAAGATGTCCACATCCCATAGCGGAATGCCTGGGCTCTATTGCTGGCTCCACCAACACGGACCCTGCGAAGTCACAGTGATGGATCAAGAATCAGGATTCTCCGCCTCCCACATAGGAGATTTGAATTGCACTCTGCTACTGGCTTTAGTCCCAGCCTAGCTCCAGCTATCACAGGCATTTGGGCAGTGAACCAGTGAATGGTAGCTCTCTCCCTCTGTATGTCTCTCTTTGCTTCTTAAAAAAAAAAAAAAAATCTGCTTTAATAAGCCTGAATATTTCTAATGAAGCTTTGGTCACAAAACTAGCCACTTTTTCAAATTCTTTAGACTTCCTCTATAAAACCACCTTTTCCCCTCTGTCTCCTTCCTTAATTTTCCCCCTCATTTCAAAGCAATATTAGCAGCTGCCAATTTTTCTTTGGAGGAAAGAAAGCACAGTACTTTGGCATCAGCAAAAACATCTAAGCCAGCCTTACATCAACCGTTCTTGTCATAAACCATTTGTGTTCTGACCTTCCTCCCAAAACAAGGACTTTGAAAGTGTGTTAGAAAAGGTGTGCCAGTCTATTTCAGAACTAATAAGGCCGAAGAATATAAAAGAAATTTCAGTTCAAGGGTTCAGACATATGAGACAATGCTCCCTTTTTCAGAAAAGACACAAGCCACTAGTAGGCTGGGAGTTAAGCTCCCTGGCCTGCCCAGTGGTATTTTTCCACTGCAGGACCCTGAGAGTTAACAGAAGGTCAGGCAAAGAGATCTTTGACTGCAGCAGCAAATATCTACAACTCTACACAGAGCAGCTGTCGGTCAGAATCAGAAAAATATGGGGGGCCAGCGCTGTGGTATAGCAGGTAAAGCTGCCGCCATCCCATATGGGCTCCAGTTCAAGCCTTGGTTGCTCCACTTCCGATCCAGCTCTCTGCTGTGGCCTGGGAAAGCAGTAGAAGATGGCCCAAGTCCTTGGGCCCCTGCACCCACGTGGGAAGACCCAGAAGAGGCTCCTGGCTCCTGGCTTCAGATCAGCCCTGCTCCAGCTGTTGTGGCCATTTGGAGATTAAATCAGTAGAAGGAAGACCTCTCTCTCTTTCTCTGCTTCTGCCTCTCTGTAACTCTACATTTCAAAGAAATAAATAAATCTTTAAAAAAAGGGGGGGGAGTTGAGATGATCATTGCCTGCCACAGCAGCCCTGAAAAAAATAAAGAATTAGAAAAATATGTCTCTGAACTTATCTCACCAGGCAATTATAAGAATGTATTTTCAAAGAATTTCCTTCTCTATATAGATTAACAGCCTGATAAAGACATGTAGTTCCAAAAAATGGAAAAACACCATCTTTGTGAAAACACAGATTGGTCATAAGACCTCCTCCTTTTATTATAACTATATCTCTCATTTTTCCTCTCCAACTCAAACTCCACTCTAAGTTGGCCAACTTTTCTTGCAGCTTTACTACTGTAGCAAGTGACTCTTAAACACTTGTACTTTGGTCTTGTTACAGCATCAGAAACCAGGGAAAAATACTCCAACAAAAAATAATTTTAAAAACACCTAGCCAGGCTGGCGCTGTGGCGCACTAGGTTAATCCTCTGCCTGTGGCATTGGCATCCCATATAGGTGCCGGTTCTAGTCCTGGATGCTGCCCTCCCAATCCAGCTCTCTGGTGTGGCCTGGGAAAGCAGAAGTTGCCCCAAGTGCTTGGGCCCCTGCACCCACATGGGAGACCAGGAAGAAGCATCTGGCTCCTGGCTCCTGGCTTCGGATTGGCGCAGCTCCCGCCTTTGTGGCCATCTGGGGAGTGAACCAGTGGATTGGAAGACTTTTCTTCCTGGCTCTCCCTCTCACTGTCTGTAATTCTACCTCTCAAATAAATAAAATCTTTAAAAAAGAAAAAAAAACAAACACCTAGCCAAGGAGAACTCAAGGTTTAAGGAGTCTCAAATGTTTACAATAAGATGTAGGAAAATAAGTTGGACTCACCCTGACTTATGAGACAAATTTCTTCACTTTAATGCATTCAACTATGTTGAAAAAAAATCAGAAATAAAATTTGAAGGTAATATAAAATAGAGTAAGTATAAAAGATTATTTCAGAGATGACATTTGAGAGAAAAGTCTCCTAAGGAAACTGATTAACAATACACTGGGGCCGGCGCCGCGGCTCACTAGGCTAATCCTCCGCCTTGTGGCGCCGGCACACCGGGTTCTAGTCCCGGTCAGGGCGCCGGATTCTGTCCTGGTTGCCCCTCTTCCAGGCCAGCTCTCTGCTGTGGCCAGGGAGTACAGTGGAGGATGGCCCAAGTGCTTGGGCCCTGCACCTGCATGGGAGACCAGGAGAAGTACCTGGCTCCTGCCATCGGATCAGCACAGTGTGTCGGCTGCGGTGGCCATTGGAGGATGAACCAACGGCAAAAGGAAGACCTTTCTCTCTGTCTCTCTCTCTCTCACTATCCACTCTGCCTGTCAAAAAAACAAAAAACAAAAAAAAACAAAACAAAACAAAAAAAAAAATACACTGGAACAGTTAAAAGGTGAATTTGAAAAAAACTAATTGGTGATGGAGGATTTCTGACAATCAAGTATGAGCAAAAGTAAATTTTCTCCAATTTGCAAAAGCTAACTACAAAAAATAGTTATTATTGTGCAAATGAAGGTAGCAACTGTCTCCAAGTGCTTCTTTCCCAGCTCAGAGAGCACTGAGTGCAGCAATTACAGTGCTTGGGCTCTGCAGCCAGACCACCTGGGCCTGCCCGGCTCTGCCACTCACTGGCTGTTACCTTTGGTAAGCACTTGCCCTCTCTGTGCCTCTATTCCCCCATCTGAAAAGTAGAGATAATAATACACACCTCATAGGGCTGCTGTGAAGATAAAATATGTGAGGTAAAATGTTTAGACAAGGCCTAGCAGGAAGTGTCATGACATATTAGCTTAAGCTAAACTCTCATTGGGTCTGTGAGGTTATAAGCAAGTGAACTTAGGATATCACAGATCCAATGCCTATCTATAGTTCTGGAACAAGAAGGTAATTCTAGAGAGGCAGTTACATTTGTAATCATGTTGCTCATATCACCTCTCTCCCTGTCAGCAAACTCTCCCCAACTGACCTGTTCCCCAAATGTCCCTCCCATTGCTGTCATCGGGGGTCTTCTTCTGTCCACAGTACACAGCCAGTGGTCACTCACACCAGATGTCCCAATGTCATTCCCATCATCCTTCCTCAGAATACCTGAAATACACTGACCTAGAGGACATCATAGCTTCCCCACTCCTCCATTCCTTCTAACCGAATCCAAAAAGCCAAATATACATCATCAAAATCTTCTGAGGATCAGTTTAAGCCTTTCTGTCTAAAAAAACTTCTTGATAATTCTGCTTTTCTTTGGATTCTTATTCGAGAGTCTGTCTTGTAGAACTTATCTGGCACTTACAGAAATATGTGATTAGCTCTATGTGTGTTGTCACTCTGTGTTATTTATAGAAAGACATAGATCATGCTATGTACTTCTTTCAACCTTTCTTAAGGATGTACCAACATTAGAGACTCAATTAAAATGCTCTATATTATGAAGAAATCTACACAATCTTACCTGAACCGTTACAACTGCTGCTCCTTGGCATTTCTTGCCACTACTGCCTCTGCACTCCAAATGGAGTGTGGTCTGTTCTTCTCGATTAACATACTGTTTGGGCATTGTGTCCAATAGCTCACCATCCAGGGCAACCTGCTGAGATTCCCGAAGAGCTGCAGTTCTGGAAAACACCATTAGGAGGTACAAGAAAGTCTTAGGGAAGGTTCAACTGCTAAAAGCTTCCAGTTACTGCCAGCCATCGTTAAAGCACAGCAAGAGCAAAGTATTCCACAGAAACAAAAGACAGATGATGTGTATGCCAAGACTTACTCAAACCCTCTCCCTGGCAGATAGGCTCATCACAAAGTTGAGAAATGAAGAAAAAGCCATATGGAAGAGCAGGATAACCTTTTCAGCTGGAAACAAAACTCCATTTAGAATGTGTGTGCTGAGGCCAGCATAGTAGATTAAGCCACCATCGGCAGTGTTGGCATCCTATATGGGTGCCAATTCACGTCTCAGCTGCTCCACTTCTGATCCAGGTCCCAGCTAATGCACCTGGGAAAGCTTGGGAAGATGGCCCAAGTGCTTGGGACTCTGTACCCACACAGGAGACCCGGATAAAGCTCTTGGCTCCTGGCTTTGACCTGACATAGCCCTGGCCATTGCAGCCATTTGGGTAGTGAACTAGTGGATGGAAGATATCTTTGTCTCTCTTCCTCTCTCCACAATTCTTTCAAATAAAATAAATAAACCTTTTTAAAAAACATTCGGATGTATTAAAAAAAAAATCTGTGCTTTCAGCAATACAAGTGGACCTTAAATATATGATAACAAATGAGAGCTCTATCCCAATTCAATCATCCTACAGGTGTGCCTTGTGCATACCAGTGACTTTTTAGGTATTGAGTTGCTGAAATGTTAAAAGTCCAAGAAAGCTAACTGTGGTCATGAGGTACCAATACTGGTCTAATTATACTTTTTATTATGATAATGGGCAGTTGCTCATGTGTGTACACAACACAAACACAACTGAACACCTGGCCCCAACAGAGCCAAAGAAAAAAACTACCAATTATTTCACATGGGATTTATAAAAATAAGGTTGCTTACTGTGACTAAAACAGACTTTGCACATATGTTCCTTCTCACAAAATGGCAAGCTAGAATCAAAATTTTAAACAGTTTATCATTCTGTATCTACCATGTGAACTCAAAACACTAAACAACTTTCCCACACTTTGATCAAGTGCCCTGTCAGTTTTTTTTTAAAAATGGAGTTAGAGAGCAAAGCAGTCACCCAAAAAAAAAAAAAAAAAAAAATCAAGCAAATCTTAGTTTATACACCCTTTCAACACCATCATTCCAGTATCAAAAGAAGCCAAAGAAAATCTTAGTGGGCACTTGTGATGCTGAAATGCCACCATGGGAAACACTGTACGACCAGGAGTCCAGGAGAGTTCCACATAATTGGAATGTGAAATTAAAGGACGTGTCACAATTGAGTTAACCAAGTGAACCAAACTATCTGGTCCAGTCTGGTCAACTTAATCCTATAGGGAGCATGCTGATGAGGAGGCCATTCTAGGAACCAAATCAGCCCAGCTTCAAGGCAGCCAGCACAGGAACATGATGCTTGATGTGTCGGCGTCTTACCTGGCCTGCTGTTGCAACAAGTTCAGGTCTGTGCACACCAGCTGAATGGCGTCTTTCTCCTCACCAGAGGACCAGATGAGAAAATATATTGGCCAGGAGGCCTCCCCAGTGGCTGAAAGAGGGGAGGCTCCCGGGACCCCTGCTTCCCAAATTTCTAAAAATCCCTTTCTAACGGAAAAAAAACGGACACCAGTTTTCCTGAGGGAGGGGTATTTATCGGGCCATTAAAGGCCAAAAGGGGGCAAAGCGCCGGGCCCCCCCTGCATAAAAAAAAGCCCGGGCCCTCCCAAAAGAGTTTCCTTTTTCATTAAGGGGGCTAAAAAAAAAAAAAACCGGCGATTTTTTTCTTGGGGGCCGTTAATAAAAAATTTTTTGGGGAGGCCCTTTCCCAACCTCCTAAAAATTTTCCTTGGGGGATGGGGGGCCCCGGGACCAACAACATCCGTTTCAAAATTAAATTTTCTTCCCCAAAAAAAGTTTTTCTTATTCCAGAGCTACCCCCCCTCCTGCCCTTTTTTTTTTTTTTTTTTTTTTTTTTACAGGCAGAGTGGACAGTGACAGAGAGAGACAGAGAGAAAGGTCTTCTTTTGCCGTTGGTTCACCCTCCAATGGCCGCTGCGGCTGGCGCTGAGGCCAGCGCACCGCGCTGATCCAAAGGCAGGAGCCAGGTGCTTACCCTGGTCTCCCATGGGTTGCAGGGCCCAAGCACTTGGGCCATCCTCCACTGCACTCCCGGGCCATAGCAGAGAGCTGGTCTGGAAGAGGGGCAACCGGGACAGAATCCGGCGCCCCAACTGGGACTAGAACCTGGTGTGCCGGCGCCACTAGGCAGAGGATTAGCCTGTTGAGCCGCGGTGCCGGCAACACTCCTGCTCTTAATTTACCAGACAGCCTTGTAGATATGCTATGAAGTTTGGACTTGATAGTACTGTAAAGGGGATCTAGTGAACAGCTCTCCATAAGCTTGAGACAGAAGGAAGCTATTAGCTGGCCAATGCACTGGACAAAAGGGATAGATGTGGAGTGGCCAGGTAAGAGTTTATGCTACCATTCAGATAAACTTCATAGGAATAGTAGAGAAAAGAATGGGCATTAACAAATATAGATGGGACCAGCGTTGTGACATAGTAGGTTAAGCTTCTGCCTGCAGTGCTGGCATCCCATATGGGCACAGGTTCGAGTCCCAGCTGCTCCACTTCTGATCTGGCTCCCTGCTACTGGCCTAGGAAAGCAACAGAAGATGGCCCAAGTCCTTGGGCCCCTGCACCTGCATGCAAGACCTGGAAGAAGCTCCTGGCTCCTGGCATCAAATCAGCCCAGCCCCAGCTATTGTGGCCACTTGGGGAGTGAACCAATAGATGAAAGACCTCTCTCTCTGTCTCTCCTTCTCTCTGTAACTCTGCCTCTCAAATAAATAACATTTGGAAAAAAAAAAAAAAAAAAGAACTATAAATAAGTCTGAAAAATCTGAAGTTAGGGCAAAGTTTGAACAGGAGGGCTGAAAGTGTAAGAGAGAAAATGAATAAAGATATGATCATAAATTCCTTAAACATGCTTATACAGTTCTAGAGTCAGTCATAAACTTATTCATTCACTCAAGAGATGATTTATAGAGTCTCAGTAATTAGTGTGTGCCACAGAACTTTGAACTAGATTACACACAGTCTCAGGTTGATTAAGCATATTTATTTATTTTTTAATAAGTTAATGATTTTTTTTTAAGATTTATTTGTTTATTTGAAAGTCAGAGTTACACAGAGAAAGGAGAGGGAGAGAGGGAGGGACAGAGGTCTTCCATCTGATGGTTCACTCTCCAATTGGCCTCAACGACCGATTCAAAGCCAGGAGCCAGGAGCTTCTTCCAGGTCTCCCATGCAGGTGCAGGGGCCCAAGGACTTGGGCCATCTTCTACTGCTTTCCCAGGCCACAGCAGAGAGCTGGATCGGAAGTGGAGCAGCTGGGACTAGAACCGGCACCCATATGGAATGCTGGCACTGCAGGCAGCAGCTTTACCCTCTACACCACAGCGCCAGCCCCAAGCATATTTAGATATCTGATATTTTTGTACCTAGATAATACAAAGCACAGTAGGTGCTCTGATAAATATCTCCCCACCCTCTCTCTTCATCACACAGCAGGTGGAGGCTGATGCTGCTACACACCAATTCTTCTCAATAGTAAAGTAACAGAGGAAGGGAGAGGCCAAGGGAATTTCAAGGCAATAAGTCAACAAGTACTTAAGGGACTACTGTGAATTTCCGATTTCATTCCAGATCTAACATTTAATTTTCTATTCTCGAAAAAAAAAAAATTCAAAGAAAATGTAACAGCCATAACTTTACTTGGCATAAGGAGACATGAACTGTTTGCCCTTCAAACAGATGGAATTTAACACTGCAAACAATTCAAGCACAGCACTGTCCTCTATACTTGGTATTATTCTTTCTTTTTAAAGATTTATTTATTTATTTGAAAATCAGAGTTATAGATAGAGAAAGATGGAGAGACACACAGAGAGAGATTTTCTATCTGTTGATTTACTCCCTAAATACCATGACAGCTGGAGCTGGGCCAATCAGAAGCCAGGAGGCAGGAGCCTCATCCAGGTCTCCCACGTGGGTGCAGGAGCCCAAGGACTTGGGCCTTCTTCTATTGCCCTCCCAGCAGAGAGCTGGATCGGAAGAGAAGCAGCCAGAACTAGAAACAGTGCCCATATGGGATATTGGCACGGCAGCTGGAAGATTAACCTATTATGCCACAGCACTGGCCCTGATATGCTGACTTTCAAATAACTAAATCTTAATACAAAAAAAGAAACCTTAGGGGAGCCAGCACTGTGGCATAGCTGGTAAAGCTGCCGCATTTGGTGCCGGCATCCCATATGGGTGCCGGTTCGAGTTCTGGCTGCTCCACTTCCAATCCAGCTCTCTGCTATGGCCTGGAAAAGCAGTGGAAGATGGCCCAAGTCTTTGTGCCCCTGCATCCATGTGGGAGACCTGGAGGAAAATCTTGGCCCCTGGCTTTGTTATCAGCCCAGCTCTGGTCATTGCAGCCACTTGGGGAGTGAACCAGAGGATGGAAAACCTGTCTCTCTCTCTCTCTCTCTGCCTCTGCCTCTGCCTCTCTGTAACTCTGCCTTTCAAATAAGTAAATAAACCTTTAAAAAAAAAGAAACCTTAAGAATATCCTGAGTTATTTGTATGGTAAGGGTTCCAAATACAAAGAAAGAGTTTATGAAAGAAAAAGATTGCTGATTGTTAAAACTGCAAACCCCAAAACAGTTACATTTAAACCTATACTTTACTTATAGTTTTTCTATGTAGATTTAAATGTCTTTTCAAAGCATCACAGGAAAAAGGAACCACAAAAGCGGGTCACGTCCCAGCTCCTCTGCAGCCAGGGATAGCCACGTCTGTCAGGATGGGCCAATGAGGTGTGAACAGAAAATCTATGAGCAGCTTCTTCAAAGAGTCCTTATAAGAGGCAGGGAACATCCCTATCACTGTTGGAAGGTGACTGTGAACATGACAGCTTAAGCTTAAGCTTATGTTGGAGCCTAGGTGAGTCCTGCTTTTTAGAGTATGGTAGGGCAGCAAGTCAGGAGGAGGGAGCAGGGGTCCTTGAAGGCTTGCAGCCTTCATGAACTATCCTTGCTTCCAAACTTCTTTTATTTGAGAGAGAATAAACAACCTGTTTTCTCTCACTCACTGCCTAAGCTAGCCCTCCGGCTGACAGGTTAACATGGAACTCTAAAGCGATTCTCACTGGAGGGAAAAAGTGTGGAAATCTTAACCGTCAAGGGCTTGATTCGCTCATTCGTTCACACATTCACACAAAGGGTCTGAGGCTCACAAGACTCACCCAGCAAAGGATCAGTGAAGTCCAGCTGAGCTGACCCGCTACAGGGTGGGGAATGGGACTCCAGCTTGGCCTGTGTCCATAAACCCACAGTTTCCTGGAACTCGTGACGTATGCGCTCCATGTTCAAATACTCCATCCAGAGTTCCTGGAATGGAACCATAGTGTTTTAACTTTGACAGGTAAATCACCTTCATACGGAAAACAATATATTCAACTATAAAGCAAGCAGTAGGTTTCAACAAGAAGCGCCTCACTCCAAGTCTTCCAGCATTAGGATGAACTATACTCAAAGGATCTCAGAACATCGTGATCTTGTATTTGTTCTTCCTATTTCCCTGGTCCTGTATTCTCAGCCTTATGTCCTTGGCCTTCATTGCTGTTATTTCTCAGGTTACAACACCTTTAGCTCACTCCTTACTCTTTTTAATTACATTATAATTCTACCCACATTTTCTACCTTCTTATCTCCCCTTCAAACAGCTGCTTGATAAAAGAGTTCTCTTGGAAGCCCCTCAGACACTTCCTCTGTTAGTATGTCTTACCTTTGTAAACAGCACCTCTAATTGCCCAATTTGGGGATCTGTGTGTATCCAATCAATCACAAAATCCCACTGACTATTCTTCAATATACTTTTAATCACTGTAGAAGAGTGTTGCATATGAGGTTGTAGAAAGTCCTAAAAGAGCTTCAAGCCTTTAAGTGAGGCCATACTAGGGCCAGAGATTCAAAAGTGAATGTTCCTTTAATGTGATCACATAGACTCTGACAAATTCCACTGAAACAATGACTATTTCTGTGACCACCTATTTCTATATCAATAAGTGGCCCTACCAGGAATATAATAATTCAAGTTTATGTTCAGATATGCTAAAAAAGACATTGCCATAGTTTCACCTGCTGATTCTGCATCACTTTTGCTAGCCTGTGAATATCATAATGTTTTGGTAGAGAAGGGATATAAGTATCTCCTTTTTGGAAGGTCTCATCTTCTAGCCATAATGCATATACATTGAAAAGCCTGAAAGATAAAAAAAACACACACACACAATTATACACAATATAAAAAGATGTGCAGACAAATGAGGTTTCATCCAACTCTGGAAACTCTGGCAGCATTACAGAAGAGCAGGGAAAAGTCCATAACACAGGGGCCGGCGTTGTGGCATAGCAGGTAAAGCCGCCACCTGAGATGCCAGTATCCATATAGGTGCTGCTTCAACTCCCAGCTGTTCTACTTCCAATCCAGCTCCTTGCTAATGAGCCTAGGGAAGCAGTAGAAGACAGCCAAGTGTTTGGGCCCCTGCATCCACATGGGAGACCTGAAAGAAGCTCCTGGCTCCTTCAAACTAGCCTAGCTTCAACCATTGCAGCCATCTGGGGATTGAACCAGCAAACAGAAGATCTCTCTCTTGAAGGGACTAGGGGAGCTCCATTACCAAAGCTTCTCACCAAAGGGTGAGATGCAGTACACAGAGAGTATACCTGCAAAATGTGATTTTTAGCAGTCTTAGGCTCTAAATATGGAGCTTTGCTGTCCTGGGCAATTAGATCACTGTAAGCCTCAGTGCTTAGAAAAGTGACAAAAACACTCACATATACAAACACGTGTTCCATCTTCCAGAGAAAGAATTAAAAGCTTTTTAAACTTATGCACTGGAAGCACTTGCCAACTTTAGGCACAGTGAATATCCCCCACTTTAAGGAATCCCCAAGGAATCACAAATAAAACTCACAATGTGGGTGCACCCTTATCCCATCAAGAAAAAATAAAACAAAGTCAGGCTTAAAAAAAAAGTCGTGATTTTCCATTAAAAGCTTTTTTATAAACATAATGATGTTTCGATGTTCCTTTCTATTTGGTTTTACTAGGAACAGTCTATTTAGCTGAGGTCACTGATATTTTAAGCAGCAGCACTACTAGAGAACTAGCTGGCAAGACAATTACGGGCAGGTAGGGGGAGGACTGGGTGGAAGACAGCCTGGCTCTGCTCTCAATAAAGTGGAAAATTACCTCCTTCACCTCTGTGAGGGTCTGTCAAAGGACAGGGGGCCACATGGGGTTTTGGGGTCCTGAAAGGGGAGAGACTGGTAGTTGTCTCCACCAGCTTCCCATTCAGTGAGCTAGGGGCCATGTTATGAACACATCACAGGAAAGGGATGAGAGAGACAGAGGAAAAACCAGAAGCCTCTCTTAGCGGCCTTAAAATGTCCAAAGACAGAAACTACCACTGGTCAAGCCTGATTCAACATACGTTTTCCTCCAACCAAAGGGCATGAGGGGAGAAATCACTCTGGAGGCTGAGAACATGGGGGCTTGTGTAGGAAAAGCTAGATTTCCTCTCCAAGCCACTCTGCACTCAGTGTGAATTATTAAGAGCCATGTTTACTAAGTCTTACTTATAAGATTAATATTTGGCTCATATCAAAAGTATTCATGAAAAGTGAAGGAACAGTGTGAAAAGAAACCAAAATGACTTTTGGAGATGTAAATATTGTGCCTCATTTTTATGAGCAGTTTTTCTTTTTTTTTTTTTTAATTAACTTGAAAAGCAGAGTTAGAGGGAAGAGATATACACAGAGATCTTCCATCCGCTGGTTCACTCCCCAGATGGTTTCAACGGCCAGGGCTGGGTCAGACCAAAGCTAGGAGCCTGAAGATTTTTCTGGGTCTTCCAAGTGAGTGGAGGGGCCCAAGGACTTGGACCATCCTACTCTGCGTTCTTGCCCAGGTGCATTAGCCAGAAGCTGGATCGCAAAAGGAGCAGCCAAGCCCCAAACTGGCGCCCAAATGCGGCACTGGTATCGCAGGCAAAGACTTAACCCACTGTACTACAATGCCAGGCCCCGGACAGTTTCTTTCTTTTAAAGAACTCTTTTAGCACCAGCACTGTGGCACGGCAGGTTAAGCTGTCACTTGCAATGCCAGCCTCTCATATCAGAGTGTTGATTCAAATCCCAGCTACTCCACTTCCAACCCAGCTTTCTGATAATGCACCTGGGATGGGAGCAGATAAAAGCCCAAGTGCTTGGGCCCTTGCCACCCATGTTGGAGACCTGGACACAGTTCCTAGCTTCTGGCTTTAGCCTGGCCCAGTCCTGGTTGTTGCAGCCATCTGGGGAGTACACCAGCAGATGGAAGATCTCTCTCTCTCTCTCTGTCTTTCCCTCCCCCTCTCTGTTTCACCCTCTGACACTCTCCCTTTCAGATAAATGAATCTTTGAAGAACTATTCTAGCAGGCTTTCATCACTCCACACCTTCTATGATAAATTTATTTAGGTTTATTTCTATTTGTAAACAAAGAAACAGAAAAGGGCATTAGCCCTGATTTATCACTCAGACTCCTGCCACCAGAGCCACATCCAAATGGCTGATGCACTTCTCTTGAGAAACGTAAAAGAAAAACCATTTCAAGATGCAAAACCTATACCAAAGCCACCTTCCATATTCAATCTCACAGGGTTAAAAAGCAACATTCAAACACAGCCAGCTGCTCCAGCACAAGACCTGTACCGCCAACAGCAATGTAAATGGATAAATGACCACTCTCACCTCACGAGTTCCGTGTGCAGTTCTGGCGAAGTGAAGTAAACAGAGGTGCTGGCCTGGCTCTCTGGCAGCCCTTCGCTGCCCTCTGCTGGAACACGGAGGGCCTTGCTTGCAGCATGGTGGAAGTCTGCCACCTCGGTTAGACGCCTCTTCATTTCTTTCAGCAAATTGATATGAGCAGGACTTTGAAAAAACCTTCTTCCAATGCAACCATCTATGGGTAACCTTAAAAAGTATAAGCACAGATCTATAAACAAGCAATGCAGATATGCTTTCTGTATGGCACGAGAACAGCAGTCACTGGGTAGGACATGGCTTGGGATGCTCCCATCCCACACCAGAGTGGCTGGATTCCAGTCCTGGCTCCACTCACAGTCCCAGCTTCCTGTGGATGCACACCCTTGGAGGCAGCAGGTGAGAGCTCAAGTAGGTGAGTCCCTGCCACCCACACAGGAGACTCAGACTGAGTTCCCAGCTCCTGGCTTCAGCCTGACCCAACCCCAGCTGCTGCAGGCGCCTGGGGAGTAACCCGACAGATGGGAGGTATCTCTTTTTCTGCCTCCTGTACCCTTTTTCAAATAAAAAGAAAAATTAAAAGAAACTGCAGCAGTCAATTGGCAAAACACCTTACTATGGCTGAGTAAATACACCATTAAATGAATACCTATTATTTCTACCTCAAAAGTTACTCTGAAAATCCAACAAAAAGAGGCACATGAAAGTAGTTTAAAAACGAAGAAGTGCTACACAAACTCAAGATACTATCAATGCTAGAGAGAGAATAGAATAAAAATGGCATCTGGTCTTGAAGAACTTACAATCTGGTATAAAACGGAAGTGACAAAGAGTCAACATCTTTATGTTTCAAAGGAATGAGTCAAGGGACTGAGGGTGAGATAGGAGTTAAAGTAGAAGCTAGGGTGAGTAACAGGACACGGTGCCTTTGTATCCAGTGGAGGTGTTGGACACTCCCCAGCACAACCCAAAGGCTGCCAGAAAGGCTGGCCTTTGTTCACAACCATGCTACTCACACAAGTCCTCCTCACAAGAGTCCCATGATGGTCACACGGGGGGCCTCAGATGGGGACAGCTTCTTTTTCTCCCTTTGCATCTCCAAAACTTTTATCTAAGCCTTGCTGAGTTCCAGGGTACTGAATGCCCCACAACTAGGTACAGAGGATGGTAAAGGGAAGTTGCCACAACGTATCCCAAATTCAAACAACATCCAGGATAACAGATGTTAAAGAGAGAGAGAGAGATTCCTAGCCAGAGGCTACCAAAGAATGATCCTAAGGCTCCACAGTACAAGAACACACAGACCCAGAAACAGAGATACGTAACGTGCTACAAGACAGAATACCATACCCATACTGTGGTCCTGGGCGGTGAAGATACAGGAGGAAGAACTTCTGCCAGATGAGTGGCAGAAGAGGGTGATCAGAAGGCGTGACCAGAGCCTGGTGGGCCCAGCGATAGATCAGCAGCCTCTGCAGAGACGGAACGATGGGGAGCTTCAGCTGGGCTTGAGCTTTCTACAAGGAAGGAAGGACGTTAGCTGCATTAAACGAACACGATCACAGTCTGTTTTTCCCAAGTGATCCGAGTCGAACGCTGAACATCCTCTCTTCAAATTAGTAAGGAAAAAAAGGCATAAAATGCTCTCTTCCAGAACCCCCTAGCTAACCATTCAACCTCCTTGGTAGCAGCTTTTCTGCTGTCAAAACATTTCCAACCTCAGAATCAGAATGGCCCTTACGAGCCATCTAGTCTAACTTCATTTCCATTTCTGCAATTCCTTTGCATGTAAAATGCCACAGAGCAAGGCAGCAGAATGTTATGAAAACCAAAAGTAAATCTGCCTCTCAAACTTTACCATTCTTGTGAAAATTTCGATTTTAAAAGAACTTTCAAAAATGATAAATTCTTTGACAGACTCTGAAACTCACAAGCCAAGTCTACACTATGACACCTGGAAGTTCTTTAAAGCACAATGAACACAGCCTTCGATTACTAGGTTGTGGCTCTACTGCTATACCATGAGAAGCAAATGTACACCTCAGCTACAGAGTTTTAAGTATTGATTTGGTTGAAGTGCATTCACAACAAAAGCAAACACAGACGTTTACAGGCTAAGGTGAATCCATCAGCATTAAAGTGCAGGCCACCTTCCACCACTCAAATGCAGAACTGCTATTTGCACCTTCAGAGCTTGGTCAGGGGTAAAAGCAGAGTTTATAACCAGCTCCCCTTCAACGACTCTTCGGAGCTGGGAGTCTTCTTCAAAGATGGATTCCATGTTCAGCACGCTCCATGCAAACCAGACCTACAACAGCACCAGGGAGAGGCAGGGTCATGAGCCTCTAACTCCGACTGACAAGATACATCCTGATGCTCCACTAATTAAAATCTTTGCTCTCCCCGATCTTAGTTCCCAAACACTTCTCTAAAATGAACACATTTTCTTAAATCTGTCTATATTCTTGTCACATTTATCTTATTAAATAAACTAGATAGTTGGAAAACATGAAATTGCTATGGAAAGGCTACTTTAGTACAAGAAGGATGTTAATTCACTCAAAAACATTCACTGGACAAGCTCTATATGCATGAGGGACATGAGAGAGGGTCAGGCAAGGGTGCTGCTCCAGCTGGTGGATTAGGGAAGGGGGCAGTGACAAGGACGAGCTGGGCTTGAGGTAGAGACAGGAGGGGAAAGCACAGCGGCTAAGACTGCTAAGGCAGAGGCAAAGAGGCAGCAGCCAGGGGCGTGCCTCAGTAACAGCAAGCAGGTGGTGTCAGCTTGATGAGGCATGAGGAAGACTGAAAGGTGTCTAAGGATATCAGTACTGGTTTAATCAATGAGAGAGAGACCCACGCAATTCTACACACAAAGTCTGAGTGGCAGTAATGATGAAAATGAAGCTGCTGTAAAGACAATTAAGAACCAGGGTCAATAGCTGCTGAGCACTGAGAGTGATAAGCTTTGTTCCAAATGCTTCACGTACAGGAGATATCATTGCCTCCATCTGGCAACTGAGAAAACAGGACCGAGGTAAGCAAGCTAATAAACAGTAGGGGCCAGGCTGAAACCCAGGCTGTCTGACCCCAGTGCCCACTCTCAAGTTCTCTGCTATGCTGCTGGCCCTGCAGCCAGGCCTACTAGAATCTGCTCGAGGGAAGTCAGATCCTGAGCCAGCCACTTAGCACCATCAAATCTGAGTTAACTCCTCTGAAACAGAGAAAACAACAGCACCATCTCTCCAGAGGTTTTGTGAAGATCGAGTAGATTTACACATAGCAGGTGCTAAATGAACGCTAGTGACGTTAAGTTCCTTGTAGGTGATTAGTAAGGATGATCATATTTAAGCTCACAACGATAGCAAACAGGCCTCTCAGTGGATAGCCTACCTGGGTAGGTGTGGCTGAGCCCTCCACAAAGGAAGGAGTGATGTTGCCTGCCACGATCCAGCTCATCAAAGAGGACAGCAAACTCCGGTCACAGTGGTAACCCAAAGCATTCTACACAGGGAAGAGATGTGGAGCAGAGTCAGGATGCTTTAAAAACACCTTAGCAATGACCTTTGCAAAAATACCAGTGATCAGTTTACTGTAAAGGAAGATTTTAATAAGAGGAGCAATGGTCCCCAGCAGTACACTACTAATGTTGTGAGCAGGGCTCGTCCTAGGGTGTCTCACCTTTGACTGCCCTGGGAACTACACTAGCGGACTATAATTATTAAGATAAGACAGCATTAAGACAAAGTTTTAAAAAAGCAATAGCCACAGAGTTGACTGTTCATTTGGAGGAATCTTTTTATTATTTTAAAAAATGTATTTATTGTGAGAGACAAACAGAAACGGAATTCCCAACTGCAGGGCGCACACCCCAGATACCTGCAATAGCCCTGGCTGGGACTGAAGCTGGGAACCAAGAGCTCAGTCTAGGACTTCCATGTGGGTGGCAGAAACCTAACTACTTGAGTCATCACTGCTGCCTCCCAGGGTCTGAACCAGCAGGAAGCTGGACTCAGGAAGGTGGGTACTGAACTCAGGTACTCCGACGTGGGAAGCCTCAGCTGCCAGGCCAAATGCCATGAGAACCTTGTTAGAAAGCTACTATCTAACGACTGAAAGACAAGTGTTCTGATAGGTTTACCTTATGCTGCTGGTAGAGTAATTTCTGCACGCAGTCTTCTTGCATCAGCTGAAATGCTGTTTTACACAAGTGGTCCATGAGGAAGAGGATGGCTTGTTCTCGATACCAAAGCTGTTGGTTTATAAGTGCCTGAACCCAGAACTCCAACACGGCAACAGGACCCACTTCGTTGGGCTGAGTGCTTACAGATATGTGTGCCTGTGGGGAAAAGGCTCAAGGGTAAAACCCTCCCTTGTTCAAAACCCCGACAAAATCCTACCTGCCACCACCCCAAAGCACCATCAATGTGTTGATCTTCTTGGCCCAAAGCACAGTGCCAGGTGAATCAAAATGACCAAATCACGGATGTGCTCATGCTCCAGGGTTTCGGGTAGGAAGATGGGCAAGGGTGACATCAGGAGCTTGCAAGTGCTCTGACCTGGATCATGCTGTTGAGAAGCTTCACGTTGTCCCCATGGCTGGCTCCTGTCAGGTGCTGCGTCACCTTGTGGGTGACCTGCTGTGTGACACCCTGTGGGACACCACTGTCCAAGTGCAGGAACAGGAGGAGGTGGGACAAAAACCTGCCAAGCACACAGGGTCACACACTTTACCTCTGATAAAGAGTTGACAGAAGCTGCAGGGGCAGAGGAACAGAAAATTATGAAACTGGTTCCATTTTCAGACCAAAGAACGTTTTAGGGATTCTGAAAAACCTTCAGGAATTTCCAAAGAATACAAGCTTTTATGTTTAACATGAGTTAAAAGGAATTCTCTGTACCGGCAAAAGTGGCATTCAGATCTAAGACAACCATGTAGAGGTTCAAGAACATTACAGGAAAAGCACCCCAAAGCACACCCCCACCACCTGCACTAATACAGGAGAGATGTTTTCCAAATCAGTTCCCATACTTGCCTAGTGGCCGGGATGCCAATTTAAAAAAACAAAGGGTGGAAAGAAGGGGCCATCAAAGAAGGAGGTACCTTTCTACAAAGAAAAGAGAGAACTTCCACTTTGATTATGGCCTTATCTAAATAATGTCAGAGTTTGTGGACTCAGAGGCTTCCATAGCCTTGACAGCTCATGACAAGAGCCTCGAGTGATCACTGACGTCATAAATAAGAGTGTCAATTGTTAAATCAACAACAGGAGTCACTGTGCACTTGCTCCCCATGTAGGACCTCTGTCCTTAATGTGTTGTACTATGAGAATTAATGGTAAAACTAGTCTTCAAACAGTACTTTATACTCTGTGTATCTGTGTGGGTGCAAACTTTTGAACTCTTTACTTAGTATAGAGTTGATCTTCTGTATTTAAAGATAATTAAAAATTAATGAAGAATGGGATGAGAGAGGGAGTAGGAGGTGGGACAGTTTGGGGGTGGGAGGGTGGGTATTGGGGGGAAGAACCACTAAAATCCGAAAGTTGTACTTATGAAATTTATATTTATTAAATAAAAGTTTTCTATAAAAATAAATAAATAAATAAATAAAGGGGGGTAGGGGAGACCAAGGCCCCAATCCATTCAAACTAAAGTCAAGCCCCTGGAGAGGAGGCTAGAAATCTGTATTTAATAAGCTCTCCCAGGCAATTTTCAACACCAGGCAAATCTGAGACACTGGTTGAAAAGTACAATGTCCCCTTTGTGCCCTTGGCTGTTTTTCCTGCCCCCCACTACAGGGCTCTTCTGCACAAGGCCTTACCCCCTCTTTTGCCACTTTTCATGAAGCCCCAGGTAGATATGCAATGCCCTGCTCCCTGGACAGGTAGTCCTCTTTCTGCCTCTGAGCAACACTGCACTACCACACCACAGGCAACTGAAAGCAACGTGTTTTGCTACTGCTACAATGGCAAAGTCATTTGCTGCTCAATGTCAGACGTGCCATTCCCAGAACTGCAGGAAAACAACTGCTCTTTCAAATACTAATAAGCTACAATGAGCAATCCCAAGTTAAATGAGAAGGAAAAATATCTTTAATGCTAGTAAAACTAGAATCATTAGAATCGCTGTTCTAAATTGGGGTGCCAAAGTTTTCTGCCTCATAAAAAAATACACGATTAAAACATCATTCGCTTTATTTTATTTGAGAAGCCACAGGACGTAGTCATTTGAGCTGTTTCCAAAGACTGTCTCTGCCCTAGATAGAAGATACTTACTGCTCATTCTTCAGCAAATAATACTGGCAAGGGTAGAACAAAGGCAGAATCTTATCCAGCACATGGACCACTGTTCTCAAATGCCTCGACTGGACCAGAATTCCCAACAATGGGATGCCTTCTGCACAGAACTTCTCAATGCTGTGAGAGAGAAGAAGGTGATGAGCATTCAGAGTGGCCAGTTCATAAAAACTGTGGTCTTCCACTGAGCTATCAGCCTATGATGCCTGAACTCAGGTTTCCAATATATCTCATATGTCCACTCTGTACAGAAAAATACCAGAATCAGAACACCAGAAGTATGAGGAACTTAAAAAGTTCATCTACATTTTCATTTGACAGATGTGAAAGATGAAGTACTATACCCAAATTCACCTAATTTCCTAGGGTAGGGTCAAAATGAGAACACAGACTTATATACTTTTAGTCCAGAGCACTTGCCACTACCTCATTCAGCACTTCTTCTAAGCCCTGGGACCCCTCCTTGTATGGACATTCCCATGAGGTGTTTGAGCAAAGAGAAGATTCAAAAGTCCACTCAATCTGGCAGTAGAAACTGGCAACATTCTTCTAAAACCAACCTGCATAAAAATGTTCTTTTCCCATGACTCACTTCAAAGAAATCTCTCCTTAAGAAACAATCTCAAATATGGAGAGAAATATGAAAGAGGATCCATGTAAAGGCATGCTTTTCAGATATACCTGCAACAGCAAAACTTAGATGCTGAAGTGCATTTGGGGATAATCCATTCAATGGGAATATTGTTGCAGCATTAAATAATACAAGGGTACTTCAAACAGCTGACGGAAAAATAAAATTTAAAAATGAGTTTATTTTGCAACCAAAAAAAAAAAAACCTTAAAATCCACGGATACTTTCTTTTTATAAGATTCATCTTGGCCGGCACCGCAGCTCACTAGGCTAATCCTCCACCTTGCGGCGCCAGCACACCGAGTTCTAGTCCCGGTCGGGGTGCCAGATTCTGTCCCGGTTACCCCTCTTCCAGGCCAGCTCTCTGCTGTGGCCAGGGAGTGCAGTGGAGGATGGCCCAAGTCCTTGGGCCCTGCACCCCATGGGAGACCAGGAGAAGCACCTAGCTCCTGCCTTCAGATCAGCGCAGTGCACTGGCCGCAGCAGCCATTGGAGGGTGAACCAACGGCAAAGGAAGACCTTTCTCTCTGTCTCTCTCTCACTATCCACTCTGTCTGTCAAAAAAAAAAAAAAAAGATTCATCTTACAAGAACTTTGAAACCACTCATAGGCATGGACTGCAAAATTTCTGGCACTAAAATACATTTATCTTTTTTTTTTTTTTTTGGCAGGCAGAGTGGACAGTGAGAGAGAGAGACAGAGAGAAAGGTCTTCCTTTGCTGTTGGTTCACCCTTCAACGGCCGCTGCGGCCAGCGCACCGCGCTGATCTAAAGGCAGGAGCCAGGTGCTTCTCCTGGTCTCCCATGGGGTGCAGGACCCAAGCACTTGGTGCATCCTCCGCGGCACTACCCTGGCCACAGCAGAGAGCTGGCCTGGAAGAGGGGCAACCGGGACAGAATCCGGCGCCCCGACCGGAACTAGAACCCGGTGTGCCGGCGCCGCAAGGCAGAGGATTAGCCTAGTGAGCCGTGGTGCCGGCCAAAAATACATTTATCTTTTAAATCCATTTTCCACAAACTTTTTGAAGCATCCTCATATACAATGGCCAAGAGCAACCTGGAAAAAATGCTATCACTTATAGTGATACCAGAAAACAAAAAACAAATTTTATGCTTGCCATTACTGCTCTAGGGATGGTATCACACCATTGTACATCTTCATTGTAGCAGAACAATAAATGAGAGTAGCTTTTTTTCCATTTTCTTAACTCTGCATCTATTTTCCCTACCAGTAAGAGGGGCTTTCGCTCAGAAGTGTTCCCCATCACCCACCTCATCCTACCCTACCTACTCAGACACCTGATGCCCCATCCATTTAGTAGTTTGCAATTACCTACTACGTACAAGTTCTAGAAATAGAAAGATGAGCAAGATCAGGCCCCACTTTCAGGAAGCATACAATCCATGAGAGGGCAACAGTCCAAGACAACAACTGAGAGTGCTGTTCAGAAGGCCAAGGTGCTGCTGGTGGCAGGAAACAGTCTTTTAGCTGACTCTTCAACAAACTGCAGGCCCTAAGGCATGAGTCACCACTCTGCTCCTGCGCCTCGGATGTCTCCTCCATAAAATTATCCTGCACTACTGATCTCTCCTTCCTTCACATTCTTTCTGCTCATACTCTAAGTGTTCTCAATCCACTCTCTGTTAGAGTCACCTGGAGAACTGGCTCCCAGATGACTTACAGTTTTTAAAAGGCTCCAAGAGGAATTCTAAAGAGCAGCCAGGCTGGGGAAACCACTGCCCTATTCAGATTATTCAACCCGAGGTTATATTTAATACTGCTGCCAGCGGCTTTCAGCCTGCCATGCCCATAAGCTGTCAACAACCTGAGGACAACTACCTAACAACTCCATCTCTCTCCCACATCACAGCACAGCGCTGAACACTCACAGCTGATGGGGAAATTGGCATCTCGCTGAAATTATCCTTAATGTGGAACAAGGTTTTGAATTGAGGGTGCTAAAAAGGTATTCAAGTTAGTCTGAAATAAAAGAATCAGAAAGCATGGTGAAAAGTGGCTTTAGCAGAATGCGTAGGCTAGAAAAAACTTACTGCCTCACAGGAAAACGTTCTTTAAGGAAAAGAAATTTTAACCAACAGGGAATTTATTCACGCATTCAATTACTGCACCACAGTGTTGATCACTAAAGACAAAATTGTAATGAAAACCAGTTCCTGGGTACTGAACTCACAGAAGTTATACCTAACTGGATCCCAGAGAACATCAAACAGACAATTAGAACATGAAAGAAATACAGACAGCTGTGGACTCACACCACAAAGGCACACGATCTGATCAGGAATTTCATTCTCCTGGACAGGTAGAGACCTTTAACACAAGAGCTTGAGTCGGGCGGCCAGTGCTTTTTATAAACTGCATTACAAAGGCAGAGTTGGGGCACAGCAAGTTAAGCCACCACTTAAGAAGCCTGCATCCCATATCAGAGTGCTGGGATTGAGTCCTGTCTCCGTTTTCCATTGAGCGTCCTGTTAATGTACACCATTGAGAAGGTAGCAATTGACGGCTTGGGTACATGGTTTCCTGCCACCCTCATGGGAGACCTGGATGGAATTCTGGGCTCCTGGCTTAGGACTAGCCTAGCCCAAGCTATTGCAGACATCTGGGGAGTGAAACAGAAGATGGAAGGTCTCTCTCTCTCTCTCTCTTTCTTGCTCTCGCTCTCATTCTCTTTCAAATAAATAAACTTTAAAAAGTAAGTAAAACTGGTTTCCTATAGATAAATCAATAACGAAATAATTCATTACTGACAGCAGGCATTTAACCTAGCAGTCAAGATGCCCACAGCCCACATGAGAGTGCCTGGGTTCAACTCCCAGCTCTGGTTCCTGATTCCAACTTCCTACTATCACAGACTCTGAGAGGTAGCAATGATGGCTCAAGTAATTGGGTTCCTGCCTGGATTGAGTTCCTGGGTCCCAGTTTTGGCAACAGCTCAGCTTGTTGCAGGTATCTGGGGAGTGAATCAGTGGATGGGAGCGCACTCTCCTCCCCTCCCTCCCCCCTCCCTACCTCCATCATTCCCTCCCTCCCTCCCTCCCTCTCTCTCTCAAATAAACAAATACTTTTAATATTTGGTACAGGTGACCAATTATTTTTACTTGATGATATTCTGAGAAAAAGAATATATATTTACTACTAATATGAACATTCTACTCCTGGGACAACTCTCTTCATTATGTAACAAGATGTTTTTCTGGTATAAATCTGTCTTATGTGAATTTAGGCAGTACCTCCCCTTAGGAAACCATTAATCAATTCCTGTTATTTGGCCCTCACAACCCCTCAACAGGCTTTAGGGAGGCCTCAGATCTGGGAATGAGAAAGATGAGCTTCTAGAACAACCCTAGAGGTTCAGCCCAGACACTGTACCTGTGGCCCAGGGCCGTCATGGATAAGGCGAGATAACAGCCAATGGGCATGCCCGCTTTCACAGACTTCGAGAGCGGATGGAACATGGGTGACTCTGTCATGTCAGGTACCATGCTGGAAAAGGGAACGGTGGGACAATTCTGCTGTAATCCATAATCATTTCTGTGCAGTTTTAACCTCAAGATCAAGTTCCAGGCCCACTGGTTAAAGGAGGTCTCAGGTGTCTCTCCATATCGAACAATACTGGCCAAATATGAAACCTAAAACAATTATTTTAAACCACATTAGTCACACACAAATTACATCAGTAAGCTCTTTTCCCTCTCCTGTTTTGGTAAACAGTGCCCTCAAAAGAGAAGAACGGCCTATTTAACTGGTCTTCAATCAATTCTTGTTGCACTGCAGGAAAGCAATTTCTCATTTACAACTAACCATTTTGGTTTCCCTGCTAGTAACTTTGTGCACCTGATTGTAGTTCAGATGAAAGAGAAATTATAGAAAAGCTGCCAATCAATGAACAATGTGCTGGCAAATAAGCTGACCAACCAGGGTGAGGGGTCTCATTTATATTATCTGCCAATTTGGGTGGCCTAAAAGCTCCCACCATGGACAATTTTCATTTAACTTTTATTTATTTTCATTTTATTTGAAAGGCAGAGAGACAGAGACAGAGAAATCTTCCATCTGCTGGTTTACTCCCTAAATGCCCACAACAGCCAGAACTGAGCCAAGCCAAGGCCAGGAGCCTGGAACTCAATTTGGGTCTCCCACGTGGGTGGCAGGGACCCAAGTACTTGAGCCATCATCTGCTGTTCCCCAAGGCACATATCAGCAGAAAGCTAGAGTAGAAAGCGGAGCTGGGACTTGAACCCAGACACTCCAATATGGGATGCAGGCATCCCACTTGGCATCTTTGCTATATCAAACTCCTACCCCTCACCATGGCCAATTTCAAACTACCAATGTAACTTGCAAAGCTCCTGAAACTTTAAGTCAGTTCTCCCACAATGGTTCAAGTAGTTCCAGCATACCATTGCAGCTCAACTCAAATGATCATGAAAAATCTAATAAAGACAAACCTTTATTCACCAAAGAAATCAATTTTGTGTTCTTGGGAAATCTAAGGGTCAGTACTGTCACTGTGCCTGCCCAGGCCCCTACAAATAGGCTTTCACGTTCTCAGTATGTAAGAGAAGGAAATACCTGCTTCATACTCTCGGAAAGAAGTCCAGCATACGGCTTCTGTGCAAGGTGCTTCTGATAAGCTTCCAGAACCATCAAGGCCACTTCAGTATGGACTGCTTGATCCAGATGAAGGGTACCCTTTCGAAGAGAAAAATAAGCATAAATATATCACCTTGTATTTTTTTATTTTTCTGAACCCAAAAATTATGCAGAAAAGTAAAACATGATCTTGGATATTCCAAAAATCACAGCCCCTAACACTGAAGTTATAAAATGTCAACAGGAAAAAATTTGAAACATTTAAAGAGCAATTACAATACAAATTACACTACACTTGAGCCATCCTCCACTCTAGTCAAAAAAAAGGACATTTGAATGTGACCACTACCCCATCCTAAAATCTCTACAAACACTTTGGGTTGTAAGTTAAGGGCACTACCACAGACCAAGGAAATGCTCAATTACTATTCACTAAATGAGAAGACACTTCACAGATTAGGTCTACATTGCCTTTTCTGCTTCTATCATCAATGAAAATAAATAAGATGCTCAGCCACAGGTAAAATACTCTTTCACAAACCTAAATTGCCTATCCAATTTCCCACTCAGTCTCCTTCTGCAGCCTGATAAGTAAATTTAGCCCTTTCAGAGACCACAACTTTCCTAATAAAGGAGGTGTGGGGAGACGCAAAGAGCAGTCTTCAGTCAGCCATCTCGGAAAAGGAAAGTGGGGATTCCATCACAAAGTCACAGATGTGAAGGTGGAGAAGCCCCTGTCATTCTTCAGCGAAAGAAGCCCCACACGAATCCACAGGCAACCTCAGATGGTCAGTGACCCACTTCAAGAAAAGCTCCTAATCTGTACAACAGGCTTCCTGCCAATGCACACAACACAGAACAGCTGCCAGGACTTAATGACTCGCTCACAGCAAAAGCTGGCGAACTGCTGTAGCGGGCTGAGTGCTCCCCCACTTTCCCTCCACATGGGAATACGCATTCTGGTCAAGGAGCTAAGAAACAGGGTCTACAGTACGAAGCAGGAAAGGATTTTAACAGGCGAAATCCCAAGATAGGAAATCTTTGGACATAAACAACACAAGCAAACCCTTTATAATAAACTGCTTTGTTAATTACATGACAGATTTCATTTTTGTTGATTAAAAGCAATGTAAGGCATGAAAACGCACTCAAACATCTGGATACACTAAATACATATTTCCATGACTTTATATGCTATATTTAAAAGTACTATAAGTACAAAGCAGTATTATACTTGCTAATAATTACCAATATTTTGATTTTGCTGTATTTTTCATCAGAATTTCTGTAGTGCCTTCCAACTAAACATACTAAGATTCTAGAAAAATAAAAGATGACAACAGTCCTAATAGGAGCCATTTGGAATTTGAGGGTGAGAGGTAGCAGCTGTTGTTCAGGAATCCACAACTGTTCTGCAGTGTACATGAACTTACATGGTTTTTAAAATTTAAACAATTCTTAAAATTCCCTTTCAGAAATCACATGACCATATTTTAAATGCATACCTTAAATATATAAAACAAGTATTTTCCCCCTTAACTCTCCCCTCCCCCACCAAAAAATCCTAGTGAAATAACAGGTGTGCAGTGACCAGGTGCTTTGGTCACTCTCCATGTATTAGCAGTTTGTTCAGTTTGCCACATTTTCTCTGAGTAAAGCAATTAGGATGGAACCCTGCACTGCAGCCTATATAATTTGCCCCTATGTGGAGGGTTGTCATGTACGCTTGTAATTATCAAAGAATGAATGGTTAAGGACCTTTTCCTGGCTACAAAAAAAAAAAAAAAAGTCATGCTAATTATAGAACAATAGGAAACATAGAAAAGTATGTAATAAGTAAACAACAAATAACAAATAAATACACACACTTATAATCTTACCACATAGAGTCACCTACTGGCAATATTCTGGTGGGTTTCTCTGAGAGGCAGAGAGATCCCATCTGCTGGCTCACTTCTCACATGCCCACCAACAACCGGCATCAAATCCAACTCACCCACTTGGGTGGCAGGGACCCAACTACATGAACCATCACTGCTGCTGACTTAGCTGAGGCCACTGCAGACCTACCACATGACCCAGGCAGTGGCAGCCTCATGCCCTGCGTCTGAGCGCCCAATAATATACTATTATTAATAACAAAACTACATCATTGAGAGTGCTATGCACTCTCCTAAATATTTGTCCCAACTTGTTCAATCCTTACATTACCCATGTAAAGTAGACCTATTAATATTAATGTTTACAGAGGAGCAATGGAGACTCAGAGAGTTCAGGAAGCTTGTCCAGGGTCACACAGCCAAGAGACACTGGGGCTGGGATCAGAACCAGGGAAGTTGCACAGACCTCAGGCTCTTAACCAACACACAACATTCTACACTAGTAATGATGTGTAAGGTAAACTGCAGGAGGCAGAGGCACCAGAGGCAGGGGAGGTGATTAGGATGAATCGCAGTTCCGAGATAAAACAACAGATACCGTGATCAAAGGATGAAGGGAAGAATTTTCAATGTGCAACAATTTATCTTCATTTAGAGGATGCACATTCTGCCAAACAAAATTAAAGAGAAGATCCTAAACTCTAACACAGCCAAAAGAATTTGCAGATTTTACAGATGATACTCAGAAATGTAAAGTTTTTTTTAAAAAATGCATCCTTGAAATCATGTGTGTAGAATCGCCAGTTTCCAGGGACTGGTTAACACATACCTGTTCAGCAAATCCCCAATTCAACCCTTCCAGAATAACACAGGCTAGTTTATTCTTCACCGCTGCCAGGTTGTAATTCAATAACCAGTCCCGAATCACAGCTATCTCGGAGGCAGAAGGTCGCCAAAGATACAGAGGTAATTCTTTAAACAAGTATAAAGAAACCTTAGTAAAAAGAAAATGATAGTCGTTAAAATCAGGACTTACAGATAACCCTATATAAAACTACATCGTTAAACTGATTTAAATTTTTCTTCTTCAAAAGTATGTGCAATTTTATTTGATTTTTAGAAAAGTAAAATAGAAGTCATGAACAACCAAATCAAATGGGTATTAAACTGATAATACACCAACAAAAACACATGAGTACAGCTTTGTAAAGGTCAGCCTTCATTCTGATACATAAACCGGCATGCTTCAGTTGAAGTAAACCACCGTATGAGACACACATTTATAAAGTCATGATGAATCAGACAATGGTCATTATTTTACATAGCACTTTAAATAATTACTTCTTCTATTCTATGGCATTTTATTTATTTGTTAAAAAAAAGATTTATTTTATTTAAAAGGCAGAGTCCGAGAGAGAGATGGAAAGACAGATCGTCCACCCACTGGTTAACTCTTCAAAAGGTTGCAACATTCAGGGCTGGGCCAAGCAAAAGACAGGAGCCAGGAGCTTCATCCGGGTCTCCCATGTGTGCAGAAGGGGCCCAATGACTTAGGCCATCTGCTGCTGCTTTCCCAGGCACATAAGCAGGGAGCTAGATCAGAAGTGGAGCAGCCAGGACTTGAACCAGTGCTCATACGGGATGCTGGCATAGCAGGTGGCAGCTTAACCCACTTTGACACAAGGCCAGCCCCTCTACAGCATTTTAAAAGAAACTTCGATTAGCTTGAAAGCAATGTGGGAGGTGGGACAAGGAATGCAATGGGTACAGATGAAACAAGATCAACTAAGAGTTGGTAACTGCTGAAATCAGATAATGAGCACATAGGGCCTCATTACACCATTCCAACTTCTTTTACAGTCCATCACCCATCCTGGATTGATGTTTCAAACAATGGGCCACATTAAGGACAGTGCCCCTGTAAGACTATACTGCCTAGTGACACTGGAACCACCTTAGTTTGTATCAGTACACTCTACAATATACATTCACACAGCAAAACTGGATATTAACACACGTTTAGAATATATTTCTGTCATTACACAATGCATATTTGTATATCTGAAATATTCCATAATAAAAAATGTAAATCCTGTTTACAAAAACCTGCAGTGCCACTTTTTAAATAATATATGAATATGTGCAAATTAAGATAAATCTGGGATTACTTAACACAGTTTGCTTTAAGGGATCAGCAGAGAAATTCATTTTATAGTATCTACAACAGTGCTGTACAATCACATGCAATTTTAACTTTTCCAATAGCCACATTTCTAAGTAAAAAGAAGTAAAATTAATTTTAATAATCTTATTTAATCAATACCTAAAATATTATCATTTCAACATGTAATCATTATGAAAGAACTACTGAAATGTGTTACATTCTTTTGTTCACACTATCTTTAAAACTCAGTAATTTATACTCAGAGCACATTCCAGTTTGGACCAGCCCTGTTTCCAGGGCTCCGTAGTCAAATGTGCCTCATGGCTACTCGTCAGACAGCACATGGCTCGAACACACCAACTAGCATTTGTCAGGTTCATGCTCTGCTTCAAATTGGAGCCAAAACAAAATTTGAAAGAACAGTAGAAAAAATGAATTTTAAAAAAACTTTTCCTTTCTGTTAATTCTGTGTATGTATGGCTTTAGGTAAATTTCTATAAATTCCCTAATAAGATACTTGAATATTTTGAATAAAGTGCTAAGTTTATTTTATTCACTTAAAATACAGAGGGTGACAGGGCAGACATTGAGAAAGAAGCAGAGAAAGAAGAGCACTCCCATTCAGTGGTGCACTTCCCACTGCCTCTCACAGCCAGGGCTGGGCTAAGGCTGAAGCCAGAAGCCAGGGCTGACTCCCATTACTTAAGCCATCACCACTACCTCCAAGGTCTACATCAGCAGGAAGCTGAAATCAGGAGCCCACGCCCAGAATTGAACCCAGGTGTTCCAGTGTGGGACAAAAGCATTTAAAGGACATGTTAACTGCTGGGCAAATGGCCCCCCACAAATAGAGCCTTCTTTCTCTGTGTCTTCCAAATTATAATTATGAAAGCCAAAAGAATTATGAAATTAAAATGTCAATTAACTACAGGCTAGAATTAAGGTTAAAAACCTGTTATTACAGGAGGTGGTAAAATCAACTTAGAGGAAATTTGAGGAAACATCACAGCTTTTTATATGCAGCAGCTAATCCTAAATTGTCGTGGTGAATGGCAAAGAGCCTGGCACACAGTAATACAGTTCCTTTCATTCTGTTGTATCCTTAAGTGATGTAGTCATCCCCAACAACCTTCCTATTTTTGCTTGCTCCATTACTTCAGGATTAATAAACAAACAAACAAAATTAGTGCTCTTACCATTCCAACCTGATCAATGGTATCTTGAACTCTATCCAAAAGGATAGAAATTATCTCAGGGTGAACAGCTGTGATGGCCCCTAAAAGCTCTCGACCAACCTTTGAAAAAGTCTCTCTCGTGGACAAGGTGACATAAGATACCTAAATGGAACCAGGGGAGATGGCAGTTTTAATAACAAGTATCAATCAAAACACATTTCTACAGTTGCTTCAAGTACAGCAGACAGAACATCAGATTGAGTCTCAGTTCACAGCATGTTCTGAAAGATAAATTAGACCTTCAGACAGCAAACTGTTTACATGAATGGGGCAAGAGAGGTAGGGAGGGGAATGGCAACTATTTATAACAATAAACAGTGAGGTATTCAGAAAGTATATCCCAAGGTTTGTAATTAGCAATCAAACAGTTCCTTTGGTGGCAAAACTTTTCTCAATTTGAGAAAATGATTAAAATGATAAAAATCAGAATGCATTTCATGGAAATGTCTATTTTCTCCTACACAATCAGGTCCCTGAACTATAAGAGCTTCTAAAATATCATTGCTGGCCGGTGCCGCAGCTCACTAGGCTAATCCTCCACCTTGCGGCGCCGGCACACCGGGTTCTAGTCCCAATCGGGGCACCGGATTCTGTCCCGGTTGCCCCTCTTTCAGGCCAGCTCTCTGCTGTGGCCAGGGAGTGCAGTGGAGGATGGCCCAAGTGCTTGGGCCCTGCACCCCATGGGAGACCAGGAGAAGCACCTGGCTCCTGTCATCGGATCAGCGCGGTGCGCCGGCCACAGCGCACTGGCCGCGGCGGCCATTGGAGGGTGAACCAACGGCAAAGGAAGACCTTTCTCTCTGTCTCTCTCTCTCTCACTGTCCACTCTGCCTGTCAAAAAAAAAAAAAAACATTGCTTACCAACTTCTCTTTAACAGTATCTTTCAAATCACAGGATACACTCCATTAATGACAATGGCCAGTATTTTTTTTTTTAATAAAATGAAGCAGAACAGAGAAATAAAAGAGAACAGAAAAATCTAAGAGTGCATCACAGAAATACTAAGTGTTGCTTCAATTACGTACACACACACACACAGGACCAGAATGCAGTACTGAATATGTAAATTTGACTGTGACTCCTGGTCAAACACTAAAAACATTATGCAAGAGCACAAATATTACTTCACCAGATCTTGAGAACATCACCTAATGTTCATGAAAATATACTTTCTCCCAATTTTGTCTAAAATTCCCGATTATCAAGGTCTTAACTTTACGCATGGTTACAAGGTACAGCTTAACAGAGATTGATCCTTCGGGATCCAGGTCTGTCATTCTCAAACTGGAAGTATTAGGGCAGAATAATTCTCTGAATTTTCTTCAAACATAATTTTACTTGAGTATACTTGAATATTTTGGAGGATATTTTTTATATAATACTCTGGAGGAGGTGCATTTTTATCTCCATGAAATGAAGATAAAACAGATGACTGTCAAAAGCACAAAATGTACATAGCTTTTAAAATACACAAAAAAAAGCCAATGAAGTTGTGACAGCCACTTTGAGCTGGTCCTAGACACTCAAGGGCTCCTCCCTGCCTGCCACTTTATGTATGAGAAGAATGAAGCTCAGAGCAGTAAGCTATCTTCCTGATATGAGACCAGCAATAAATTACAGAGTTAGACACAAAGCCCAGGTCTCCAAGCCTAGGTTCAATATTCTTTCTACCATCTCCTTAAATTGGCTTCAAAGCCAGGTTTCCATATTACTAGCAGGCATCAAGGAATGGAATTTGGTGGGTGTTGGAAGGTTCTGAGGAAACAGCTTAAAACCTCTAACATCAGGTTTTGCCAGATCATCTATTCCCTTCAAAAATCCTGCATTAAAGGTCAAGAGATAGCAGTGGGAAATGGCATAGGTATGACTCATGTCTCCAACGCTCCTCACAGCCAAATGATATTCCTTTGATTCTCTGTCCCCTTCTCCGAGTACACATAGTAGCTCAATAAATCAGATTTCTCAAAGCAATCCCAAAAGAATCAATGGATAGATGACTCAAAAGAAATTTTTAGCTGATTTATGAAACTTCATATTCTGACCTCATATATCTCCAGAACAATAATTTTTATGAAGTCTTCATCCACGTTGGTTCTTCTGGCCTGAGCCATCTGAGCAAAAGTGGTCAGAAGGCAAATCTCCTCCGAACTATTCATGGAAGAAAGACACTTCTCAAAGTTCACAAAATGTTCTGGGTCTGTAAGTTCATATGAAGAAAATAAAAATGAAATATATACCTCAATTATTCTTCCAGAGATAAGGGATATAAAATTAAAAGATATTTAGAAATATCCAAAAACAAAAAAAGGTCTTTCTTTCTCCCCAAATGGATTTCTGTAAATATGAAGAAGAAGGCTGGACCAGATGAAACATCAACAAATTGTAGGCAGAATGTGGCCTCCGAGGAGACACTGTTACCTCCAAACCTGTTTCCTCATCTGTCACACACTGTAGCTTAGGAAGATTGAGTGACCCACCACTGGGGAAGTATTTCATTAATTGCAACATCTTTAACTGCAATGTATCACTGCTGGCACTAGGCAGATCACCTGCAAAGGCAGTACTGCCCACCAGGAAGGCACCCTTGAGGCTACAAGGTGACTGCGGCCGAATGAATGAAGGCCCTATTCATGAAAACCGCTAAGACTCCTTGGCATAAGCATGGCATCCCAAACAAAACAGACTTGCCCACAAATGAAAAGCTGGGGCAAGAAATGAATTATAATGATGACTGAAATGCTGTTGAATGTCACAAACAGCATATAGTATGTTCTGTCCATTTCTCAGAGGGTGCTGTGTAGCCAATATTACATTTTATCACTAGGAGGCAGTATAGACAACCAACTTGGCAATACATGACCAAAAAAACCAGACATTGCAAAGGCAAACTTTTACAGAGGAAAGAGGAAAAAAAGCCCATTTTAGAAATATATAATTCCCTCATGAAATTTTTCACAGTAAGAAGGCAACAAGCCAACAATTCTTTTCACATCTTTACGCATCTGAGAAATCAAAGGTAATTCGTCAAATTATTTGTATTTTCAAAATAACCCCGTGGGGCATTTAAGAAACCAGTTTTCATTTCCCATCCCCAAACTAGGTTTATAATGGAAATTATGACATAGAATACACCCAGAATAATCAAAATTGGGATTCTCATTCTAACTTAAGAGTATTTTAAGGTACAATCAAGGGAGAGGATTTATACCTTAAAGAATTCAATAAAATTTTAAAAATAGGAAAGACGTAACTCTAATTAGCTTTTAAAACATTATCTTTAAAGACAAACAAGATAGGCACATTTCTACATTTATTTATCATAAAACGTTTTCGGGATTCCACTTTACTAGCAGTCAGAATGTTTATCATACTAGAAACAAACATAACAAGGAGAGAAAATAAGAAACCAACGGCAAAAGGAAGACCTTTCTCTCTGTCTCTCTCTCTCTCACTGTCCACTCTGCCTGTAAAAAAAAATAAAAAATAAAAAAATAAAAAAAAATACAACTTAAAAAAAAAAACTAGTGGGACAACTGTGCTTAAAACTTTAAAAATTTATAGGTGATTAACACATACTTAGTAATCTGATTGTAAACTAGAATCATTTCACATCCATGTGCAAAAAAGTGCTTCCTTAAAAGTTAGAATATTACGTTTATTGACATGCTGTTGGAGACTAATCAAATTTGGAAACATTCTCTTGTAGATTTCAAAATCACGACACCTGAATACACACAGTAAGACATTCTCTTATTCCTCCTAGAGTAATAGAAGATCGCAGTGAGAGGCGCACGGAGGGAGGAAAGCTGGCACGGCCCGTACCTTGGAGCTGCCGCTTGCACTCGGCCGGCTGCAGGGTGCAGCAGAGCTGCTGCAGGTTCCCACTCTCCTCCACCTGGTGCATGAGGTAGAAGAGCTTCCAGAGCATGTGGGCCGACAGCGTCCCGAAGGGCATTTCAGACATGAACAGCCAAATACCGAGTCTACATATTTTAAGAACAGCAGGAATAATGTCATATATTAATCAGCTTCTCCATGCAGGAAAAAAAAATTCTTAACTCCTACTCCCACAGTCTCTACCACACTGTCAGAAATACCTCAAAGATGGACAACAGTAACAGCAAATACTCGGGAAGCACTTATCTGTGCCTTGTCCTAAATGCCTAGGACCAGAAGTGCTTTAGATTTTCGATTTTTTTAGATTTTGGAATATCTGCAATGCATGTAATGAGATTTTATAGGGATGGGATCCAAGTCTAAACAGGAAATTCATGTTTCATATGCACCTTATACACACAGCCTGAGGGCAATTGTACATAACATTCTTAGCCTCTACGTTTTGACTACAACCTGTCACATAAAAGTGTGGAACTTTCAACTCGTGGCATCATCATGTTGGCACTGAAAAAGTTTCAGATTTAGAGCATTAAAATGCTCCATGTATATCAACTCATTCAAACTTCTCTAAAATCAAGAAAAAATTATTGGTATTATCCCCAATTTACACATGAGGCTTCTAAGGCACAGAGGAAGTATTAAGAGGCAGAGCTGGCTCTGCCCTGAGAGGACCCCTAGCTGTGGAAGTGTGTTAGCAGGCATGAGGTACACATGTGCACAGGCTCACATGTGCAGCAGATTGGAGAGGACTCTTCACTGATCACTGGCTCCTGGGTCTGGAGCTCACAGCTGGGAATCCAAGAATTTGCGTCTTTAACAGTAACCCCTGGTGACTCAAACTCAAATGATCCTTAAATCACACTGTGACAAATACCTCATAGTACTGTAATGTATGCACATATACTAGCCTATCAGCAGTTTGAGAGCAAAAACAGGTCTTGTTCAGTAACCAGTTTGTAACCACAGCCTTGTATTTCAATTATCTAGTACTTAAATCAGTATCTTCAGAAAAATGAGCATTCAATAACTGCTTGTTAAAACTGTATATGAATTTTATGGTAAGTTGTAAAATCAAATTTAGGGGCCAGTGCTGTGGTATAGCAGGTAAAGCTACTCCCTGCAGTGCCAGCATCCTATATGGGTGCCAGTTCAAGTCTCAGGTGCTCCACTTCTGATGCAGCTCCCTGCTAATGCACCTGAGAAAGCAGCGGAAGATGGCTCAAGTGCTTGGGCCCCTGCACCCACGTGGAAGACCCAGAAGAAGCTCCTGGCTCCTGGCTTCGGATGGTCCCAGCTCCAGCCATTATGGCCATTTGGGGAGTGAACCAACAGATGGAAGACCTCTCTCTCTCTCTCTCTCTCTCTCTCTGCCTTTCTGGAACTCTGCCTTTCAAACAAATAAATCTTTTAAAAAAATTTATTGAGAAAAAAAAGAAATGAATAGTATATGCCTAATCCACCTTTTAGAACCCAGGCAAAGAACTGGTAGCCCAAACCCATACTGACCTAGAGTCTGGAAAAGCAACAGCTACATTCTTGAGCAAGAGGTGAAGAAACTTCTGTAAGGTAGGCCACACTTCTGTCTAATTAGCCTAGCACTTCCCACAAGACCTGATGCTGTTTTATAACAGATACCAAAACAATAAATGGAAATTACAGAGATCCTCAATGTAATATCACCATATGGGATATATTTTGGGCTACAAAATTCCCCTCATGGCAAACCTCAGTGAGTCTGGCTTAGGTTTCTGTTATCTATCTTTCGGTCTGCATTGGTTTCATTTGGCTTTAGGTTGAGGGGTTCAGTTCAATTTAATTTAAATTTCATGACTTTAAATAACTGGTTCTCATACCATTTATTTCTAAAATAAGTTGTATTCAAGAACAACAGAACTCAACATTCTAAAATTTAATCTCTTTTTTTTTTTGTGAATTGCATGAACATTGTTACAAGTTCCCACGCACTGTGCTGGCTTCCCTGTACAGCAGGCAGGTGCTACAGTGATGACTCACTGCTGGGGTCCTGAATACAACTTGGTGCTCCGCGTAACAAAACAATCTAAAGATAATTTTGTAGGCCCAGCTTTATTTATGCTAGATCCATGCCTTCTGAGTACCTAAAAGTGGCTACCACTTAGCAAAAGAAACCTGGACTTTCTCTGTTACTCTGTTCTTCATTTGAAGTCACACAAGAACAATACCTACATCTGAACAGTCATTGTGGTTTAAAAAGAACTTCTACATATTACCACAATACATCCTTGGAACCTACCCACGAGTCAGTGGAACAGTAGTATTCTTATCACCACCTACACTTTATAAATGAACAAAGTGAGACCAATAATAAAAAGTACCTCACACAGGGTAACAGAAAATGGCAGACCGAGACTCAAATTCACTGCATGACACACAATGAATCAGGGAGTGAGGCTCAGAATCACATGGCCAGAGGGAACCTTGCTCGGGAAAGGCCAAAGCAGAGAAGAGCTAGCAGTCTGTGAGTACGGTTGGGGTCGGTCCACATTTCCTACAGGGTGCACTCCTGCAGTGGAACCTCCCCCTAAACTTGACCTCAGGGAAGGCTTTGTGGTAGGCATAGCTGAGCCCTCCCCATGCCTCAAACACATCCTAGGCTGTAGGCAGCAACACAGAGGGCACAACCACGAGCCAGCATTTACATAACCAAGCCAGGGGACCAAGATCTATGGCTCTCCTAGACCTTAAACTCTTACAGTAAGATAGAATCACTACCCCATCCTGAGTGCCTACTGTGCCCCACTGAAAGCACTGTGGCTGAGTGGGTGATGAAATTCGACCTTTTTTTCCTATCTTTAAGACTGCCCTAAAAGTTTAAGAGTGGCAAAACTGAGATATCAGAATAGAGTTATTTTAAGATAGAAAGAAACTGGAAAGAGATCACTTCAGTCAACAGGAAGTACACTACAGAAGGGGAAACTAGGGCCCAAAAATTTGCCCATAAGAAATACATAACACATGTTAAGACACAGACATTGAATTAGTCAATACCTTTCTTACCAGGCAGAGTTCATTCTCACCAGTTACCCTCCTATTTTTTACCTTTTGGCTTTCAGCACATGCAGGACAGCCCTCAAAAACAGCTCATCAAATTCAAGTTGTAGCTTCTCCAGGGAGTAGGGCTGCAGGGGCAGTCCTGAAGAACCATTGTAGCTCACATACTGAGCCCAGTGGTCACTCACATAGCCAAGGGTCATCCTGAGCACAAAGACACACAACAGGGCGTTTTTCACTAACTCATTCGATACCAGCACCTTCCCATTACATTGAAAGAATTCATTTATTCAATACATATTTATATGCATCTCTCTCTTCCAGGAGGAACAGGAAGGAGGCCAGTGTGCTAAAGCAGAGTTAGAGAGACAGACAGGCTGGAAGCAAACTCAGAAGAGTTGCAGGAGCCCAGCTCGTGGAGGCTCCTGTAGACCATCATGGGGACTCTGGCTTGTACTCTGAGATGGAGGCACAGGACACTCTTGAGCACAGAGCGGCATGAGCTGATGGGAACACGGGCTGCTGTGAGACCACACCAGAGTATGGAAGGGGGCTAGGCAAGGTCAGAAGCAGGAAGAGACGTCAGCAGCCCATGGTGGCAACCGGTGAGGAACAACTAGGAAAGAACTAGGTGGCAGCAGGGAGGGTGGTAGAAGGCTGGATCCTGGAAAAGGCACACTTCACCCCTGCCCATGCCAAAGGACGCAGATCTTCCACACTTTAACCTCCCTGCCATTCAGGGCACCCAGTAATCACTTGCTTACCTCATAAACCTAATCTAATTAATTCATCAAAGCTAATTGTGTTGTGATAGAAAAGTAAAGAGGGGGAGAAGTTCTGCTGTTTTATGGTGTTTTTTCAGGGGAGGAGTTTGGAAAAATTAACAGTATATGTAAGGCTATAGAGAGTGAAACAGTATAGATGGAAAAATTGTGATGCAGAAGCAAAAGGTATAAAATGAATTCAGAGGAAAGCAAAATGTAGTAAGGCACTTGATAATAAAAAACAACCCACTTTTCACTCAAATACCCAATAAAGCCTTCCCACTTCAAGTAAGTGGCCACTGATTGAGTCTTTGTAATTTTTTTAAAAGATATTTGCCAGAAATCAGAATAAGAATAAAGAAGTGAGAAAACAAGGAAACAATGATATAAACAGCCAATGCCAAGTTTCCATAGCTACGCGACTATTCCAAGGCAAGAGCTAGGAGATGGAGGAGGAGGGAGCAAAGAAAGAAGAGTCAGCTTTTTCCTTGATCCCTGCTCTCTGGCCCAGACTTCAATGCAGCAGCAGCTCAAAGGATCTTGACTCCAAAAACACTATCTAGCAAGCCAGCTAAATTTGAGATAATTAAAGAAGAAAATGTCTTCCTTTTATGAGAAGTAAAATCAGAAGCCTCAAATGCCCATCATTCCTAAGAAGCAATGTCTGTGCCAGGCAGGGTGAAAGCACACAGAGGCGGAAGGGCACCAGCAGTATTACCTGATCAGATAGCCAATGCGCTTCACAAACTGCCGATAGCGTGCTCTGTTGAAGGTTTCTAACCCTACAGCCAGAAGTTCCACTAATGAACTGGCAAAGGCAAAAATTTTCATCATTTCTTGAGGTCTTGTTGTTTCAGGCAAATAATCACCTGGAAGTAAATCAAGTACAAGAGAAAAAATTCAGTCTACAGGTATAAATAATGAAAAAAAGATGGCAACAAATCAACAATCCCTTTACTCTGGCTCCTATAGCAACATGAAATGGAAAAATTGAAAACTTGAGACAAATCACAAAATTAAAAAACAATTTCTTCCAGCTGGACAGCACATAAGCCAGTCAGCCTTCTCTTACTTAAGCAGAAAGTGGAGAATTACAAGCATGAGAGAAAGGAAGTCTAGAATAAGCACGCTCAGGAAAAACTGAATTAGGAGCCTACAGAAGAAGTAAGAAGACTTGATGTATCCATTGCCACATTTTATTTATGACCAAAGAAATAGTCTACCTTTTGCTTTAAATCCAAGAAGATGCTGAAAGAGCTCATGAAATGGAAACTGTGATAAAAGGATAACCAAGTCATCTTCATTAAGGAGAATCCAGCTTGTCTCAGGGTCTTCATCCTAAGGGAAAAAATGCAAAATCATGTCAGCTGATTTGATCAGATCACTAGTTACAGGAGCTAAATCATCACAGGTCTCAATGGTACATAGGAAGCATACATAGTATTTTCACGAGTTTCAATGGACTTTTTCTCCAGGACAGAAATTTATAGTCTCCATTTTATAGACTACCATCCACTGGTTCAATCTCCTCATGCACACAATGGTCAGGGCTGGGCCAGGACTAAAGCTGGGAGCCAGGAATGCAATCCAGGTCTCCCAGGTACGTGGCAGGAACCCAATCACTTGAGCCATCACTACTGCCTCCCAGGGTCTGCCTTAGTAGAAAACTAGAGTCAGGAGCTACAGCAGGGAATTGAACCCAGGCAATGTGCAATGTTGATCACGGGCATCTTAACCACCAGGCTAGAGGCCCTCTCACACGATCACAACTTTTTTTTAATATTTATTTACTTGAAGGGCAGAGTTATAGAAAGAAAAGGAGAGACAGAGTGAGAGAGGAAGATCTTCCATCCACTGGTTCACTTCCTAAATAGCTATACAGACAAGGCTGAGCCAGGCAGAAGCCAGCAGTCAGGCGCTTTATCGGGCACTCCCATGTGGGTGCACAGGCACAAGCACTTGGGTCATCTTCTGCTGCTTTCCCAGGCACATCAGCAGGGAGCTGGATCAGAACTGGAGCAGCTGGAACTCAAACCAGCACCCATATTGATGTCTGTGCTGCAGGCAGCAGCTTTTACCCACTATGGCACAATGCCAGCCCCCAACAATCACAACTGTATATGTATCTGGGTCATGTCCGTTTGTTTAGTAGCTGAAACTGCTCTCAGTAAATTTCCATCCCAAAGAAGATAGAAAAAAAAAATAATAATAATCCCCTAGATTGGGAACCTTACTGTGTGGCCCTGTGCTTTGACATCAATTAAAGAACTTTGTTCTAGAGTTGTTTTAGCCTCAGTTCTCTTCCCCCAAAATCAAGTTCTACTGTAGTAATCAACAGACTGATGAGGAAACAATTAGCATTTGCTACAGATGATTGAAGTTCTGTTGTCAATGCTGCTGGAAGCCAGATAAAAATAACAGTGGTCGCCCATAGAGAATGCATAGGGGACATCTTTGGGGTCCTTTTGTTTGATGCACAGAACTAAGGTCATCTTAGAAACCAAACTGACTTGTGTCCTAAGACATGCTAAATTCAAAATGGAAGGATGTAAAAGGATCCGGAGAACCTGAAGAATCTATCCTCTCCTCCTATCACTAATGCAATTCATTCATAACCTCTTGAAGCCACTCATTTTTACCCTCTTGCATGTCCAAAATGGCTAGCAAAAAAGAACCTCAGAAACTCCCATTTCTGGACTCTGGCTGTACATTAGAGTCATCAGGCTGGATGTGTGCCACGGGCCAGGGCAAGGTCTGGTGATTCCAGCAGATGCTGGTGTGTGCCGAGCTGAAACCCGCAGCACCTTGCTCCCCACCACCTATGTGCTACAGCTCTCCCAACCTCCTCACCTCCCCACATACCTAAATTCATTCAATATTTACTGGGTCCTTATCCACCCATTATAATCATCTGGGATGAAATGCGGAAAACTGATCAGAGAAAAAGATTTCTAACTCAAGACTACTCTGAAAAAAACTACTGGTCAACAACAGCTTTTAAAGGACCGTGTGCACCAGGCACTGGGAAACTCTCCAGGAGGACTGCTCAGTCCCCAGCAAAGACGTTCACACGTCACATCATCTCCCAGCCCCTCGCTGCCTCCTCTGAGCCTCAGAGAGGGATTCCCACTTCTGAACGAGCACTGGGGAAACACACAGACCTGATGTCCAGAGTTTCTGCAACTGTCATTATGAGAACTGTCCACTATGCACTTTCAACTTCTTTGAAAGAGAAGGATTTTGGTGCTGGTGTCATGGTGTGGCAGGTTAAATCATTCCTGGCTTCGGCCTGGTTCAGCCTTGGCTACTGTGGCCATCTGGGGAATGAGCCAGCCAATGGAAGATCTATCCTTCTCTCACTCCCTCTCTGTATTACTAACTCTGACTTTTAAATAAATACATAACTTTAAAAAAAGAGAGAGAGAAGTATTTTAGTCAATCCAGTTACCAGCCATCCTGGACAATAACATCAAGTCAGGATTTGGCAGAGGAAAAAGCACTAGAGTAGTAATTAGCTGAAAGAAAAATCCCGTACAAATATACTAACCATGTGTACAGAAAGAAAAATTCAGGTATTACCTCATGAAACTGGATTTTGATCACTAAATTCTCACCAAACTAGAAAACTATCTTGCTACCTTTCAAATAAGAAGACCTATGGGCATTCTAAGAGTTAAGGCAAGGGCCAGTGCTGTGGTGCAGCAGGTTAACACCCTGGCACGAAGTGCTGGCATCCCATATAAGCACCAATTTGAGACCCGGCTGTTCCACTTCCAAACCAGCTCTCTGCTATGGCCTGGGAAAGCAGTAGAAGATGGCCCAAGTCCTTGGGCCCCTGCACCTGCGTGGGAGACCCGGAAGAAGCTCCTAGTTCCAGGCTCAGGATTGGCATAGCGCCGGCTGTTGTGGTCAATTGGGGAGTGAACCACTGGATGGAGGATTTCTCTCTCTCTGCCTCTCCTCTCTATGTGTAACTCTTTCAAATGAATAAATAAATCTTTAAAAAAAAAAAAAAAAGAGTTAAGGCAGAATCTTGGTGAACCCCAGTTCTTTATTATTCAGACTCACATTATCTGTAGATGACACCTCAACCCCAGAAGCTTGTTCCTACAGAAAAGAAAATTCTGGCTTGGGCATTGGCACAGCAGTTAAAATACCACTTGGAATGCCTGCAACCCCATCAGAGTGCCTGGTGTGTGTCCCAGCTCCTCTGCTTCTGATCCAGTTTCCTGCTAGTGCACACCCTAGGAGGCAGCAGGGATGACTCAAATACTTGGGTCCCTGCCACCCATGAGGGAGAACTGATCGAATTTGAGGTGCTGGCTTCAGCCTGGTCCATCCCTGGCTGTTGTGTCTATATGGAGAGTGAACCAGTGGATAGAAGGTCTTCCTCCATCTTTCTAGCTCTCTGTTTGCCTTTCAAATAAAAAGAAGTAAAAATTAAAATAAAAAAAGAAAATCCTAATATAAATTTTACATAATACTGCTGCATTTAATTTCCAGGTTTCAAATTCTCCCAGAACAGAAGGATATTCTAAGGAAGGGCAATGCCACAGCACAGTGGTCTAAGGCTCAGCATTTAATGATGATGTGATTTGGAACAAATTAGTGCACCCACACACCTTAGTTCCCCCACCTTTGAAATGGGGGTTTTGGGGAGAATGAAATGAGATAATCTGTGAAAAATGCATGGAATAGCTGGCACATAAGAACAGTTCAAAAATTATTAAAGTAGAGAACAAAGAGGCAGAGGTAGAACAGAGGTCACCAGAGCCTAGGCGGGGCGGGGAAGAGGCTGGGGGGAGGGGGTGGGGGACAGCCACCACCACGAGGGGAGTGGTTCCAATGCTCTACAGCAGAGCAGGGTAACCCCATCTACACCAATTAATCACACATTCCAAAATAACTAGAAGAGAAGCATTTGACATCCCCAATGCCTAGAAAAGGCAACACTGGAGGAGACGCAGGTGCTCATTACCCAGTGTACAGGTACTGAAGCAGGATGCTGTACCCCACTGTACAAATGCCATGTTAATGAAAAACAAATGAAAAGTGACTCATCACAGAAACGCAGACATGACGGTTACCTCTTCTCCTCCCTCATCTACCAGAGTCCAGGTCCCAGATGCGGGCCCCGAGGACGGCTTCTGCTCACTGGGCTTCATGTGGCACATAAACTCGGCTCGATTCCTGAAAAACAGAGGTAATCACATCAACAGAAAGCCCCTAGGGGCGCAGCCGGGTCCTTTATTCACCCTCAGCCTTCACAGGCTTCAAGTCAGCAAACGAGAAATAAGAACCAGCTAGAAAGCAAAAAATGACAACCTCACTCTTTCCCATGGGGAGACCACAAGCACTCTGAATCAGTGATCCGAGTGCCTGCAGGAGTGCTCAGACTAACACAGCTACTGGCCCTCAGTGCACATGGACTGCTACAGTGCCAGGACTCAAACCAAGATGACACAGGGTTTCCAGGGAGACAACTTTAAGAAGCAGGCCTCACTGAATAAAGAAGGGTGATCCAGAGGTAACACAGAGGCTTGTGTAGGGCCAGGAAGTTCAGAGAAAGGCAGAAACCCTGTCACAGGGAGGAGCAGCCCTGTATCCGGGCAGCAAGGAAGAGGAAGCTGGAGAACTGTCAGCTAGGCTTTCCCAAGGCGTGGGCTGGGTCTGATCAGCACGCGTAACCCAGCAAGTTTCTTCTCTTAGGCTACAAACCAGCTCTCAGTCCCTTGTCCCTTCCTCTCTGCCCTGACCCTAAAGATCCATCCACTCCTACTGTAACCAGACACTTTCTTCCACTTCTAACTCAGAAGTGCCAGTGCTGTTCTTTTGCCCGCATGAGCTCATCCTGGACCCCAGATGTCCCTGGTACGTGCCACTTGTATGTGTCCACTCACATGTGTCAGTGACCTCCTTATAAAATAGCTCTCTTCTCTCGGCTCTCTGTTAAAGCCACCAATACCTATCAGTCACTTAGACTCAGTATAGAATGATGTCTGACCCATTCCTTTCCCACACTCTTTATTTAATCAGCTACTATATCCTTTCCTGGGCAGATGACCTTCAGGCCCCTGTTCGTTCCTACTACCGTTGCCCCATTTCAAGCCTTTGGGATAACAGACGTTTCAGCACCCGAAAGCCAGCAGCAGTAACTGCTCACAAAGACTCTGCCTTCTCCCCACTTAAGATGTGGCCTCTTGATATTGAGTTAGGTTCCAGAGCCAGGACAGCCAGATGTCCTTGCAATTAAGCATGGCTTCAGTCCATTCTAATCTTGCTTAAATACAACTTTGACCCCTGCTCAAAAACCCTCAATTCCTACAAAGGCAAGATCATATCAATCCTAGATTCCTCTAACTTATTTCAAGGTTGTCCATAACCCAACCAACCCCCGTTATACATCCTAATACCATCACCTGCACATGTCTTCACTCCAGCCACGAGGGGCCCTGTGTCCATCCTGACTGTACTGGGGCCTCGCTCACATTGTTCTCCTCACTTGCATGCGTCCCTTGTCCTTCTCTCCAGATGAAATCCAATCCATTCTTGAAACTCAGCTCATCCACCAAGAAACCTTTTCTGGCCACTCCACTGAGCTCTATTCTCTTCTTCTCTATTGCGTCCACCATGGCTTCTCAGTTTAGCACTTAAGACTCCTTGTGTTTTTCTCCTCTGGCACTAAATCGCTTCTTCTAAGAAAGAGATCATCTGTTTCGTTTGAGGCACCTTTCGCAATAGCACGTATGACTAAAGAGGCGAATCCCAAACAGGGTTGTTTATATGTAAATGATTAATTAAAACAGTCATTTTGGGACAAGGGATATCAAACCCAAACAAAATCTGCAACGGTAAATTCTGGAATGCTAACACTTCCCTTAGTGGTTTTCTTCTTGGGATCTAGAGAGTTTAAGCAGCCAACCCTTCGCGAAGCTCTTCCACACTTACTTGACAGGAGACATCAGCAAGGCAAGGGACTGCATGAAATGAAAGACTCCTGATGGGTTATTCAACACTTTGATCTGAAATCAGAAAAGGAAACCAGTCACCTAAGTGTCTGCAATCAGCCACAAGGGGGAGACATAGCTCATGGGTTATCTGGCGGCAATGACTCAGCTGTAAATATACAAATAACAAGCTGGGATGGAGAGTGACACTAGGACTTTAGCCCAAGGAGAAACAAATCTGCCTTCTAACTCAAAAGATTCCAAATACAAAAGTAAAGCAAAGTGCAGAAGTTGAACCTGGCAAAGTTTTGATTCCTGTGCATCTGACTGGTTATTATGGGTTACAAAATGACTCAGAGGCAGGCAGCAGAGAAGAGAAATGGTAATAAAATAGTCAACTCCTAAGTACACAGGAGACCCACATTCTCTGCTGGTATTAAAGAACCTGGAGGTGCTGGTGGCTTCTTTTCCCAGTACCAGCTGTGCTGTGGGATGAACTAATTTAGGAAGCTGTGTGGAGCAGTACAGAAAAAAGTCCTGGCTAGGTTTTCTGTACAGCAACTTCACAGAACTAAACACTCCGGACCCCACCAAGCCAGACCACCACTGAACATCTGCCTGTCAGTTTTAGCAATTGTAGGTGGGAAGAAGCTTCAGATCTACAAATCAGGCAGTGGTCTATTTTAAGAATTTTATTTCAACTATCAACACTGTGAAGTAGTCCCCCCTTTTTGTCTTAAGCAATTTCTTCGGGACAAACGTCTACTGGAACCTCTGCCCACCCCCTCGGAATGCGAAGGCCACACCGCACCTGGATGAAAGGAACAGCCCAAGTACTAACACCAGCTGGGCACCGCAGAATATGGTTGAGAAGGAAGAGGTGATCTCCGGGACAGCCGACTCTTTGTAACACTGACACCTGAACAATAAAGGACATGTGGCTTCACTATTTAGAAATAGGAGCTACATGCAGATATGGTAAAATGAGCTATCCAACGTTTATACACACGCACTCTTTCCAAGGGTTAACTAGACACAACAACAGACCAAGTGAGTTTCTATCACAGAGGTCTAGGAATCTATGAATACTGTGATTAAAACATCACAGGTAGTGTCTCTCCAAATCTGGCAAATCACTAATGTTTCTGGCCACATGTGAAAAGATTTAAGTCAAGTAGTCTAATCTACTCATTTTGTTAGTGTCTCAAAATCTGAATAAGTATGCTTGAACATCTTAAATTTAAGAACTCTAGCATGAACCTAAAAAAAGTACCGAAGGACAGGCGTTTGGCACTGCAGTTAAGACCTCGCTTAGGACACCCACATCCCAGACGGGAGGACCTTCATTCAAGTCCACGTGCCCCTCACTCCTAATTCCAATCTCCCTCTAACACAGACCCCTGGGAGGCAGCAGTGATGGCTCAAGTGGCTGTGTCTCTGCCCCCATGTGGGAAACATGGACTGAGTTTCCAGCTCCTAGGCATTCAGGCAATGAACCAGGAGATGGGAGCTATTTGTCTCTCTCTCTCTGTCCACTTCTCAAAAAGTAAGTTTTAAAAAGTTCTCAAGGCTCCCTCATTGAGAAATACAACCAATAAACAAATACCCAACCCCTTCACCCCCATAATACACCTAACATCTTTCCTGAGTCTTTTAAGTCCTGATAGTTTTCTCCTTTCTCTTAAAAACAATTTTTAAAAAAAGGAGATTTACCATGATGTCTTGTCTCAACTGAACAAGTAAGGTATCTCAGTTTCTCCTGGATAAACCGGCTTATAGTCTCTCTCACACTCACACACATGCACACTTCTTATTTTCAACTTCTTGATTCAACTCTATGCTTAGTACCCAAAATTCATATTACTGTATCACATATTGGTTTCTCACACAATCTTAAGTTCTTCGTTTAAATAAATAAAATTTAAAGATGACAGTGCAGCATTAAACGAGATGATAAAAAGACAAGCGCTGTACAGTTTTTAGATCAATACCTGCCTTCTGAACATGCAGCCACTCTTCAATGTGGCATTCTTCCCACAATTCTATTTCTCCCTAAAATGAAGGCCAGCACTTTGTGCTCAACAAATATAACAAATAACTTATCACCATGTGTCATGATGAAAGTAGTCAGTAATTAACTCATTGAATCAATTAGTTGAGGAAGTTGTCAAAGAAAGATATGAAGCACAAGATAATTCTTAAATTACTAGGGAAATAAAGGAAAGAGCCTCTGTCCATTTCTGTTTCTTACCAATTTCTGCAGCCAGAGAAGAATATCGTCGTGGAACTGAGAATCTTCATTGATTCTCCTGGTGAACATGAATAGGACACTAATGCACTCCTTTAGTTGACACAAGTCAGAAGGAATACTTTCTGTCTGCTTAGAAGCTATAAATTCAAAAAGAGGATTGAATGAGTCCCACACAAATGGTATTGTAGGGAGAACTACTTTAAATGTCTTCAGTTAGAACAAACCAGAAACTATCTTTAAAATACTCAGTTCAGACAAAAATCCAAGGAGATAAGTTGCATCAAAGTATGTGAATTTCTGCTCAAGAGATAAACAAAAATATTTAACTATGAAGAATTCCAAAGCAAAGGAAAATTAACTTTATTGTAGTTTATTATTTTGTTATTCAAAAATCGGCAGATCTCTGGCCTTTCTCTAACTCTTTGATTAGTTTAGAAAACAAGGGGATTGGGGTTTACTTTAAGGAATTCTAACGTCTCTCCCAAGAATAAAAATTACATAATTCAATAAGCATATTTAATACCTAATATGTAGTAATGGCTAATTTCTTTTTTTTTTTAATTTATTTGACAGGTAGTTATAGACAGTGAGAGAGAGAAACAGACAGAAAGGTCTTCCTTCCATTGGTTCTCCCCAAATGGCCACTATGGCCAGCGCTGCGCAGATCCAAAGCCAGGAGCCAGGTGCTTCTCCTGGTCTCCCATGTGGGTGCGGGGGCCCAAGCACTTGGGCCATCCTCCACTGCCCTCCCAGGCCACAGTACAGAGCTGGACTGGAAGACGAGCAACTGGGACTAGAACTCGGCACCCATATGGGATGCCAGCGCTACAGGAAGAGGATTAACCAAGTGAGCCATGGCACCGGCCCAGTAAGGGCTAATTTCTTAAAATTCTAGATAAAAACTTCAAAACATTATATATCCTCTGTTGAATATTAGCATAGTCCAACAAATTGGACACTCAAAAATAAAGCACAACAGACAGGAGATGAAAAGTATCCTGATAATTAGTTTCAGAGTCAAAAACTATTTGGATTCAACTTGGTAACAAAGCACATAAACTAGGACAGCGAGGGACATCAATGCTAGAGAGCAGGCATTCTGGCATCCCACAGAAGCAGAGGGTGACAGCCACGGGGAAGGAGACCCAGCACTGCTTCCTAGCAACATCATTAAGGTAGGTCTTCATCGTGCACTGAGAGGCAGGTAAAATGGAGGCAAAATGGTCCCTTGCAATAACAATCAGTGTACAAGCAGTTCACCCAGGCTGTACCCCTCAATTCTTTGTTCATTTCAGAGCACAAGAAAGAGTGAGACCTTCATTACTTACATACCTCGGCCTTCCTGATGAATTGCTAAAGATCTCAGAACAGCTGAACTGTTGAGCAATGCATAGATGTAAGACTCCACTTGCAACCTTGAGAGCACAGAGGTGTAAGAGTGAAGGGCCAGGGTCTGGTGGAGGTGCTCAGACTTGGCATCAAATAGTTTCTTCAGCTCTCCCAGGGCATTTTCATTCATCTCTACTCTTTGGTAGCGATGATAGCCAGAAACTTTCACTTGGTCTGCACAGACACCCTACCAATGGACAGAAGGGTGAAATACAAAACTAGTTACTCTTTAACGTAATCAGGCAACAGGCATAAAATGCAGAGGCTCCAGCAGCATCTTCAAAGAGCTTACAATCATGATGAGGGAACAATGCCACTGGGTGAAGAACACCACCAGCAACCATAAGATCACGTGCCAAGGAAATAATGCCAACCATAAATGGGTCACAAGTTAAGAGAAACACTGTTGGGGGATTGGGAATAAGCAGCTTAAGTCACTGCTTGGGATGTCCACATCCCATATCAGAATGTCTGGTTCGAGTCCCAGCTACTCTTTTCTGATCCAGCTTCCTGCTAATGTATACCCTAGGAAGGAGGTAGCAGGTGACAACCCAAAGATGTGAGTCTCTGCCACACAGGTAGGAGATTCAGATTGAATCCCTGACTCCTGACTTAGGCCTGGCCTTGCCCTAGTTGTTTGCAAGCACTTGGAGAATGAATCAGCAAATAGAAGAGATCTCTCCCTGCTACCAAATAAAATGAATTAAAAAAAAAAAAAAGTTCAAAGAAAAGTAACTTTAGAAAGTCCAGGAATGTCTTCGAAAATGAATCTTGATGTGATTGGAAGGGGGGAGGGAGTGGGAAAGGGGAGGGCTGCGGGTGAAAGGCACGTTATGGGGGAGAAGCCATTGTAATCCATAAGCCGTACTTTGGAAATTTATATTCATTAAATAAAAGTTAAAAAAAAAAAGTCCAGGAATATCTCAAAAAATATAAAAAGTCAGGGAGAAGGGGAAGGTGTAAGAAAATAAAGAGCTTGCCCCTAAGACTCAAGATTGATGATCTTTGGTCTGGCACTGTGGTGTAGCAGGTAAAGCTACCGCCTGAGGTGCCAGCATCCCATATGGGCGCCCGGTTCAAGTCCTGGCTGCTCACTTCCGATCCAGCTCTCTGCTATGGCCTGGGAAACAGTACAAGATGGCCTAAGTCCTTGGGCCCCTGCACCACTGTGGGAGACCTGGAAGAAGCTCCTGGCTCCTGGGTTTGGATCAGTGCAGCTCCAGCTGTTGTGGCAAATTGGAGAATGAACCCTCTGATGGAAGACCTCTCTCTCTGCCTCTCCTCTCTTTCTGTAACTCTGACTTTCAAATAAATAAATAAATCTTTAAAAAAAATGATTGATGATCTTACCTTCCACTTTAACAACACTGAGGTCAGTATATTCTCTCAATGTCAAGGTACCTCAAAACATCTCTGGACCTATCCTCTTCATCCTTTGTAGTTCTGCTCAAAAGAAATCCCTTTCCTTCCCAACGCTAACTCCTCCAGTTATATTCTTGACTGTAGTATTCCCAAATGTTTCTTTCTCCAAGGATTCCCTATTATCTACACAGAGACATATGGGTTTCCCGATGAACAAGGGTTAGGAATGGGGAATCACGTGTTTCTCCCAATGTCTCCTGTAGGTTGCTTTCACTATCAGTAGTGGCCTTCTCTTTCTTGCCATTCCTTCCAGGCCACTATGAAATGACTTCCTTTCCATCACCTTTGCCCCGATAAGGTCACACCTAATGACCGTCCCTATTTCCTCATCTCCTCTCAACCCTGATACTCTCTACCCACTGGATGTTCATGGGATTAGGCTAGTGGCCCACGGCTAAATTTGACCTGCAGAGATGATATATTGGCCTATATTATGATTGTATGTGTTTCACTAGTTGCCAACATTTTCCAATCAGGACACCTCATGTGAAAATCCAGATTGCCAGCTTCTCCTGGAAAATCAAGATGTGGCAACACTGGACCAAGCAATAATCATAGGAACAATCAGCTAGAACTCCAGAGTAGCTATTCCCTCTAGATCAGGCAGGAACTTACCCCTGACCACTGTCCCACTCAGCCTGCTTCACTCTTCCAGGTTAAATGTCTGGGCCCTGTGGGCATTTGACTTTGTGATTCCTGCGCTACTACTCTGGGCTAAGGCAGGGTCAGTATGTGTATACAAACCAGACTCCAGGGCCAGCAGCTCCTCTGCCAAGTTCCCCAGGCTCCTGAAAACTTCACAGAACACTAGTCAAAATACCTGCACAAGCATTTGCTCCTCTTTAAAGTGCCACAGTCGACTTTTCGCATTTTGGCAATCAGACATCAGAGTAAGGAGCTCAGCTTCAGCCAGCAGCAGTTGCTTTCTACATCGGGAGTAGTTCAAAAGCAGCTCATAAAACTCATGCCTGTCCTGATGAGCCATACTGTCAAATTCTTCCAAATATGACTCAACATTTTCCAGCCAAGAGCCAGGTTCTAAGATTTTTAGCTGCTCCTTAGTAAATGGCACTAGCTCCGGTTGAGATGGGAGTTCTGGGTAGAGTCGCTCGCTACAAAGCAAGGGCTTCACTGCCACTAGAGCTGGCACTTCAGCCGTCTCAGCGGGCAGCTGGGGATACAGTTTCTTCACCCTGGGTGACTGAAAAATGTCAGTAGCTTCACAGGAACTCTGCAAGCGAACATTCTGTAGCACCTCTGAAGAACAGCCCAGGGCTGGTTTGTCTTCTTTCCTATCCTCAGTTTCTCTGACTTGTAAATTTTCCATTTCCTGCTGAATGCAAGAAAAACTAGATTGCAGTGTGCTTTCGGAAGGTCCACACTGCACCAATTTACTTCCCTCTACTTCCGAGAAGTTCCTGGGGGCTTCTATTTTAGTTCCAACATTGTCTCCGGAGTCAACCTGCAGCTCGCTTGCACTGTCCCTGACGCAGGCTCTGCCCTCTTCCCCTTCCTTTGGAGGCTCCATGTTACACGCCAGGGACCCTTCGCTGCTCAGAGTCAAGGAGGTGAGTGGTATTTCAAACAGTTCACTTTCGCTTTGTCCACTGGCAGCATCGTTCTGGAGGCGCGCATCACTTAACTCCTTCACGTGCTCTCCCCTGACTTCACAAGCAGGAAACGAGATTTCCTGCTCTTTGCAGGTTTTTGGAAGGGAGACTTCGTCAGACTCCTCCTTCTGTAGGGTTTCATATTTCTTCTTTTCCTGAAAACAAGATTTATAATGTGAAATAATATAACAATAACTGATGCTTTCGGCATGAGAATTCTGAAACTGTGGAATTCTAAATGCTATCATTTAACAAATGGAATCTAAATGCAGGAAGCAATGTGTTTCACATATAGTATCATCTAATTTTGAGAACGTTCAATTTGGAGATTCACTAGTCTAATTTTTACAGAAAAATACCACAGTAAGCAACAACTTACATTTCAAAACTGGAAGAGGAAAGTTCACTCAAAACTCAAGCAGAGGGGCCAGTGCTGTGGCGCAGTGGGTTAACGCCCTGGCCTGAAGTGCCGGCATCCCATATGGGTGCCGGTCCTAGTCCTGGCTGCTCCTCTTCCAATCCAGCTCTCTGCTGTGGCCTGGGAAAGCAGTGCAAGATGGCCCAAATCTCTGGGCCCCTGCACCCATGTGGGAAACTAGGAGGAGGCTCCTGGCTCCTGGCTTCAGATTGGTGCAGTTCCAGCCGTTGCGGCCATCTGGGGAGTGAACCAGCGGATGAAGGACCTCTCTCTCTCTCTCTACCTCTCCTCTCTGTATAATTCTGACTTTCAAATAAATAAATAAATGTTAAAAAAAAAAAAAACTCAAGCAGAAGATGCTGGGACAACTTGCCCAGCAAATCAACTACAGGATTGGATTATAACCTACAGAACAAAATAAATGCCCATGAGTTATAAACACCCACAACATAAATAACTACCTAAGTAAATTAAATGGGCAAGAAGTGATAACTCTTCCACACAGAAGAATTCCAATTAATAAATATAGATGGAATAGGAAGCAGAGAAAATCACTGCTACAACATCATGGTAGTAACTGCTGCAGCCAATCTGATGGAAGCTAAAATGAGAGTTTAAACAGAAACAGAGCCTAGCCTCAAAGTGTTTTCTCCCTAATACTTAGCACTTACAAAGGAGAAAATAGTCAAGTTTCAGCATAGAATCCTGGCAGACCAAACCCTACCAAGTGATCAAGGTATCATCACCAGGAATTCATGTTGACAGCAGATGACCAGACAGGATATTCCTAGAAGGCCTATCACCTCGGCAGTGTCCTTCCCAACAACACAACCCCAATCTAACCAGGAGAAAACATAGCAAAAATCAAACTCCAGGAAAGTACACAAAATAACTGAGGTGAAAGTAAAGGCAAGAGAGAGAAATTGTCCAAGATTAGAGGAGACCTCAGAAGTGTGACAACCAAGTACAAGGTGAAATCTTATATTGGATCCTGGATCCTGCAACAGAACAAGGACCCTAGTAGAAACTGTTGAAATCCAAATGAGGTCTACATTTTATTGTTTTTTAAAGATTTATTTATTTATTTGAAAGAGCTACAGAGGTAGAGAGAGAGATATCTTGGATCTGCTGGTTCACTCCACAAATGGACGCCATAGCCAGGGGTGGGCCAGGCTAAAGCCAGGAGCCAGGAGTTTCATCCAAGTCTCCCATGTGAGTACAGGGGCCCAAACATTTGGGTCATCTTCCACTGCTTTCCCAGGCACATGAGAAGGAAGCTGGATCAGAAGTAGAGCAGCTGGTACTCGAACCAGTGCCCATATAGGATGCCAGAACAGCAGGCAGTGGCTTAACCCACTACGTCACAACACCAGCCCTGAGGTCTACATTTTAGTTACCAGCACTATTCCAATGCCAATTACTTGGGTTTGATAAATGCTGCAGGTCACAAAATATAAGGATACATAAAATGAAAACTGCTATGGCTTGGTTTCACTGTGCAGCAACACCTCCCCTGCCACTACGTCCTCCAAGGCCTCACATGTTGAAAATTTAACTGCTATTGCAAGGTATTAAGAGGAGGAAAATTTAACCTGAACATGGTGTTCAGTGTTAGGGCCTTCAGGCAATGACCAGGGTTAGATAAAGCCATCAAGGAGGAGCCCCAATGACTGAACACTGGTGGCTACAAAAGCAGAGAGAGACCAGAGTTTGGACATCTAGCTTCACATACACACACATGCATGCACATGCTCTGTCTCCTGCCATGTGACACCCTGTGCCACTTTGGAACTCTGGGAACTAAGAGGTCATTGCAGGGGCTGGCATTATAGCACAGCAGACTAAGCCACTGCCTGTAACACAAGCATCCCACATGAACACGGTCTAAGTCCTGACTGCTCCATTTCCAATCCAGCTCCACGTGACTGCACTTGGGAAAGCAGCAAAAGATAGACCAAGTCCTTAGGACCCTGTGCCCATGTAGGAGACCCAGATGGAGTTCCAGGCTCCTGGCTTCAGCCTGCCCACCCCCAGTCATCGCAGCCATTTGGGAAGTGAACCAGCAGATGAAGATCCCGCTCTCCACTGCCCCACCACCAACCCCCAGCTCTTTCTCTTTCCCTCTCTCTCTCTCTGTAACTCTGCCTTTCAAATAAATTAAATCTTTAATAGTTTTTATTTATTTGTTTTAAAGGCAGAGTTACAGAAAGGCAGAGGCAGAGAGACAGAGAGGTCTTCCATCTGCTGGTTCATTCCCAAGATGGCCACAACAGCTGGGTTTGAGTCAATTCAAAGCCAGGAGCCAGGAGCTTCTTCCGGGTCTCCCACGCGGATCCAGGGGCCCAAGGACTTGGACCATCTCCTACTGCTTTCCCAGGCCATAGCAGCAGCTGGATCAGAAGTGGAGCAGCTGGGACTCAAACCGGCACCCATATGGGATGCCAGCACTGCAGGCGGCAGCTTTAACCGTTATGCCACAGTGCCAGCACCTATTATTTTTTTTTAAGACAGATTCATTTATTTAAAAGGCAGAGTACAGAAAGGGAGAGTCAGAGAGAGACAGAGATCTTCCATCTGCTGGTTCACTCTCCAAATGGCTGCATCAGAAGGTGCTGGGCAGGGCTAAAGCCAGGAGCCAAGAGCTTCATCTGGTCTTCCACGCCAGGGCAGGGGCCCAAGCACTTGAGCTATCTTCCACTGCTTTCTCAGGTGTATTAGCAGGGAGCTGTATGGGAAGTGGAGCAGCTGATGCGCATATGAGATGCTGGCACTGCAGGCAGCGATTTAACCCGCTATACCATAGTGCCAACCCCAAAGAGACTTACTTTGGCTCACAGTTCTGGAGGTCCAAGGTTGAAGGGCTGTATCTGTGAGGATTTTTTTTTTTAAAGAACCTCTTGGCTCCTGGCTTCAGATCAGCTCAGCTCTGACTGAGCAGCCATTTGGGGAGTGAACCAGCAGTTGGAAGACCTTTCTCTCTCTCTCTACCTCTCTCTGTAACTCTGTATTTCAAATAAATAAAATACCTCAGGGCTGGTGCCGTGGCATAGTGGGTAAAGCCACTGTCTGCTGTGCCAGCATCCCATATGAGCACTGGTTCATGTTAGTTGTTATTTATAAAACTTGACAGATTACAGTTTTTTAAGAAAAAAAATGGTGACAGTACTTTGTAGTTAATTTAAGCATCCACATGGGAGACCCAGAAGCTCCTAGTTCCGGGCTTCGGATGGCTTAGCCCCAGCTGTTGTGGCCATTTGTGGAGTGAACCAGCAGATGGAAGACCTTTCTACCTCTCTACCTCTCTGTCTCTCTCTTTCTCTTTCTCTTTCTCTCTTCCTCCCTCCCTCTTCCTCTCTGTAACTCTGCCTTTCAAATAAATCAATCAATCTTTAATTTAAAAAAATACCTCAAGCATTAACACACAAACTAGATACTGAAGAAAGCTGGGTTGAATAATAAAAAAAATGGAAAAATTATTTAAATAACATTCAAACAAACTAAAAATCTGATTGAAATCACTCAAATACCTTCTCTTTATTATGATATTTTAAGGAAGGTTGTCAGTGATTTTGCCTTATTCTGCTCCTAATGTCCAGCAAACAAAAAGTGACAGATTAAAAGAGTGGGGCCTTCATATGTTAAGAAGCAAAGATCAACATTCCTTAAGTGGAATTTTGAGGTCACCTTGCTGAAATGAACATGGCTGCCAAACTGCAAATGGTAATGATTCAAGGAACCAGAGACCCTTCCAAAAGTATTTCCATCCACACTATGAACTGTGGGTATCAGATTCGGAAGCCAGCCACATAGTGCGCAGCTAATACAAATCACTCGCTGTGATAAACAGGTTTTTTACACTGAGAGGTCAGAAAGGAATAGTTAGGAGGAAAAATGTTTGCTAGAGTGAGAGAAATGTGGGAATGCTGGTGAGGGCAGAGGTGAAATTTTAGTTAGTTTAACAATCATTAAATGAAATCGAGAATACTTGCATCAACATTAGCATAAAAAGAACAAAGTACATAGGGATAAATTAAGCAAAAGAAGTATAAAGGTTGTACTCTAAAATTACAAAACATTAACTGAAAAAAATTAAAGGTGATCAAATACATGGAAGGACATTCCATGTCTTTCACAATCTTAAGATAATAAACACAACACCATCTCTAGCAAAATCCCAGTTGCCTTTTTTGTAGAAATTGAAAAGCTGATCTTTAAATTCATATGGAAAAATAAGGGACCCAGAACAGCCAAAAAAAAAAAAAAAAAAACTTGAAAAAGTTGAAAAAGGTCACACATTGCACTTTCAAAATCTGCTACAAAGCTGCAATAATAAAGACAAAAAAGTGTTATCATACGGATAGACAAATTAACCAACAGAACAGAGAATCCAGAAATAAAATCCTAGCATTTACAGTCAACCAATTTTGACAAAAGTGCCAAGACAAGTCAATGGGAAAGAAATCACCTTTTCAACAAATGGTGCTGGAACAAGTGGATACCCTAATGCAAAACCCCATGGGAGACCAGGATAAGTACCTGGCTCCTGCCATCGCATCAGCGCAGTGCGCCGGCTGCAGCGCGCCGGCCGCGGTGGCCATTGGAGGGTGAACCAACGGCAAAAGGAAGACCTTTCTCTCTGTCTCTCTCTCTCTCACTGTCCACTCTGCCTGTCAAAAATTAAAAAAAATAAAATAAAATAATAAAAAAAAGAATGAACTTAGACACCAGCCCTCTAAC